CCTCCTCATTGAATTCCTTGAATGCTATTCTGGTGGTGTGTAGAAGTAGGCTAGAATTCTGTACAGAAAATCTGACAGCATGAACCAATAGTCGCAGGAAGAGGGAAGAAAGAACAGCACATCTTCTAAATCTGGAGATTCAAATGGAAATAGTTGATTTCTAGGGAAAAATGTTGTCGTTTTAAACAGCGTGCGTGTCTAACCTTATCGTGGGGCTCTCTGACTGAGGAGAGGATGTTCATGGCCTGCGCAGAGTTGGTTTCCAAGAAGTAGTCCACCAGCCCGTTCAGCAGCATGGACCCTCGCTCTTTAAAAAAGGGAAATGAGGAGCATTATACGGATGAATTTGTATAACCTTAGAAGTAATAGTTAGCATATTAAAAAAAGGAAATCAACTGAGGAGCTATGCTTAAAAAAAATAAGACTAAGGAGCTGTTAAAAGTACAAATGATTCCATCCAGTGATGACACAAACTAAGGATAAAGTCCCAATGTCTCAAAGCTCCCCCAGACACATGAGCACGAGGACCAAAGCCGCCCTACCAGTGTTGAGCTGCTCGTTGATGAGGCCTCTGATCTCTTCTAGCTGGGTGAGGTCGGGGGTCTCAAGGAGCGGGAGGAGGTCCCCCATGTTTGGCTGCTCCCTGGCCATGGTGCTGGCAGTGCTGGAGGCGGAGGCAGCGTCTTTCCCTCGCTCGCGGTGTCCGTCTCCGCCTGCCTGGAGGACTCCTGGGGCCGCCCACCAACACGGTCTCCAGGCACCGCTGCGCCGCACCGGGAGCCAATTCACAAATATTCCCAGAATTAGTAAGAGCTGTGATCTGGGATTAGTGGTCACGTAACGACGGTGCTGCGCTGCACGGTTTGCGCAAAAGGGATTTCTTCCGAATTGAAACTTGTGAAATTGACTACAATGGTTTTACATAAAGAAATGAGCAAACACATGACGGAGTTGTGGGGTGATGTAGTTACTGGTGACAACGGCAGGACCACTCTAATGCTGCGCTGCGTCTTCTGGATGTGTAAAGAAGCGAGTCCTTTCCCAGCACATTAACCCCTCTGACATTACAAAGGTGATGATGTCATCGTTGCCCACGGCCCCCAAGTGGCCCAAAGGAGTTATGCATTTGTACAGATTTATTGGTAACACTGGAAATTTTTACAATGGCTACAATAAACCTACACCTCGAGAGAAAGTCCCAAGTAATGACCAGGCCAAACATTCCTTACTTGGATCATCTCCACCACTTGCAACGAGAAGATTAACGCAAGAGCTGCATTCACCATCTATCATACCCCGACAGAAAGTCGCGTTAGAAACAAAGCCAGGCCTGCCGCGTTTCCCGGTTTCAGATTAATTGTCCGTTTGTGTCGTCTGCGGTGCATCGAGGGTCCGGACACACAGTCAGACATTCAAAGTGAGAGGAGGCCACAGAAGAGCCTCGCAAATCTCCATCTGAAAAACAGGGAATAAATAATCTTGACGGGCAGGTCATTATCGCGGGGGGTGTCTGCACCCAGCGGCTTATTCTGTAACGGGGGGGCAATGAATCGCCGGCAGACGGCCTCTTTCAGCGCACGGGACAAAAACACTCGACGTGCAAGACGAATCCCACCGACTGGTTCATCGAGGCGGAGCAGCGAATCGCCCCGATGGCCACAAACAGGGCGCCAGGGGACGAGAGGAAGGGAATCAATGAGAATCCAATTGGATCTCCAATGAAGTCAGCAAAGAGCTTCCGCCACGATAAGGTTACTCGATATATAAATACAGACCTTTATCTTAGGTGGTCTGTATGTAATAACAATAACATTCTGATGTAAATTAAGTACCTCGCAAATGCAAAAGTATCAAGGTTTTTTTTTTATTTTTTAGACGAGGCGACTGTCCGTCGACACAGTAAAAGAGATCAAATTGAAAGAACGAGCTCCTGTTTGTTCACAAGAGATCACGGCGCCGCTGTATTCGTGTAAACAATTAACTGCTCTGTCACAAGGTCTGGGCGTGAAAAGTGGAATCAAATGACCTGGCTGGGCGGACGTGGGAGGGGAGGGGGGACGTGGGAGAGATCGCACCCTTCGTTGGCACAACCTGGAGCCTCGCTCAGTGTGAACGCTCGGGAGGACACAGAGAACCTTTATGCAGCCCGGGCACTTCCATGCACACACACGCACACACTGGGCGGCGCACAGGCGGTTTACCCACAGCCTCCATTTTCTCCTGAGTCGACGTTCTAAAGCAGCTTCACAGAAGACACAAACAGCCTTTCCGTCTATTTGAAGCATCGATTTTCATCGTCCCAACAGAGTCCGCTCATTGAGCAAAATGCACATTGCCTTTTTATCTCCTTGCTGCAGGGGATGAGGGGAAATGCTGCAGTCCTCCGCTGGACCAAACAGGTTCTCAGGGCAACAACACGGATTACGTTGGGTCAAGAAACATTGGAATTCATGACAACTTTCTGGTCAATCAAATAAGAATAAAAAATGAATAAATAAAAAGCACATTCCTCTGAAAGAAACCCAACAATATTCATGTCGGTCACATTGTGTCACGTACAAAGCAGGAGCCAGAAAACGAGTTCTACCAGTTATCTTCCTCATCAGACATTCGTTTTTTCTGGGTAGCTAAAGCGATGCCGTCCTAAAACATTGATGCTGATCTACCAGTGAAGGAACTTGTTAGAGGAATTGACACATCGAGCCAATATGGCTGAATGAATGAAATACAAAAGGGGTTTGAACCCATGACTTCAGTACATCAGTGATCGTGGCCCCCACCCAACAGACATCAAAACACAAGACTGAATCCAGCAGGATGTGAACGACGGGTCGAGGAGGTCAAACTGCGGAGCTAGTGACTCATTTTGTGTCCATGGTGACAGCAGAGCCCGGTGACCAACGAATGAGCACCTTCCAACCACAGGAGATCACTGATTGACAAACCGACGCTACTAGAGACAGTTTCCGAATGATGTGAAATAAATTATTACAATGGAGAAAGCTGCAAGGCACGTGCAACTGTGCATGCATCACTGGGCAAACAAATAAGAGCTAATAAGAATGCACATAAGGCCAGACAGACAACCGGTTTTACCGACATGCGTAACGAGAGAGCGGCCCAGCGGAGGTCCGGGGCCGACACGCAGCGGGGCCGCCGCCGCTGGATGTGCACTGAGCACCGGCTGCTGCCTGTCGTAAACAACTCGCTGAGAACAATGGGCAGGGCTGGGTTTACTTCATCGGATTATACGCAGGGGTCTTTCCTCGGGTAAAGCCGGCACCTCTTCAAGCCCAACAGAAAACTGCAGAAACTGCCACCATGAAACGTCCAGGGCATCGAGGTCTAGAAAAGCGACCACCGGGTCTCCAAAAACAAGTCGGTCCCGACGCAGGGAGCTAGCGCTAGCTGGGAGCAGCGCCCCGCACCCGGTCGGGGATTCATCTCGCCTGTCAGCCGCGGTGGGTCGGCGGAGAAGCAAGACGAAAGCCTCCCGGGCAGCAAACCAAGTCACACGCGTTGAGATTCGCCGTAGGAAAACCCGAAGAAGACATGAATAAACGGACCTGTTTACCTGTTAGAGTAGCTGCACTCCACAGGGCGCCGCCATCTTGAACACCTCACAGCCAATCGCACCGCAGTCCGCCTCCGCAGTCAGGCTGCACGGAAACTAGTGCCAGAAGTTATTGGCTCGCGAGTCGCATCCGCAACTTTTGCAACTTTTATATGCAAACAACATCTACAATTAACACGGTTAAATACAAGTAATGTCTCAGACGTGGTATTTCATCTGTTTGCCGGTGTATATGCTTCGCTCTGCCGCAGAGCTAAGATTGTTTTTCCCATCTGCCCATTGGTGGAAGGATGAAATGTGTGTGATGCGGCTTCGCGTGACCCATATGTCAAGAGCGCACGCGCATGTTAGTTGTTTTTCAATTTAGGTAGCGTGGAGATCAATAAGTCTATTAAGAAAAAATGACAAAATAAATGCAGTTTGCGCGTCAAAACGTATGCATGTATTAGTTGGTGTGTAGTTGTGTGTGTGTACGCGCGCGCGCGTGTGTGCGTGTGGGTGTGTGCGTGTTCGCGTGTGCGTGCGTGTTGTGATGCGTGTGCGTGTGTGTCCTTCTTGGTCAACATAAACACATCCTTTTTTAACCAGTAAGAAGATTTGTATATTTGTATTACCAATTATCAATTGTTGTATTATAGCGGTGCCTTATTTATTTTTTTAAATAAAAATCCCTTTAAATGATTAATACAAATATCAATTTAAAATGTTGTGAGATAGTCAGAACTGAATCTTATTTATTTAGAGATATTTTATGGATAAATAAATATTATAAATACGTCTTTTATCCCCGTTCAGGAATTTTTCAAACTCCAATTTAAGCGTCAAGATCTAAGACACTCTTTCTCCACCAGGTGTCGCCCTTGTACTTCTTTCCTAAAATAAATCCTCCTCAAAATATTCCTCGTCTCGATGCTATTTTTAAAATTATTCACGTTTATTTTATTAAAAAAAATAAACTTTTAATAAAAGCAATGATTAAAGAAAATCTTGCTAATTGTGTCGTATCGCTCTGCCTTGTCATCGTGCACCTGCGTGACAACACCATCCTGAATATTGACATGAGCAAACAGTGTCGATCTCCCAGACTGGTTTGGTGTGTGGATCTTTGGAGGAGCTGTGTCTCATGTGATCTTTAAATCTTGCACACGCACAATACGCTGCATTACTCTGAGTAAATCCTGTAAATCAAACATTGTGAGATGGAAACAATTCTTTCGTGTAAGACGCTTGAACTTTTTTTTTCATTTAAGAATAATTCAATTAAATCGATCAATGGTTGCTTTAAATGCCCCCCAAATTAAAACGAACTGTCTTTTATTTAAAGCGAAACGCTCTAAATACTATTCATGAGCTTCATGTAATGCTTTCACACCAACGTTTTAAATGGTCACTTTGTCTGGACTAACTGTCCCGTGCACAGCGGAGGCCGCCGCGCGCTTTGCTACGCAAATTCGCACCTGCAGCTCGGCCTTCTCATTGGCTGAAACCGCAGTCAGATTCCCACGCGGAATTATCTGATTGAAAATCAGGGCGGGGAGAAAAAGAGAGGGCAACAAGTGTGATGCGTTCCTTTTTACGCTGCTTTGCTTTTGCCAACTTGTAGGAAAGGATTTCTGCGACAGGTCTTTTTGTCCGCTGAGCAAAAGAAACGAGGGATATTATTGAAATAACTACAGCACTTTTTTTTGTTTATTTCGACGCGGCGCTGCTCGGTTAACGGTGAGTCGAGATGCGCTGACTCCAGATAACTTTTGGACCCTGCTGGTGAAACTTTTGACGGCTTTTTAACCCCACGAGTAATTGAAACATCTAAAATATTTAAACTTAATTTCTGTTGGTCTATCGAACAAATACGAATAAAGAACAAACCTATAATTCGATAGCGGGAGAGCTTAATATAATTAATATGCAATAATAACTGAGCAACACAGCTGCACATTGAAAACGGCAACGATCTTTTAAAAGTAACCTGACTGAAATGATCTCTTTAGACGGACAATCTTAGATTTAAATGCTTTTTTGTATTAAGAAAAACAAAAGCTGTATTTCAAAAATGCTTTTCAAACTTTACTGTGCCGCTCACGATTTATTTTTATTTTTTTGGGGGGGGGGCTGTGTGCGCAGGATCAACATGCCCCGATCCTTCCTCGTGAAAAACAAGCGGTGCTCGTCCTACAATATCCACCGGTCTCACGATGACGAGCCTGAGGCCCTAACGTGTAAAGGTAAGAATTAAAAAAAGACAGCCATTGCTGCTTTATTTCCGTTATTTTAACCCTGCTGCTGAGTTGGATACACATGAATATATTAATATATTAATCCAACTAAATGCCCTCCATGAGGTATTGAAGTTGTTTTAGTGGATCTACTTGCAATCACACCGAGCCTCGTCTCTCGCTTTCAACTCAATAACACTTCTATTGGCTGCCGATTTGCAAAAGAAGCCTCTGAGGTCCACAGCGCCGACTGTGGCGACCGGCCTCGGTCTTCCCCTGCGGACCGCTGCTCCTTTGAGAAGGAGGAGGCAGAGCTAGAAGGCCCCCCCACCTCACCTGCTCACCGAGAGCCCCCCGGAGCCCCGGTGGCCCCCACGCAGCCGTACTACCTGAACGGTGAGCTGCCAGTTCATTTATCTCCCATCTTTTCCTGCCCCCTCCACAAGCTTTCCATCAGGATGTGTGATTACTTGTGTGTGTTCACTCCCAGAGCCCCACATGGCCGGATTCGCTCCTTACTTCAAGCCGTCTTACGGCTGGGAGCCGTCCTCCTACAAGCTGCGGCAGATGAGCTTCACCCCCACGGTGCTGCAGCACACCAGCAACCTGTACGGCCCCCGCGTGAGCCGCAGCCCGCAGCCTCAGCAGCCCCTGGACTGCAGCACGCACTACTCCCCCACCTCAGACACCTACCACTGTATCACCTGCGAAAAGGTGCGCCGCCCACATCTTGCAATAGCTCAAATTGGTGGTCAGCCACCCCCCGCTAATAGACTGCCCCTGGTTTAGGTGTTCTCCACGCCCCACGGCCTGGAGGTGCACGTGCGCAGGTCGCACAGCGGCGGCAGGCCTTTCGGCTGCAGCATCTGCAGGAAAACCTTCGGCCACGCCGTGAGCCTGGAGCAGCACATGAACGTCCACTCTCAGGTATGTCGCTGAACGCTGAGCAATAGAACAAACGACGAGCTGCGCTTTAGTGGGCGCTGTACACTTCCCCAACGACCTATGACCTCACCGGGAGCATTATGCATATCGCAGTTGGTGTCTAGGACGTTTGGCTTTTTTCTATTAAAGTTCATTAGTTGTGGCAACAACATTGCTAAACATGACAAAACACATTGGTCAGATGTGGTGATATGTGGTTCATTAAAGGTCATTCAATTATTTTGACTACATGGCGATGGCTTATCCACATGATTAGTTGTATCTGACCAAATAATCTCACCACAAATTCAATAAAAAATCAATTTGCGGATTTTTTTGGATTTATGGGCCACAGATTAAAAATTCAGAGGGAAAAGTAGCAATTTTTTTCAATGACACAAAACACGATATAAAATAGACTAACAGATTTTTTCTGCAACGTATTGCTTACCCCCCACCCCCCAATAGTTTAACTAACAATTAACATTTCACCATCCGTCAAAATAAATCCCAAAGCTACAATGCTTCTGTACGTGCTTCCTCCTTTTAATCAGGAAAAGAGCTTCGAGTGCAAGATGTGTGGCAAATCCTTCAAGCGCTCCTCCACGCTGTCCACGCACCTGCTCATCCACTCGGACACGAGGCCTTACCCCTGCCAGTACTGCGGCAAGAGGTTCCACCAGAAGTCGGACATGAAGAAACACACCTACATTCACACCGGTGCGTCACCGTATGATTGTCTCTTCCTGCACAGGGGCCATATATAAAACTGTCCGCGGCTCCTCTGGATGTAATCTTCCGCTTTCCAGGTGCGGCATGCAGGAACTGTTTCCGGGTGTAATATAACTACTGATAAATCAGAAAAAAGAAACTTAGCCAAATGTCCTGTGTATTTGCATATCTGGTTTTCCTGCTCCATGCTCTGTAAAAGGAAGTCTGTGTGAATCTGAACAAAGGCATGATTCTAATGCACGCTGGGAGGGGGGGGGGGAGCTTACCGGTACCTTTTATGGAGCTCAGAGCGAACCTGAACGTCTCTACACAAAGTATTTGGAAAAGATTTCTCCCTGGTTTATTCATGTGTGGCTTTTTTTTTTTCGTAGGCGAAAAGCCCCACAAATGCCAAGTGTGTGGCAAAGCGTTCAGCCAGAGCTCCAACCTGATCACCCACAGCCGGAAGCACACCGGCTTCAAACCGTTCGGCTGTGACATCTGCTCCAAGGGCTTCCAGCGGAAGGTGGATCTCCGGCGGCACCACGAGAGCCAGCACGGCATGAAGTGAAGCGTCCGTGTTCACGCTTCCTGTCCACTCGAGGAATAAGCTGATATTACGTTATGACGGAAGGCGGTCAAGGGATTGAGTAGTTGATGAAAATGCATATGAGTTAATATATTGTATAAGTGTTTACATGTGGATGACGGAAAAGGGAATGTGGAAACGGATCCATTTCTTTTTGGTTTCCTCTAATTTATTTAAAGTATGCCTGATGCGACGCCTTATGTATTATATTGGCTGCAGTATGTGTGTGAGTTGCTAAACGCTTTCAGTTGAAATAAAGAGCGAAAAGCAAGACAATCCTGGGTTTTTCTCCGCAAACTTAAGACGAGTGAAATGTAAAATCCTTCGCGCCTTCCAGGCAAAACACACTCGCACCGTTTGTCTAAGATGAGCACTGCAAACACACTTCAACTTAGTAACTGTTCGGCCTTCCCAGTGCCCTGAGGCCAATGGGATACAGGGATTAATACGAGGCTGGGGGGGGGATTGGGCCGTTACCACACCCAGCCAACCTGCAGGATTTACTTCGACAAACAAGCGCCGGCTCTAACGAAGACTTACCACCTTCCTCAAACACTGAACCTGTTAGGACGTTAAGCTGCTCGAGGCAAATCACATCATCCACCGGGCCCTTAAAATCTGACACCAACTGGATGAACGGGTGTCAGAGTTTGGCCCGAGTGTTCTGATCTCATTCAGATAAATGTGCGCTTCATCCGCGTGGATCCAAAAAAGCTTGGATACGATATGTATAGACTGCTGACTGGGAGAAAACACATGAGGTCTAAACTGAAAAGGCTCCACTGGCAGCTGGTCTACGGGGCCCTAAAACCGAAACACATTTCCACGCTGCTCACTTGAAACACAATCAGGTCCTCAAGGATGCGTCTCCTGAATCCCAACCAAACCAGGTGCTTTTGGTCAACTGTGCAAACTGTCTCTTCTTTGAAAAGAAGTTGAGACAGTGCCTTTAAATACATACACATTCCACCCCTCTGTACATACTATATTCTACCCTATTTCACTTTAATTTAATTTAATATATTCTACTCGGCTATTTCATTTGATTGTGCTGTGTATATTGCTCATTTTTCCTTTCTCATTGTATTTACAGTACTGTATTGCTACTGTTACACACAAATTTCCCCTTGGGGGTTGATGAAGTATCTATCTATCTAGTTACAGTTTGTGCTCCTGACTCAGGTCACCTACCGGGACACAGTTAATCAGGGGCTTGTTTGACCTGAATTGTGGGGACAATAATCTAATTAAACGGGTCTCTTTCATAGGGACAAAATGCTTGTGTGGATGTTCATCTTTAAAGGTGAAGACTTTACGTTTAGGTTTGGGTTATGCTAAGGTTGGTGTAAGGGTTGTTAAGGTTCAGGTTAGGGAGGGTTTATGTTAAAGTCAGAGTAAGTATAAGATTCGGCTGCTAAAGTTTATGATGAGGGAAAGAGTTATGCTCTGAGAAATGAGTTTTGGATAAAAGCGTCAGCTAAATGACCCGTAATGTAAAATGAATGTAGGTCAATGAAACGTCCGAAAAGTCATGATAACACGGCTGTGTGTGTGTGTGTGTGTGTGCACACAAGTGTCTGTGCGTTGTTTAGTAAGGGCAGTTGTTATAAATAGTTGTATACGTGTGTACATGTCTGTGCGTGTATTGGTTGGCTGAAAGTTTATGTTCAAATAAACAGTTTTTACACAACTTGTTTCTATGTTTTTTTTATTTGTTTTGCTGTAAAGCACGTTGAGTTTGTCTTTATTAAAATGTGCCATACACATATTTATTTACATAGAATTAAACACGGAATCGAGACTATAATTCACCTTTGCTTTGCCACGTGGAACCACATCTGCAGAAATCAGTGTCTGCACAGGGAACAGAGGTGAAGTGAGGGCTTACGGTCTGGCAAACAAATCCGAGGTCGCTATGCAAAATGTGTTGGTGTTAACAGGGCAACAGGGTCCTTTGTTATGCACCACAGTTAAGACCTGCTGCAGCCGCCGCTGCATCCTGGTAAGAGGAGACGGAGCAAATCACAATCCTGCACAGGTAACCAACAGAAAGAAAGGACGTGCAGGGTGAGACTTGACAAACAGGACATGGGTCCTGAAAGGGGAGGGCCGGTGGTGTGTGTGCACGGGCCGTGGGGGTTTGTACAGTCATTTTGATTATTATTTCATTTCATTTTTTTAAACACAGATGAAATACTGTACAGAAGCTGTTATTGTGGTTGTCCTGCTTTTGTTCATTTGCATGGATGTTGCCTGAGGCATTGTAGTTCCCTGAAAGGTGCAAATGTACTCTTTCCCCAACTGTTACAGCTCCACCTGGGAAACCAGTCCATGGATATATATATATATATACATATATATATTTTTTTTTTTTCGAAGCTGCTTGAAAAGGTGCATCAACTATGAATATATTTTCTAGGTGTTGTCTGCATTGTAGCTTTCCAAACGGGCACAAGCTGATACCAGAAAGAGTCGCAGCACTAACAGCACCACTGGGACATCACATTTTTCCATCCAGCAAAGACCCTTCAACAAGTTTTCAAACTTTGTGCCTCAAAACCAACGCACCCCAAACCCAATGGTGCTCCGTTCCACACAAACACAACCTGACAAACACAACAGAAATTTGTCTTGCAAATTGGCGGCATGCAAATGAACTCCGGCTAGTACTGTGGAAAGGCTGCAGGGTGGAATGAGGCCCGGGGCCCCGGAGGCACATTAATGAAAGACGTTGGGGTCGTGGAGGCTCTTTGAGAAACATCACTGGGTTCTAAGTCGTCATTTTCAGTTGGAAGATATCTGCCGCTTCGCAAACCTTTTGTCTCCAACTGGCCCCCGCCCCTCGTAAAAAAGAAAACCACTTTCCTTTGCATTTGATGGAGCAGCATGTTATGAGCTTTCCATAAAATTGGGGCCAAACATGTAAAATGGGAGGGTTTGAACCCCACTTTCAGTAAAGAAAAGTTAGGAATGTCTCAAACCTCTTGCTGCTGTTTATAATTAATTTCACTCAATACACCTTTGCAAAAACACCACAATTTACAAAATTAAGTCTCATTTTATAGAGAATATAAATATGAGACGTAATGAAAACAATTTTAGAATTTGAATGGGATTGCAAAAAGATGATGCAAAGAAAGTATCAGCATCCGATATTCAACAGGGACAAGCTGGAAAGGTTTTGTTTCTACGGATCCACCACACGTTTGAAATGTCAGTAGAAGCCACAGGCCCCGAAGGAAGCTGCGCCTTTGTAGAGTTAGTGTTGAGTGACACGCCAGTGATCCATCACGTCGTTCTTTTACACCGACAGAATAATCCAAACAGAAAGATAATATGTGTCAGCAGATTTCCTCTGCATGACTGGTGCTGTCACACAGTGTCGGGGTGAGATAATATTTGATTGCCAGTGACACTGTGTTGTGGCCCCGGCTCGTCCTGCCACCCCACAGATAAGTGCGCCGACGGCGTGCACAAAAGGCCACGCTCAAAAAGTGCCATAAAAATAACAACTTTTCTTGTGGTGGCCTTTCCTGGGATTTAATCGTCCACTTCACATTTCAAGCCGGCGACTCAAAGCCATGCCTTAAAGTTACACCCGGCCTCTTATCTTCACCGGACGCCAATGCAGGAAACAAACAAAAATGGAACAAACGGTGAAGCTGCTCATGAATGATGACTTGGCTACGAGTGCGAGCTACAGAAACCATCCCAGGTGTCATTTTTAATTTGACGTTCAATGACCTTTGAAATCTCTCAGCTCTTTAGCAGCCAGTACCTCAATCCCTCGCAGAATTTATTTGCATTTGTCGCAAAAGATTAATTTATCGCCACGCCTGTCGCATGAAATGTGTCAGGAGTGGCTAGTGCTGATACTGGCCGGGGCGTCCTGGGTACCAAGCAGACTTGGATCTGAGCCATGTGGGGAGCGTTAGTCCCAGGAACCACATGTCATCCACTTCACTCAATCCCTGCGTGTCCCTTTCAAAAATGATCCATTTATATGGCAAACAACATAAATGGTGGACGTGATGTAATGAAAAACTTTTTTTTTTTTACTAACACTCCTCTAGTCCCAGCATCTTTGTTTTGGTTCAACCATTGGATGGATTGTCTTGCATTCTTCAACTGTAATTAATGGTCTGCAGAGGATGAACCCCAAAGACTTTGGTAATGCCCGATTTTTTTGTCTAGCCCAAACATGACCTCAAAGCTAATCCTGAGAAATTCACTCAGAAATTACTGGAACATTTTTCATTTCCAGCACTCAAGAAGTTATTCAGGATGAATACAGGGAAACGACCCGCCCCCCTGATTGCTTTGGTAAGCAGCTCACAAACTTATTCAACCAGTGACGTCGGTCAAAATGCCCCCTTTTTGGGAGCTATATCTAAATACAACAGCTTGTGCACCAACGTGACAGTCGCGGGCGGATCTCCACGTCCGAGCCGCTTCAACAAATTACCAGAGTAACAGCACAAGCAATCACTGACATTAATCTTTAGTTTTGCCTACGGAGAGCGACATGGCTTCGCAGGTGGCGCCTACGGTCCACGTCACACATTCAAACGTGTCCAACCACAGAAGCGCCAGCTGCAGGTCTGCAGGGGCAGACGCAGAGAGAAGGGATGACAGGAGGAAACATGCTGAGTGAGGAGTCGGAGGGAGTGGGAGCAAATCTGAGGGCGGCAGGTTCTCTCAGAGTAAGAGACCGTCTGATAACCTTATCACGGCCTCTACACACTGCAACGGCAGGAACACGCCAGCGGAGCCGCGGGGAGGAGCGGGCAGGCCCTCCACCGAGATAGCACCAAGAGCCGGACCAGCGCTTGACAGACGAGGGCCCTCCAGACAAAAAATAGACGATGGTGAAAATCCTCACTTCGCCACAGCACACGACAGATTCTCAGGCAGAGCCACGGGTGTTTTCTGGCCCCTCCCACACAACACATGATGGTCCAGGCTGGAGTTTATCACGTATGTTTTTATTGAAGCACTGATAGTGTTCACAAAGCTGCTTCAGTTTTACATAAATGGCTGCCGGTGCCATGGACACGATAGACTACAAGAAAAGTAACATCATTTTTTTAAAGTGTTGCTAATGACGTTAACAACGTTGTGTTCAGCCATCACTGTGAGCATTGTGTGCTCTTCAGCGAGCCACAGTTAATGTTATAGATCACACCTGGGCCTCATCTCTGCTGCTCTGACCAGTCAGAGGCCTGAACCCAACGCTACGCTAACAGACGTTAAGGCACGTTCCGGTGAGTAGGGGTATTACATTATGGGTATACGTTACATTATTTTCTCCCAGAACCCCAAAACTGCACTGACTTTTTGTTTTTACACATTAACAGCACATTTTCCATAAAAATATCAATGATAATATTAAGAAAACTAAAACCCAACTGAAACAATGTGAATATGGTTTACAGGTCCACGGTGTCAATGCGGAGCCTTGCACCCCCTTAAGGCATGGGGGAATAAGACAAACTAGAATCTAAGAAAACAGAGCGTCACATCGGGCTATAATCACCCAGCATCTTAAATAAGTTGGTAAACACACATTTTCTTCAAAGTCCTCTGTCTTCTCTGAGGGGATGATGGTCTGTTGACAGTTTCTGGGAGGGATTTCTGCTGGGAGGGACAGCACACAAATCCTCTTTACCAAGGGCCCTCTGGAAACAGTGGATGGCTCCTTCTGGTAATACAAATACAGCCAACTATCAGCGGCTGTAGAGATGCCCATTCCTCAATATGGAATAATAACAAATCCACATATGGTTCAAATGGACTCAGTGTAAGACTCATTTTATTCAGTTATTGAAGTCTAATGGACCCATGAGGCTTTTCCCAGAGCCAGAGAACCTCATCGACCATGTTTTGTTTGGTTTTATGTCGCCATCTGATGGCCAAACATGATTTTGTTGTGCCTTCAAATTTTATTTCTTGAAATTACAAGTGGAAGATCGGATGTTGGAAAAGGTTAGCGGACATAGAGACAGGGCAGGTGCAATAAGATGTTATTTTCACAATTTAAACAGCTTGCAGATGGAAATTAAAGTAAGAGCCCCTTCCATAAAAGATAAAGGGACGGATTAGAAATACATTGTTCAAGTCCAATCCATCCATCGGTCTCAGTAAGTAGGTTATATATTACATTGCAGGATGTTTCTGTATCCTATTTCTATTTAGACACAAAAGTACATATATTATCCATATTACATATTTTCCGTTATAACTCAGCGTGAACGTTCAACCTAAATCATTTTACCCGCTATTTAATTCATTTATTGTCCTAATTGACTGAGGATCTCGTTGATATCGAAAGGAATAGCAACGTTAAAACTAGAGCGCGGCTTCATATTCTTGCGGAACCACACGAGTGCGCATTTGTTTCCGCTCGGAGTTATTTTGCACGTGGACACTCAAATCCCCTCCGTTTAGCAGGAGCCTGCAGAGCGTCTAGCTGCCTGTTACTTAAGTGTGTTAAACACAGTATTAGTGAATATTATATTTCACAGAGCAACATGGCGGACTCAACGGTGCTGAACCTGGATTTTACTCTGAAAGAACTGAGTCTTTCGTGTCAGAGCGAAGACGCGGACGCGCCCGGCAGCTCGTCCAGCGTGGTGCTGGAGGACAACAGGCTGGTGTGCGTGGAGTATCCGGGGGTGGTCAAGAGTGTGGACAACATGCTGGACACTCTCGGGGGGGAAAAAGGAGTGTCCAGGGTAAGCAGGCCGTGTCTCACTTTGACGTGTGTCAAAATATCGATATAGTGTAATAGTTAGGACGATTGTGATTATAAAATCGGACAAAAGTTACATTTCATAGCGTGGTAGTTAGCCAAATGCTACATTGCGGGTATTCAGAAAGGCAAATATGGCAACTGATATTCATTTTATTATTTTATTTATTTTTATGTTTTATCTCCCATGTGATGCCCTGCGTTCTGACAACCTGATCCACTTGTTATCAACCGCTATAAAAATATTTAATTTGTATAACACTGTGGCTTTTTTGGAAGTTTGGTCTTTACAAAAAAGCGCCCCTTCTATTTTCTTTCATTTTCTTTACATCAAAGTGTATTTCGTCCGAGGTTTACAGTTGCCTTGCAGGGGATCACAATATTTAGTAAGTCTTTTTATTAATAAACAAGCAAAAACACAGCGTGACAGAATACAGATACATCAAAACAAATATATTACCAACCCTGAAAATAACCCAAGCTTGTTAATATTTTAATTAGAATTAGTTACACATACTATTTTACAAAGGTACGCATATTCAGTCAAGGATATATAGGAAATCAGGAAAATACCGATATTATTATTATTATTATTATAATCAAGACTGTTCCTGCCTTTTATCTTGAGGCCACGAGGGGTTGAAATGTGATGGTTTGTAAAGCCGGCTTCTTATTTTGAGGGGGTTAATAGAAGAAAGACATCGAGTGTCTGTTTTCATGAGTTCACAACTTTGGACATCTTTACTGTGGTCACATTGTCATCATCCCGCTGTAGCTGAACGGCACTAATCTGACTCCCGTCTGCACTTCCTGTGAATCCCAAAGACCTTCGCTCATCCAAACAGGCGTCTCGAGCTGCGCTTCCGACCTCAGGACCCTTTCTGTCACTCTCTGTGCGGAAACCGCTTCCCTTCAAGCAACCTCGTCCTCAGAGTGCGGCGACGCGTGCGGAAAAGGAACCCCAAGGACGCAGAGGTCCACATGGAGATACTTGGAATCATAGGAACAACGTACAAATTCCAAGGTTAGATTTTGATTTCTTATAGTATTTGAGGTTTCTTTCCTTTTCGCTACTGTCAAAAATATTTTTCTTAAACTCTGTAATATTTGTTCTCTTCGAATCACTTACCTTTTATAATAAAAAAAAAAATTGTTTTGTTTTGTCATGAATATATTTCACATCTCAGAAATGTTAGGTTTGTTGTTCTCATCATCAGTTTTCTTTCTGCAGGGATGGCAGACTTTCAGTGCATCGCTGTGCATTCAGAAGGTGGCAAAGACATCTCTTTGTACGACAAAATCATCCTCCGCAAATTAGAGAATCAGGCGTTCTTTGAGCAGCCGATGCCCCTCTTCCTCCCCCCGGCAAGCTTCTCCCGCCTTGACTGTCCCGTGGATTTTCACTACCGGCCCGACGTCCTTCAAGCTTTATCGTGAGGGAACTTGTCTTCGCGATGTCACCGTGATGCAGCTCATCAGGAATCTATTCATAATAATCTCACCTCCTATTTCCTTTACAGCAAGGGGCACACCATGACCCCCACCACCACCACCACCACCAGCACCCCCAGTAGCAGCAGCAACAGCAACTATATTGTTGTGAATCGACATCGAAGTCTCCGGCGCCACAATGCCGTTTTTGTCAGCTTCGCGGATCCGGCTGTGCCCACCGAGTGCCTCGAGGCCGCCAGGCTCAACTGGTCACGAGTGTGCGTGAAGGACAGTGACAAAAGGGTTGAGGAACAAATAATGAAGGTGTGTTTGATCTCTGGTTAATGGAAGCACGTCACACCCTGTTACTAGAAGGAACCATAGTGTCATTTGGTCCTTTTTTAAGCAAAAATGTTATAAGTGTTTGGGATCCAGCTGGTTGGTTACCCTTTAGATGACTCTAGTTTGGACTAGGTTGTGCTCTTAATGACATGTTGGTCTCTGGGGAACAGTAATAATAATAATACTCTCTGATATCTATGTTAGGGGACATCGGCGTTGGTTGCCACATTAATTATATCCCACCACTAGAAGGTGGTGCTTCTTCTCAAATGTTGGTATGGAATTGTCCGGAATAAGAAACAGAGCCTGTGTACGTAGTTTTCTCTGGAGTAAGACGGCTATGGTCGAGGTGGGAAGTCTTATTGTGACTTATGGGTTTATAACAAAACATTTTTAGGGAAATCTTTAGTTTGGATTGTTATTAGCTAGCTCATTAGTTGCTAATGCTTGTCTTGATGTTGGCAAGAAACTCCAGTTGGGGTTGGTTGCCACATGGGACGTCCTTCAGACTGTCCTGTGTGTTATATATGTGCAACCAGGGCGCACACAAGCTCTGCTGAGGAGGAGAGCGCAGACCCTTCATTTGCCATCACTCTAACTCCCGATAGTGAAACCCGAGTTGATTAGATTGTTATTGTGAGACATATTCGTTTTGTTCCTTATAATGTTGTTATTTATGTTGGCCTAAAGTTGTGTTTCCTGTCCATGTTCCTTGCTCATTTCGTGTTAAAAAGTATTAATTTATATATCGATGCAATTCAACTTTCAAATGTAGTTCTACCTTCTTGATTCCTTTTGTAAGATTTGCCCGTTGGAATAACGTTGTGACAATCAACCTCATTTTGTGTGACAACTATCCCTGTGATGGGGTTTGTTATCACAATGTGTGTTTTATAGTTAATTACCTCTTTGTCACAATCGCTTGGTAAATGAGAGGGATCCACATTTCAACACCGTAAGCTTCAATTTAATGTAGGAATGACTTCTGAAAGATGTTTTGATGATGAGCACAACGAGCCCCATTCTCCCCTAAGTCATTTATTTGTGTCATTAAGTAGAGTCCTAATATTTTTATCCTCCTGTTTTGTTCTTAGTAGAAATCGCTTTTCCTTTATTTTGGTCCCTTGGTGTGCATAATAGTTTCCTGTTGTTTTGAAGAATCTAGCATTTTATGAAACGGGCCATGTGAAATGTCCCAGACTGTCAGTGTTGTTCACCGAAAACACACTTTGTCTCCTTGAGGCCCAGAAAACTGGCTGAATCCAGTGTTCCCTCCTCACAAATCATTTGCAAATGCTGAAACCTGCAGTTTTTTCATCCATGTTTGCCATTGTGTGATCTTCTTCCTCGCTGCCGCTCAGCTCAATGGAACAGGTACCGTCAGAATTGTGTGACGTACATTCAGGTGAAAATACAGAGTCGCTTGTAAAAGTCATCACCATAGAACCGTTAATGGTTAAAAACTCCACAGATTTGTTTTAATTACTAATATCTCATAAACACTAAAGTGCAGCCAAACAATCATGAATATCAGCTCTCATTCACAGAATGGCATCTGGTTGAATACAGCACATTGTTTGTTTTATGATTTTGACTCTTTATCTTATCTGAAATTCTTTTTTTGTGCTAGATGTTTGAGAGCCGACCCATCTGGTCGCGAAATGCAGTCAAGGCCAACATCAACATCCACCCTGATAAACTGAAGCTGCTGCTGCCCGTCTTCGCCTACTACATGGTGAGCCGACTGGGGGGGAACTTGTCTGTCACATCTCTTTGAAAGCTGTAAAAGTTGGTGAAAATAGAGCAACAAGCCTCTGAGCGCGGTGGCTTTGCAGTAGCAGGACAGAAACATTTAAATGTGTACACACACTGATAAAATTAGAAAAAATACGAGTTGTAACAAGTTGTAAAGACAGTGCATTTAATCATAGGGTTGGAGCCAAAAATACAATGAAAACAAAAGACAAATGAATTAGGCAGAATGGGCGGGACATGCACCGTTTTATTTGACACTAATTAAGTTTAACAAACCTTGTTAAATGTTGTAGCAGTTTTCCTAAATTTTATTTGAACTTTTGAAGTTATTTTAATTGAAAATATATTCAAGCATGCAATGCAATTCATTTGTCCGGAAGCACTGCTTGACAGAAAATTGATTTTATTATTACTTTTTTGTTTTTGTTTTACATTGTTCCTATATAATCAGAGGGGGGATGACAAAACAGTTTGGTAACAACTCCTTTAAACTGGTGAATCCTCCAATGAAAGCATGGAAAAAATATTTTTGGTCTATCTATTAAATCGCCTGGAAAAAAAATACTCCTGAGTCCTATAAAACATGGAGATACCACATCAACGTGATATCCAGGTGTGTGGACGGGTTATTTTAAGTTATTTTATTCCACTCCCAATACGTAGAATCAACATCTTCCTTTCTGCCCAAACGTAAGTTGAGCTTGGGATTTGCTCTTGAAGGTGACGGGGCCCTGGAGGAGCCTGTGGGTGCGGATGGGCTACGACCCGCGCAAGAACCCAGACGCCAGGAAATACCAAATACTGGACTTCAGGATCCGCTGTAGCACCAAGCACGGTGAGCCTTCGCTTATTATTCATATGTATCATTTACTTTTTTTAATTGTTTTGCATCAAAGCTAAAGAAAACCAACGTGCTGTGACATCTCAGTGTTTTTTTTTTTTTCTTCATGAAAGTTGACTGTTGGGCTTCCCACTTTTAGGCTATTCAGTATCTGACATCCCAGTGAAAGCCAAGAGGAGCGCCCTGACCTACAACCTGCCCATCACAGTCAACAAAATAGGTGAGTTAATTCAGATCAAACACAAGACATTCCACCATCGTCACGGTCACATGATTCATGCACCATCCAGTCGTGTGTGTCCCCCAGCGGTCTCTCACTGATGAGAAAGTCTTTATAAATGTTTCACATTTGAAAATGACCCAACATCTCACTTGACCTCAGTAAACTTTTGTCTATGGTCTCATTCTCTAGTATCAAGTCCTCAGAATGATGTTTAGTAAATGACGATCTATTTGAAGCAAAAAACAACAAAACAGGATATGCTTAAGGGCCTGGCTGCGCCACCCCCCTGTCTCATCCCAAACTACAAACCTACTGCTGCAATAAATGGTTAAAACTAGATATGCGTTTGTCTCTTAGAAAATGCTCATTGTTTCCTTTTTTCCTCCAGTTCCCCAGGTAGCTAGTGTGATGGAGCTTCCCGGTCAGGAGGGCGCAGGCTCCAGCCGAGATCCAAACCGTCACCAGCTGAAGGTCTGTGATGGTTCAGAATTACCTACTGGAATCATGTTACAACAGTATTGGACTGCGCTGCTAACCCGCTACTCTTAAGCTTTTCTTTGCTGCATCTTATTTCACGCTTACATTTGAAGTTTTGCACCGACTGACCTTAGCTTCCCCTCTGCAGGAATCCTCCTACATTTTCACAGAGGGCATGCTGCCTCCTCACAGACAGATGTTTTACCAGCTGTGTGATCTGCATGTGGAAAGGTACGTTAGGGCTCTTTGTTTAATTATAATCATTATATAATAAATACTTGAGGGAAATGAAACTATTGTCAGTCTGCACGTGCTGAAAAAAAGTCCTGAGAATTTTGAAAAAAAGTTATACGTTTGTATAACACTACACTGACACGCGCCTGCTTATTGACTGCAAGGAGCAGGAAGTGAAGGGAATGAAGTAATTCACAGTGACCTCTATAACAGTAACCATTTGTCCTCCTGCTGTGTTTGGGGCTTCAGTGGTGTAAATTCTCACGTCTTTGACTTGAATATAATAAGTAATACCACAGTGTATATGTACTCTGTCACAAGTAAAGCTCTTACATTTAGAGTTATTCTCATGTTCAGGCAGGCCACTGGGAGAGAAATTAATGAGAAATTAACCCAAAATCTGCAGCTGGCAAAATTTAATATTAGTTGTTTAGTCAATAATTTGGGAGACTGACTGGAAACTAGTTTAAAGTTTAAAAAAATAAAATAATGATATTGAAGTAAGAAGATTAAGTATATGTATCAGACAAAGAACATACAAGTACAGTTAAATTTGACTGTCTCCAGGATCAGGCAGGTGGTGGAGAAGATGGGCGACGATGAGCAGCAGGTGTGCGACGAGAAGGACGGCTGGTGTGTTATCGGCACTACGGACAAGCTGAGGGACATCATCTCATCCATGATCAAAACGGTCATCCGAGCGCAGAATCCACGTGAGGAGAACGCGCAGCACACGGCCTCATTCACGGGGGGCACTTCACCGTCACGCGTGAACACACATCGACTGCACAGATGAAGCACTCTCCTCTTACAAGGGACGCATCGCGGCCGCGGCCAGTACGTGTATCCACTTAACACCACTTTAAACAGCTCGTGTTTCTTGCTTTTGGTTTTTCTTCCCTCAGCCTTGCCAGAATTCCCCAAGAAACGCAGACGCCTTGGCCTAAATTCAGGTAGAGAGGAAGAGGAGCAGGACGACGAGGACAGGGATGATGAAGACGAATATGAGGAGGATGAGTTCCAGCCGTCGGAGGGCAGCGAAAATGAGATGGAAACAGAAATTCTGGATTACTTGTAACAAATCACGGCCATTTTAGCATGGATCTTAAATGTAAATAAATATTTGGAAATATATATGTTTTTCTAAGACCTGTGTATTCTTTGTAATAATATTTTGGTAGATACACTACACCTGTAGTGTTGTATTTTCTAATCAGCAAAAAGCATTTACAATCATGACAATGTGCCTCCGGTGAAAGCGAGGCACAATATTGTTGAATTAAATACCTTTGAAATGCCATTTGGCAGTCGTATCATGTGCACATTATCTTTTATTTCACACAATGAGAAATTCTTATTCTAGATGGACCCTCCCTGTGGGATAACCCACACAGGATGGTTAATTCAAACTCAAGCAGAGAGAGATGCTCATGCCTCCGTCTCATGATGAAGATTTAAAGTGTGTCTCTGCTGCGTGAGGAAATGGCTCACATTGATCTGGGAACAACATCAACTACTCTTTCTGTTGGCTCCACCTGTGGAACTTTGAGTCCAGCGGGACAGCTGTGTCAACTCCGCAGAGGTTACCTTCCTGATACACAGCTTCCAATGTTTGAAAAGGTTTTTTTACACTGAAGTTTTCCACAAAATGCTTCAGAACTTTCCTAAAGCAAAAAACAATTCTGTTAAAATTGTGCCATGATCCTCAAAGTGGAATCCATCCTGGTTACCATGTAAACATTTGAAGGGGACGTATCCCGCCGATATCCAGGATAGGACTCGTATTTGAGGAATGCACTACATTATTTTGACTCGCTTTAATTATAAAAGGTTATTCTTCTCAGAACACTGGAGACCAGTCTGCTTGTATTGGCTTGTGAAAAAAAAACCCAAGGAGGGCTAAAAGCAGAGATGTCATGCTAAATGATTAGCAATAATGAGCCAATGGTGGTCTGATTTCACAGTGTGTTGTTTGGTATGTAATCAACGTACCCAAATGTACAGTGTGTGCGCCAGGACTGTCCCCTAGATGTTGACTCAAAACTTGTGTCCATCAATCTCACCTACTTCTTGACTCTTGTCAAGAGGAAACTTTCAACCGCTCAAAGCACCAGAGGAGGATGTCCCATTTCTTTCTCCCTTTTTTAGTCCGCTGCCAAGAATTCATAAGAATTGACAATATGTGATGTTATGTAACAGTGGGGAAAGCAGCCCCATCGACTCCTCCCAGGTCAGATGTTGTTCGGCGTTGGGGGGGGGGGTGTCTCCTTCCATATAAGTCTGTCAACCTGGTTGTCCCAGTTAGTCCATGATGGAGAAGCTGGGGATCTTGGTGGCCTTTGCGGTGTTTCTTGAGTCGGTCTCTGCAGCCTCCGTAAGTACCACAAACATATTTTCAATGTCTTCTGTTTTGGTGTCTGCAAAACAGTTTCTGAAATATAGCTTTGATTCTTAAGAAAGTATGAATATTTGTTAATATTTTAAACCATTATCACTGGTAAATACATGACATTGGAGAAGCAAATCTTCGTGCATTTGTGTCACAAGAAATAGTGCCGTGTTACGTGATGGATCATCTCTTTTTATTTTTTACTAATCATGCCAAAAGGAAAAGGATCATTTCAATCTTAACCTTCAATTCATCCGCGGCATGTGGAGAAGTTCCATGTGCAAAAGCGGAGTGAATCATCATGTTTGTGTTCCACTCCTGTAGCTCGGGGTGGTGAGCACCGAGGGCGGAATGGTGGAGGGCCAGAGCATTCGTCTGGGGTTCAACCGTCGCATGGACGTCTTCAGGGGGATTCCCTTCGCCGACGTCCCTGGGAGGTTTGAGAAACCAAAACCTCACCCTGGCTGGGACGGTGGGTGGCTCGACTGAACTTCTCACCCACTGGATTCTACATCCATCACTCACATGATAACCTCACACCATGAAGTTATGTCTGCTCCTTTATCGATGATAGCCACAACTCCTGAGGGGCGATCTGGCCACTCCTTGTCTCTGAGCACAAATGTAATCTAATTATAAAAGGTTTTGTCTTCTCACTGTCGGGCTTAATGAGCCTCAACCTTATGATGTGTGTCCTGTTCTTAAACACCATTATTTTCTTATCAGGTGTCATGAAGACCAAAGAGTACAAGAGCAGATGCACCCAAGTGAACATGCTGATGAACGATGTCAGAGGCAGTGAGGACTGTCTTTACCTGAACATCTGGGTTCCTCATGGCAAATCAGGTAATAAAGGCTGACAGAAGTCCACCGAGTGTCATCCCTATAAGATCCACACCACTACAGGAATCCCTTTCCTTTGTCCCCTAGTGTCCTTTGAGCTCCCCACAATGATCTGGATCTTTGGAGGAGGCTTCCTGGCCGGAGGGTCCATGGGTGCTAACTTCATGGACAACTATCTGTACAGCGGGCAGGAGGTTGCAGACAGAGGAAATGTTATTGTGGTGACGCTGGCATACCGTGTCGGCACCCTGGGTTTCCTGAGCACCGGAGAATCTGACTTACCTGGTAGGAGCCACCTTCTATTTTTTCATGAACTGTGATATAACTTTGACGCCAGTTTTGTGAACTGTACCATTTAAAAGCCCCATTATTGAGTGAAAAATGTGTCACTGGACAGGAAACTACGGTCTGTGGGACCAGCAGGCCGCCATCGCCTGGGTGCACAGGAACATCCGCTCGTTTGGAGGAGACCCCGACAACATCACCCTCTTTGGAGAGTCTGCAGGCGGAGCTAGTGTCAACTTCCAGGCGAGAAGCTTTCAAAGATTGAAATAAAATTTACAATTTGTAAATGTTAATCTAAAATTGTTTCAGAAAATGTCCCCAAACATAGTGAAGCATGTATCATATCCGCCCACAGATTCTCACTCCCCACAACAAAGGGATGATCAGGAGAGCCATCTCCCAGAGCGGGGTGGCCGCCTGCCCCTGGGCCATCAACAAGAACCCCCGCAGCTTCGCCGAGGAGGTGCACAAACAGTTTTATCCCTTCTGCGCAACACTTTTGTGGAATGGTTAGCGTGGTAAAACTTCACGCAATTCAAGCAAATCGAAACCCTCTCCCCAGATTGCTCTGAAGGTCGGCTGCCCCACCGATCAGAACATGGCTGCCTGTCTGAAGATGACTGATCCTATGAAGCTTACGATGGCAGGCGCTCTCGATTTGTCCAGTTCAGCCGATCGTAAGGACTGCTCTCCATGCAGATTACTCACACTTTCATTTTAGGGACTGTGGTGCTTTGTAAGCAAAAGAACGGAGGGATTAAAAGTCAGCACACTACATATTTATCCTATAAACATTTTTGTTGATGTGTCCGATTTATAATGCTCATATAATAGCAGTGGATGGCAATAAGTAGCATTTTGTTGGTATTTCTGGAAATTTATGTAAAATATGCTATATTTGAAACGGGAACTTGGCCCCAACACATCAAGCAGACCTCCAACGGCTAGTGGCCTAATGTCTTCTAAAACGTGCACTTATACACAAGGCAACGGCACTAATATCTTTAATTCCATCTAGCATTGCTGAGATGTTGATTAATGCTTCAATTCCTTTCATATCAAGATAAACCCAAGTATTTAAACCATATCAACAGCAGATCTAGCAAATGTATTAGCCCCTATGATGGCACTTACTTAGAGCACTTTGTAGTTTGGCTTTCTTGAAGACATTTTCTTGATTCTTGTGGTTCCGGGGGTGTACCCTCTTGGTTCTCGTTGCATCCGTCAGATCCCGTTCTCAACAACCTGCTCCTGTCTCCTGTGATCGACGGCGACTTTCTGCCCGATGACCCTTCCAACTTGTTCTCAAACGCGGCTGAGGTCGACTACATTGCTGGAGTCAATGACATGGACGGACACGTTTTCACTGGCTTAGATATACCTTCAATCAACTCCCCCCTGTTGGAAACCCCGATGTGAGTTAAAAACATTCGATCACGCCATGAAACATTGGCAGTTCTACAACGGGTCTTTTGTTAAAGTCCTGGTGTTACATCGGACCAAATGTTCTAATCTTCCCGATCTCAGTGTGGACGTGAAGAGGCTCCTGGCCTCCTACACTAAGGAGGGCCCAACTGCTTTGGACTACGCCTACTCCACATACACCGCAGAGTGGGGCTCAAACCCCAGCTGGGAAACCATCAAGAAAACGGTGGTTGCGATTGGAACGGACTACATCTTCCTGGTTCCTACCCAGGTCACCCTCTACCTTCATGCTTCCTCTGCCACGTGAGGATACGATCTCGCTATACGTCACTGTCAGTTTGTAAGCCCTTCAGCTCAATGAAGAGTTGGACCTTTTTTAACGTTTGGTTGCAAGTGTCATCTAGGGAAAACACTTTAAAGGCTTTAAACAAAAGTAAAAGAGACGTGACAGTTTAATACATTCATTAAGTGTCCAGTGTGTGTTAGCACAAATCAATTACCAAAAAGGGAATGCAGTGTTCAGAGCTTGTTTTTACTAGTGAATAATCACCAGAAACTAAAAAAATACTCCATGTATGTACCGAGCGGAAACTGATACCTAGAGCGTCATAGTTTGAAGTGTAGGGCCGAGGACCATCTGTCCGTATATGACGAGTAGGGATAGCGAATGTGTTGGGCCGAGCAGAGAGGCATTGGTCAATTACAATATAAATATTATACTGTATAGCTATACAATAACCATCAAATCTTACTCACTGAAAGTCAAGATTTTATTTCATTTATGACGTTGCAGTTAAATAATAATACTAGTAATTAACTTTCAATTGACCAAAGAAAGAGTTAATGATTATTCTTAATGCACACTCAAGCCATAATTACACAAATATAAGCCCTGCAGTATTTCATACCATCAAGCATCGGGAAGGTGAGGTTGAAATCAAAGGCAGACTGAACCTGACAGAACCTGCAGAATAATTCAGCTTTTAGCGTTCTAAATGTTATCTTTGTATTTGTTGCCCTCTTCTTGGTGTAGTCACATTTAGACACCTATTTCTTTCTTGTCTCACCAAAGAACCGGTCGTACCTACTCCTACCTATTCTCTGAGCCCAACCGTATGGGCGGCATCGCCAGGCCTTACCCCAGCTGGATGGGAGCCGACCACGCCGATGACCTCCAGTACATGTTTGGAAAGCCCTTCAGCTCCCCTCTGGGGTACTGGCCTCGCCACCGTGACGTCTCCGGCTATATGATCGCCTACTGGACCAACTTTGCTCATACTGGGTATAATTCTGCAGACACGTGATATGGGAACTGATATCAAACCAACCAGAAACTGAGATAGAAAATGGAAACAGTCTGACTTCAGTAACCGTTTTCTCTGGTTATGTCCACAGTGATCCCAACATAGGAGAGTCTGGAGTGCCCGTTGCATGGCCTAAATTCACCAGCTACGGACACGAGTTCCTGGAGATCAACTCTAAGATGGACCGCAACTACGTGGGACAGAGGATGAGAATCCGCTACGTGCATTTCTGGGCCAGCGTCCTGCCCAACCTTGCCAACGCCATCTCAAAATAATGACCTCCATGAAAAAATAAATTGATGTCAAATGAAATAAAAATGTCCTTGTTTTTATTTTATGTTTACTTTGAACTGGCTACAGCACATGCGCAGCAGTTCTAACTCACTACACGTTGCATGTGTCCAACCTTTTTTTCCTCTTTGTGGAACACAACAGATGCTTCTAGCTCAATTAAATATAATGTTGGTGTTGATCTGAATGTACAAGTTATTGATTGTACAGAGGTATGCTATAACGTCCTAATAGAAATAAACAAATCAAAAAAGACAATAAACAGGGACTTATAAAATCTTATCTTATTAATATTTAGGCTGTACTGCTGATTTGACACCAGATGATCTACGTCAGTCAAAGGAGTTCTTAATCGTACACTGTAACAAATTGCTGTAAATTTACGGTGCATTTCTAACGGTATTTTACAGTATGTGATAATAACTAACATACCTTTAAATTTCCATCCCGTGCTTGTAAATTAACGGCCAATGTCATGAATAAACAGTTAAAGCTGTCAATTTACAATAATAGCAGACTACCGTGATTTAACTACATGTTACATATATTTTATGAAGTGGTGGAAATACACATACAAGTGCAGTGAATCACAATCCATCTAGATCTTTTGTAGGTGAATGTATGGAAGTCCATGTCAGCCACTGAAAAACAGGTCCTGTAAGTCATCATAATGAGATGATGACTTTACTAGGACATTACTATACATGCAGCTGTCACTTTTATCCAAAACGCCCATGGTTTGACATAAGACGTAATTGGGGGTTAGCTGTCTTGCTCAGGGACACTTCGACTTGGCACAGGGAGCAGCCAGGATTCAAACCGCCGACCTTATGCTGCACATCACACCCTCCCTATCCCACGCGTCGCCTTCGCTGTCGTTTCAGTGGCCGGAATGTAAAGATTATAAATATTCATATTATTCAAAGTGTTCATTGCCTAAAAGTCATTTGAGTGTTAATCGTGACCGACTTCTCCTGAACGTGACGTCAGAAGCGTAATCTCAGAAGAGTTCATCCAGAACATCTGTGCAGTTCAACATCGGAGGAGTTTCTCATTGCCTCGTCTCTCCAAGTAACGTTGGTGAGTGTTATTTGCCTAGCATGATTAACATTCTCCTTCCATACATCTTGTTGTCTTCCTCGTCTTTGTCATTTTAATATTTTACCAATGACAGTGTTTCTAAATATTTAATTTTGGTTTGTTTTACAGAGGCACTAGATTAAGGACGCCAGCCGTTTGATGCAGTCATTTGAAAGTGTTCCATGCGTAATGTTGCTGTTAGTTTACCTTGTTTCTAATGATTTTATGATTCATTTTTTATTATTGTATACAAGCGGCATATTTTATGTTTTATTCTTGTTTACAAATCCCTAACATTTTTGTCTTAAGGGCATTTAATAAACTCCAACCACTATGACCAAAATGAGTTTTGTTGTCTTTCTCTAATTTGCGGGAAATTAAATGCAAAAGTTTACGGTTATAAGTAAACGGTAACATTCTGGTATTTATAACACAAAAACAGTAATCATATGGTAACAAACTGTAATCCAATATACGACAACATACCGTATATTACGGTAGGGCACTGTAAATAAAACAGTAGGTTACTAGCGTCGACTGCCAGTAAATTGCAGTCAATTCACAGTAAAATTGGTTAAAGTTTACGGTAACATACAGTAATCTATTTTACAGTAACATAGTGTAAAACCATTCACGTATTATATCGTAAAAAACTGTAAATTCCTGGTGTCCTTGGTGCCAGCAATGTTTGCACTGCAACGGGTTTCACAGCAAAAACATGACGCGTTACTTTTGCCGAAAATAAAATAGGAAAAAAGGTTGTGATGAGCCATTTTTTTTTTTTTTACTTTACAGTTGTTAGCTGTTGTTAGCTGTGCATGTTTACTACATGCAGGGTATTAATGTGCAAAACAGTTATTGATTGAAAAAATAACTAGTACTTTCGCCTCTCATTATACTAAAAAATTGTAAATGTACACATGTGGGGCTATTTGTGCGGTTTTATCTAATCTCAAACTGCGTGTTATTTGCCAATCTGAGAAGCAGTCCACCTGGTTTCTATAAACCAACAGTGAACATCTCCTTCATTACCAACTTCACACGAACTCTCTCTTCCATTTATTAATGTGTCTTCAATGTGTGTACTTCTGTGTGTCTTTGAGTTTAATCCATTACTTACATTTTCACAGTGTCATTACTCATAATTAAAACAAGGCTGAACAAAGTGGAGACAAGAAGCTTAGTTTCTACCAACTCTGAATCAGACTTGAGCGTTTCATGCCATATCAATTATTATGTGTTCAATGCTGACTGGAATCCTTTGCTTTAGGGTTTACAACCGGCTTTATGCTCATCCAAGGTTGGAGGTTCAGAGATCAGATTGACCACAAGCTGTTATTTGTGTGTAAAGGTTGTGTAACAGGTGTAAACAGCCATGTTCATTATCTTGCAGTAAGGGGGTGGGGGGGGGGGGGGTGTTGTGCATTATAAGTACCCCGGGAAGACACTCTCTAGTTACTGGACAGCCATGGAGAAAATAAAAGAACCTGTGTGCTGTTTGCCTTTTTCGGGGAAACGCCCTCACCAGCCTCCGTAAGTCTGTATAAGCTTTCTGCGGAAAGCTTTCTTGCTTCTGGCGGCTGGAGATAATTTTCCCTAATGGGCGAAAAAAAAGTTCACCCTACCATTGAGGTCCGCACCCTCAACTTCTTGTGATTGCTGATAACTATCAGCCAACAGCTGCTCAAACTTGAAGAGTATTCCAACAATGCCGTACGAAGCATTGTTTTTTAAAAACAAATTCTGTGGACATCAACGGGTTCCGAAGAGTTTATTTCTGATACCACTGGATGTGCATCGAAGGAAAGGATGGCCTCTCTTCTTCTATCTCTGTCTGTCTAACGTGTGCGGCCATCACTTTTTCACTCATTGAAGTCATTGAAGGGGAAAGCTCTTGTCTGTCCTTAGCTGGGCGTGGTGCAAACAGAAGGAGGCGGTGTTGAGGGACAAACTATCCCACTTGGCCGTTCCCGCTCCCTGGATGTTTTTAAAGGAATTCCCTTTGCCGCCAGGCCTGGCCTATTTGAGAAGCCCAAACCTCACCCTGGCTGGGATGGTGCGTTCAAACACATTTTGACCAAACAGAACTAAACATTTAAATTCAACCTTTGCAGGACATAGTTAACAGATTCTCACTTCAACTGCAAAATCAGCCTTGCATCTCCGTAAAGCAATGACCCATGTGGTTCTCATCCCCAGGTATATTGAAGGCAACAAAGTTTGCTACGAGATGTCTCCAGAAGAGCATGCTCCAGACCTCATCTTTTGGAAGCGAAGACTGCCTCTACCTCAACATCTGGGTTCCTCACGGTCAACACGGTAGCCCTCCTTTTGTTCTGTTCGAGTGTTTAAACAGCAGTGGTGCTTGTATTGTAAAAAAAAAACTGTCTCTTTTTCCCGCCCACAGTGTCCTCGGGTCTCCCTGTCATGATTTGGTTTTATGGAGGAGGCTTCATGGGCGGTGGTTCAATGGGGCCCAATTTTCTCAACAACTACCTGTACAGCGGTCAGGAAATCGCAGACAAGGGCGAGGTTATTGTTGTGTCCGTGGGATACCGCGTGGGCACCCTGGGCTTCCTCAGCACAGGGGACTCCAGCCTACCTGGTGAGGGCAGTTAACGGGAAACTGGTGATCCTACCTGTTCAGATGGTGGACGTATAGGCTGTGCTTACTCAAAGTGTATCATTGCGACAGGAAACTACGGTCTGTGGGACCAGCATGCCGCCATCGCCTGGGTGCACAGGAACATCCGCTCTTTCGGGGGAGACCCCGACATCATCACCCTCTTCGGAGAGTCTGCAGGAGGAGCTAGTGTCAGCTTTCAGGTGAGAAGCTTTAGTATTCTTCAAATAATATGTGAGGGGGGTTGCACCTAATCTGGTTATGTTTGGTTGGTGTATAGTATCCTGTACTATAGCATTAATATGTATTTTAGTAAACATCTTGCACCCATACACAACAGCACATACAGTACATGTATTACAAAATACTACTACAGTGAAAGTGCAGGTTTAATGCATTTTAACGTTGCCGAAGTCAGTCAGAAAAGCAAAACCACAGATGATAACTGTGCTGTCAATGCATGCATTCCAATGCAGACCCTCTCCCCACACAACAAAGGGCTGTTGAAGAGAGCCATCTCCCAGAGCGGCGTGGCCTTCTGCCCCTGGGCTCTGAACAGCAACCCCCGCCCGGCTGCAGAGAAGGTGTGTCGTTGTCAGATATCACAGAGATGGACCCATGCCGTACAACTTTCTCTTGAAAGCATAGAAATATTCTTTCATTTGTTTTCAGTAGATTGTAGAGATACAGACCAATCATATTTGTTAATATCGAACTGTCTGCTAGATTTCTTTTCAACACTACAGCGTGAACACAGGCATGCAGTCAGTGTCTGTATATCGTTGGGTTTATAGCTATACTAAAAAGCATGTGCTCAGGTCGCTGTGAATGTCGGGTGCCCCACTGACGAGCGGATGGTGGCCTGTCTAAAATCAACCGATGCTAGGACTCTCACCATGGGTGCTCCCCTCTTCACAGAGGGCTCCCCAGACGGTGAGCGTCGCTTTCTGCTTGTTGTTCCGCTTCCTTTAGCATAAAAGACATCACGAGGTTGCAAAATGGATGACGTCGTTGATGAGTGAAAATGATCTTGGGAACATGTGCAGGTGTGGCACCTCCTCAGTATTTCTGTGCTCCATTTCTCTCAGACCCCAGTATCACGCAGCAGCTTCTGTCTCCTGTTGTTGACGGCGACTTCCTCCCTGATCGTCCCGCCAACCTGTTCCACAACGCCGCTGAGGTCGACTACGTCGCAGGGGTCAACAACATGGACGGACACGTCTTCACCGCAAAGGACATTCCTTCCCTCGGGGACAAGAATCAAGAGACTCCTGTGTAAGGCCGCTTTGAGTTCAGACGGAAGGCATTTTGTTACGTTGGCCCTTTGAGTTTAAACCGTAAGAAGAGACGAGGTCTTTGCCTCCTTTATGTTTTACTGCAGAGAAGATGTGAAGAGGCTCCTGGCTGCTTATACCAAAGACATGGGGCCAGCTGCTGCGGAGATGGCCTTTGCTGAATATTCGTCCAACTGGGGGACAACACCCAGCCCGGACCACATTAAGAGAGCCGCTGTAGACATTGGGACTGACTACATCTTCCTGGTCCCCATACAGGCGGCCATCTACCTGCACGCAGCTAACGCCAGGTCAGAACAACTGCCTGGTGCTTTTTTCTGTCAAATATGTATGTTTTACCTCATAGCAACAAAAACGTCTTTTATGATTTTGGATAGAACTTCACTAAAAACACTATGGTGGTCTTCAACAGGTCTGCGCGTACTTACTCCTACCGGTTCTCTGAACCCAGTTTATTGGCTGGACCAAGCAGACCCTACAATGACTGGGTGGGAGCAGATCATGCTGATGATCTGCAGTATGTGTTTGGCAAACCCTTCACCACACCAAAGGCTTACGGGGACAGACACAGAGACCTGTCGGGCTATTTCATCGCATACTGGACTAACTTCGCCAGAACTGGGTAAAGGCCTTCGAATTGAATTCTTTATTTAAATTGTATTCCATTTTACATTGCAGGTGAATGGGGTAGAAGAGTTATCACCATGAAAATTCAAATACCAATTTCCAAAACCAAAATCTGAACATGGGAGAAAGCTAGTTTCAAAATTGTAGTTTAATTTCATCAACGTCTCAGACCATTTTAGATAACTCTTTTTATCACTCCATGAATTTTTTTTTTTTATTGAAATGTTCTAGTCAAGACTAAGCATGATGTATGAACACACCTCTCTAAGAATATAGATCAAATAAAGACCAAAGTCTGGTGTATCTAGTGCTACTGAAGTGGGAATTTTTGGAGTAAAGTAAAAAAATTTACGGCAATAAAAAAACTCCAAATTCAGCAGACAGACATTACATTTGTGTCTTCAACTGATGGACACCTTTGCGTGTTTCTCTCGTCTTATATTTGCACAGAAACCCCAACAAGGGGAACCTGGAGGTGCCTGTGACCTGGCCTGCATTCACCAGCACTGAGCCCCAGTTTGTGGACATCAATGCTAAAATGAACGTGAGCTCCACTGGACGGGACATGAGACTACGTTTCGTCCGTCTTTGGACCAGCACCCTTCCCAGCCTTCAGTCACACGGTGTGACAGATGCTCAGTGATGCGATATTTTTGATTAAAAAAGGCACCATTTATACAAATTAAAGTGTTTGACGGTTAGATACTTAAATATTATAGGTGCACATATCTTCATTTAAGCTGTATTGCATTGTGATTTTATATGTTTTTTGTCCACAAGGGACACTTGTCAGTGGAGGCGTGAAGAAGTTCCTGGCTATTCATGGAAATGGAGGAGGATGACACTAAATTTAGAGGATGGCATTGGAAATACAACATATAAGTATAATCATTCGATTACAACATCAAAACTATTTAAGAAACACTAAGATGCTTTACAATTGCACATAAATAAAGTAGAACTTAGCAATCAATTGAAAAAGTACTTCCTTTAATACGTTCAATGTGACATCAGAAAGAAAGTTCCTGCAGTGGAAAGGTGGCCATTAGGTTTAACAGACTACATGTGATGGAACTCTCCATTAAATACAAGAGGTTATTGTGTTCTTTGGGTTTGATAGCGCTGATAAATCAGGCCGTTGTGTTTGATTAAAACGGTGGTAGTCTATAATGTGCTGTGCTTATGCTGTCTGAAAGAATGATTGTGTGGACGAAGACAGCAGAATCAAAGATCATCTTGGTGCTTTTATTCTGAAAACATGTGCAGCCCGAATGATCTGATCCGATCCTCGTGTAATCTCATTAGGTAAACTAAATCCAGGTAACTCGACTGATACCATCAGAGACAAACAGAGGGGGGGGCTCCAAATAAAACTTCTGCCCGTTGCTATAGTCAGTCCAAGGATCCAACAAAGTGTCTCTCGTCTCCCTGGCGACATTTGGATGTCATGCCGATTGCTCACGATAAACTAACCGCAAGAGGAAGGGACACCGCAGAGACCCGCTAGACATTACGAGCATGTCCAATAGGAAAGTGGCTGTCGTTATTGGACTGGGAGTAGCTGTGATGCTTCTGGTGCAGAGCGGAGACCCGCTGGACTCCGCGCGCAACGGGCCCCCGGTTTGGAGCGACTCCGGGCTGCTCGCGCGGGCTGTGATCTGCGTCATCGCCGGATGCTCCCTGCTCGCCTTGGGCTGGCTGCACGGTCTGCTCTTCGGTCCCCTGGAGATGTTGCGGGGGCCCGACGACGTGGGGTACATCGCCGAGGACGGTCGCTCCAGAGCGCAGGCGGCCAACGAGGTCCGCCGCAGGAGGAAAACCGGAGAGCTGCCCCCCGTCTTTCCGAACGGCTGGTACCGCGTCCTGGACTCGCGCAGGCTCCAGATTGGCGAGGTCAAAAGTGTCTCTGTTCTCGGTATGTTTAATTACAGGTGGATGCATTAACGGTGCTACTTAAGCACAACTAACGTGCCAGCTGCTACGGGGTTATAGGGTGTTTTAAAGTACTACTAAAACATGGATAGACACCAGTAGCAATGAGAAGTTGTATTTTATTTTGAAACAAATATTAGGTCTATTATTTAGGCCCCACATTTGCCAATATTCCAGTGGGCCCGGGGAAAGATGCGGACACTGCATCAGTGTTTACATGAGGGAGGTCAGCTTTGAAAAAGGCAGACAGGTGAGTTCAGTGAACCAGCAGGACAAGAGCGAGAGAAAGAGCCTTGAGGTTTTGGCCCCATTGCCCCGGACTATGGGAATGTGTTCTCTTTATGGTGGTGCCATAACCAGCAGGTGACCTCAATAGACCGAGACGCATGTGTTAAAGTCGGTGGTCTAAATCTAAATCTAAATCACACCGTAGAGGGGCATCGTGTGGGGACCGTTTCACTGAGATTTCATGCACATGTTTTAGCAGAGGCAGAATCATGATGTCCCTTTAGAGCCACGCAGTAAGAAATGACAACATGACGGAGTTTACAAAAAGTCAAATATCATGCAAACTAAAAAAACAACACATCTAACACAAACAAAATAGCTCTTCGCTGCACTGAGGACATCAAACTGTTATTTCTTTAATGATCTTAGATACGCATGAATTGTGATCCAGTGCCTATATTGTGTGAGGCACAATTGACAGTTCTTCTTCTTAAAGCGTTTATTTAAATGAAGCACTTTTGACTTGCCACGGATGTTTAAGCTCTCGGGAAACAATGTTTAAGCTCATATTTCAAAGTTGTTTCATACTTTAGAAACACAATGACATGTTGACTTGAGTAGATCAGCAACCAGGGTGCTTAGTAACACTTTGTCCTTGATAAACAAAAAGTCATTGTTTTGGGCCAATTGAGCTTTAAACTGTTTGGTATGAAGGTGTCAGGGAGACAGAGGTGCCCTTCTGTCTCCCTGACACCTTCATACCATAAAAATATTGAATTAGGAAAACATTTTTCTCAAGTTGCAGCTAATGGTTATTTGCATTATAATTTAATCGCCTGATGAATCATTTAGCTGATTGAAGTTTCTTATTATAAAATGTTTTGTAAAATAGTGAAATTAGACATTTCTAGAGCTAAAGCGATGCTTTCAAATGTCTTGTGCATAGCATTTTACTGAAGGCAAAACCACAATGTACATCTAAGTGTACACAATTTTCCTATTATTGATGAATTTCATAGAATTAGCTGCTCTATTGGTCTTAGCGTTTTTGAGAATCTGACGTCCAATCTCTCATGAATGAGTTCTCATCATTCACAGTTTTTAATATTTCATGTCTGCTTCACTGTGATTTGTAGCAGCACTGTTGTCGGGTTTCTATTGATTTCATATGGCTGTTTATTTCCGTGTGATTCCATTTTAGATCTTTTATTCTCATGTTGATATGCGGAAAATTGTTTCATCTCTTCAGAGAAGTTCTTTGAGTTTGAGTTCAAAAAGGTTTCAAAGAGCGTGTGGCGCTTTCATGTTTCCGGTCACCCGCCATGAATGAATAAACTGTGCATGAAAGGCTTTCAGCCTGAAACGGACATCCACCAGAGACACCTGCTCTTAAAGAGAAAATCCGCAAATACAAGTTAGATAATATTCCCAGCTTGTTTTAACTATTGAATTTATAAAAACATAATAAAATAATATAGATAAGAGACAAAGGATGAGGGAATCCATGATCAATTACCAATTCCATTTCATATTTCATACCAATCAATTTCATACCAATTCCACCTCAGGAACAAACTGCCGCACTTGCTCTTAGTCATGTTCACATGTTGTTCTCATTATCAGATTTGACAGAAAGCCCCAGCGTGTCCTTCCTCAGAGGACCTGAATGCCATTCTCTCAATGACACTTAATATACAGACAGAATCCCCCCCCCCCCCCCCCCCCCCCTTTTCGGTTAGGAAAAATTGTTTTTCCTTTTTTTTTTTGAAGAATTATTTAAACAACTTCCTCTAAGGTCTGGCTCCTGCTCATGAAGAGTTGAAAAGACCTGGTACAAAGATTACTATCCCAGTTTGACTATTCCACATAACAGTGAATCCGCAGAATGATTGCCTTCCCCCACCCTGGCAGATGCCGTGCCATCTCATCCTCCCCCAACGACTCGGACACGACGGTGAAGACGGCCCACCTGGTTTATCCTAGAACACCAGAGAACAACAAGTCTCGAGCTACACACACATAAGCATCGCCCCCAGAGGAGTGGCTGCCCTGGCACTCACGTCCTTATGGATGTCCAGCCTTATTACAAAACATTTTGGACAGCGAAACAAAGGAGCGGTGCACAGCAGTGATTAAAAAAAAGAAAATCACATTCAAATTCTACCCACGTGGGTTTTATTGGTGAAACGCTGAATTTTAAATTGCCAACATATGGAAGAGAACATCATCAGCATTTAATTTAGTCTGGATGTTCTCTGAATTAAATGTTTGGAAGTCAATGTTCATGAGCTTGTTTGTGGCAGCCTTCTTCATTTAGCAACAGAAGCTCCAGCTTGTTTGCAAGTCAACGTCATTACAGCTACAAAGTGACACATCTGTCAGTGGCTGCAGGAATAACTGCTCACGGTGCAGCTTCACATTAAAAGAATTCTATTCTGCATGCGGGGTTGCTGCATGCTTAGCTTCACACTTACGAACACATTTTATTTGTGCATATATTTGTTAGTGGAGACATCAATCTTTCCAAACTGGCAGCTCATTCATGAAAATGATGATGATGGTCCTACAGGTGAGCAGGTGGCAGTGTTTCGGGGCCAGGATGGGACGGCCTACGTGGTGGATGCCTACTGCCCCCACCTCGGGGCCAACTTGGCTGTGGGGGGACGAGTGGTGGGTGGCTGCATAGAATGTCCATTTCATGGATGGCAGTTTCGGGGAAACGATGGAAAATGCGTGAGGATCCCCTATGCAGAAAAAGGTATGGACTGGGGGTGGTTTCCAAGGATCTTTTATTAATTTGATTATTTATTAATTCATTATTATTGCTGGATAGACAACGCAACTATAAAATGTTTACTTCATTTGAGAACCTCAGGCGGAAGGCTAAGGTTGGAGAACTGAAAAAAAAAGTTTTACAGCTACTGTTTCTAAAAAAGACAAAAAGTCCAAAGCCTGGCTAATGAAAAGTGGAACAAACAAGATGGAGATATCTTGGAGTCAGTCAAACACAAACTGTCCTCAGGGTGGTGCTACAGGTTCTCCTGTGACATATCTGATGTTTAACACTAACATTTTGTTCAGTGTGGTGGCGCAAGAGATGCTGATATTTTTTGTGTAGCATTGAAGATTTCATTCCTCTGGGAAGAATATGATCACTTCATAAACTGACTTTGGATTCATTAAAGTTCCCTTTCCAAATGTCAATCGACCAGCATTAGTTGACGTCCATTTGCATGGATGGACAGCGGTGAATCCTGATACCCACCAGTGTAGGAAGTGGACTGTCCAAAGACACAATTTGGTCTCATCTGTCATTCAGTGCCGGAGTTTGCCAAAGTGCGCTGCTGGCCCAGCTGTGAGGTCAACGGGCAGATCCTGGTTTGGTTTCACTGTGACGGAGAAGACCCTCGGTGGACCATCCCGGAGCAGCCGGAAATCACAACGGGCGAGTGGGTCTATCGGGGGAGAACGGAACATTTCATCAACGCTCACATAGAGGTAAGTGTATACAGCACCAAGATGTTTTTAGTTGGTTCTAAGATGAAAAGCTATCTCTTTCCCTGAGGTAACAGGCTCATCCTTTCTGGAGAAACTGCTGAGTTTGAGTTTTTCTTCTTCTTTGTTGCTTTCAGCAACACGAGCCGAACGCCATTTAGTCTCATTATGTCCAAAATAAATCAGACCTCTAAATGGCTGACATCTCCAAACTATAGACGACTCACACCAAAACAACCTAGAATGATAAAAAGAACCACGGGTAACAGTAAACATTTGAATATCGTCCCTCAATGCTGCTGCTGCCGGCTCCTTACCTTTAGTCACACTCCGAGTCAGTATCTACCTCGCCATGCAGAGGAGAGATTTTTATTACCAAACCTTAAACACAATTGACTAACCCGTGATGGTGACCTCTGTCCCCTGCAGGAGATTCCTGAAAATGCAGCGGACATCGCTCACCTGGCTCACCTGCACACGCCGGCTATTACCAGCGGTGTAGATCTGCGCTACACCAACAGCAGGGCCTGGGAATTTCTGCGCCATGACTGGAAGGTAAAATTTAGAATGGTACAGAATGTATTCATTTTAAACAAAGCATCTCTGTGTCGAATGGCACTGAAGCCTCTTTGACGCGTGCGTGTTTCTCATTCAAGGTTCAGTGGGAACCGGAGCCGGAGCCCAACAAGCATTGTTCTCAGATGTCGGTGAAACACGCGCTGACTGTGTTTGGGTGCCACTGTCCTCTGCTGGACGTTCGCGTCGTGGCCAGACAGGTACGGCGAAGACAACACCCACAAGGCCTCCGGGTCTTTGGAGGGACTTCATAGCCCGAAGGCCGGGAATTGTGTGACTAACTGTGCAGCCTGGGCCTTTTCATCTTGCCCAATGAATTAGTGTTCCCTGAAAGCTCTAATCTGCCCAGTTTAACGCTGAATGCGGAGAAGGAGAAGTTGCTCTAAAGCAGGCGGTTGTGATGAAACGTTCTGGTCTGATTGACACAACGTTGGTTACTGATTATTACATATTCTCTATGATGGGTCGTAAAACACAGGACACTTGTTTCAGGTGGGTCCGGGAGTGGTGTTTCTGCTGTTTGACCACAGCTTCTTGGGCCGAGGCGTCATCTTGCAGTGTGTGACTCCGGTGGAGCCTCTGCTGCAGTGGGTCTCTCACACCATCTTCTACCAGTCTAATATCCCTCCTCTGGTGCCCAAATTCGTCCTCAGAGCAGAGTGCATTCAGGTGCAGTACGCTCTCACCTCCTACTATCGCTGCCACGTGGTCATTCAGGGATCATGGTTAAGTTTGAAGGGAAGCATTGCTCTGATGTGAGGGCATCACTGTGTGTATTTGTCTCTCACTCTGCCTTTGGATGAATTCTGCCTCCTCATTGCCTCCAGAAGTAACACCACAGAGTCACAGAGAAGGTGTAAATGGCCCTCATTGAACTTGATAATGAGCTGAGTGGCGGAGCAAGAAAACATTTCCTGACACTTAATGAGTTGTCTTGAAATAGACAGAAGTAGATGTCTTAATGATAAGTGGAGTTGGATTTAAAAGACCAACAATTTTGGTTAAACAAAGAAAATATTGTAAATGCCTACATTACGAGTTTATTTAGTACTTTCTATTTAAATGTTTAATTCTGTCTAAACACCAGAAGCTTACAAGAACTTGGACAATAGAATTCTTAACCAGGAGCTTTTTTATGGGCTAAGATGCTTTGTGAATAACCATAATTAATTAACACACAGTCAGAAGATAATTTGATAAGGTCATCTAGTCCTTTTGTGGTATCAACACAAATCGTTAACATCTCAGAGGACATGTTTGTACTGAAATGCCAAATCTCAGCAGCGGATTCCCCAACCGTGTGCAGTGACATTTCATCAACACTTCATACATAAATTATAACATATCATCTAAATTCTGCTATCATTTAAGTAACTTATGGTATTAAAACAAGTCAAACATGACGTTTGTTAATTAACTCTTTTTCACAGCTTATTTGAAATCTTAATTTAAAACTCTATCCGTTGACCTTCTCCCGTTTACTTCTTTGTGTCCAGTTTGAGCGCGACGTGATGATCTGGAACAACAAGAAGTACATCTCCAAGCCTCTCCTGGTGAAGGAAGACTCAGCCATCCAGAAACACAGGCGCTGGTTCAGTCAGTTCTACAGCGAGAACAGCCCGCAGCTGCAGTACCAGCGTGACACTTTGGACTTCTGACCTCTCCCGACCGAAGCGATGATCTCAGGTCACGGTTGACATTAATCAGAGGATCCCGAGTAGGGAGGCTGGAATTTTTTTTTAACCGTCAAATATGATATATATGAAAGGAAGAAAGCAGGCCGGATCTCTGTTGAAAGCCTGAACCTGACCCGAGCCCTCATAGCGTCCTTACTGAAGTCTTACCGAAGTGGATGATGTTGACTTCCCAGCTTCATACACGCAAGTGCCGACAGCCGTCACGTCGCCCGACTGAGCGGTTCAGCCCGTACATGTGAGATCTTGGTGAGCCAGTGCGAATATACAGAGCCAGCGACACCGAGGAACGCCACAGTCGCCTCGCTGTATCGCTGTCAAGACCATTTATTTCACAGAAGTCTGCAAAAATAGGATGATTTCCACATACTGTGATGTGGATGACTGCTACAGCCGGTTTTGATTTGTGTCTGTGTGTTTGATATGCAATCACCTTCTTCTAGTTAGAGTTCAGTGAGATTTCTGATACCGTGATTGGATATCAGTTGCTGCCTCACTTTGGCTTATTAAAAAATATGAATAGATTTTCCAAACTGTGAGTTTAAGTCTTTCATTTTTTAACGTGTGATCACACAGGGACCACTCCATAAAAAAAAACCATGATACTTCAGACTTTGTAGTGCGAGTAGTATTGACCAACCACGTCGGAGCGGGAGCAAAAGAGGCGTAACGCATCGACCGAAGTCGAAGTCCGGCCCTTTTGCGCGGATGTCTCTGTAGTTAAACAATAACAGATCACGCTCTGTCTCCTGCCACCTGATGAATGGAAGCGCAACAGTCACCCTCAATCCTCATAGCTCATAGCTCTTTTTCTCTCCACCAAGCTTCTCTCTAGCTGCTCCACTGTGTTTGCCAGATGTGATTCCCGTGACTGTATCTGCCTGCTGAGGAGGTGGTGGCCATTCTTGTTCATTTTTATCAGCCGCCTGCTGCTGAACAAACAGCATGAGGGTGAACCCAAACAGTAAAGCTGCAGACTGGCTTTACCCCGTTTATCCTTCACATTTAAATCCGTTGACAAATATTGATTAATGCCGCTTGAGGAGATTTTATGGTCATCTACACTGTCACAAACTGTTCCTTTAACATGCATGATTGTCATTTGTCAGTTTGATTAATGGAGCAAAGATGATAAATCTTTCATTGTGACGTGACGATCTAGAAACATTTTTTTTTTAAACCCTCGACCCAAGTGAATAACCTTAAAAATGTTCCCCTTCATTTCAATATCTTGAGACACTGAGATAAATAAATGTATTTTGGGCTTTTGCAAATATGTGATAAAATGTGACTTACTACGACTTCACTGCTAAAAAACATCTCTAAATTTCAGGCCACATCATTTACCTAAAAAGAAATGGGCAATGCTACTAATACACCTTTTGTGAATAAATACTATTGTCATGATTAGTTCATGTGTGTGTTGCTGTCTTTGCATGTACTATATGTAGTGTCAACACATCTTTTTGTTCCCTCGCAGTTCACATTGTCTACTCGTTATACCGACTTAATCATTGATGACTAATGCTGCGAGGCTTTACTAAACGGCAGTGTGCATTAACCCTCAGGTGGCTGTGAAGGGGCTGATGGTGTTGGGTGACATAGAATTACGTTTTTAATTTCCATACGGTTGTCGGATGCTCATCCATGAGAGGCGACACAGTTCAAAGCGAGCAACCAGCCGTAAAACGCACCGTGAATACCAGATGAAGCCTCCTCTTCTCCTCCCTCTCAATATTAAAATGGATTTTTTTTGTACTGGGCTAATCTACAGATGTGTCGTTTATTTAAATATGCAGAATAAATCTGTCTCCCTCGCGCTGATGTGTTCGCTCATGCACATATCAACTTGCAAAAGCGTTCCGTGGCACCGAATGCGCATTCAATCAAGTGGAATCATGAAACATGCACCGTACTACTTGGCCAGTGGCACTTCTTTGAGGCTCATATTGTTGCTTAGCACTCCTTATCTGTGAATAGGCTTATCTTATCTTGGTTTTATGGTGGTGGAGGACTGTGCTGCCTTTGTTGAGCTGAAGCATTACATCAACATTTGTCTCCCTCGAGCAGAGAGTAGGTCTGGCTAACATGTTGAGCTTTTTGTTAGGGCCGTGTTAAACATATGGACCGGACGGAAAACAGAACCTATTTGTGTTATGAAGGATGGCCGCAACGGGAGTCATTGCAGGCGAGCAAGAGGCCCTTGTTTCACTGGAGGAAAAGCCCCTGGAAGCTCCAGAGGAGCCCGGTGTCAGAGCTCTCTGCACTGCGAGGGGCGAGCATGGAGACGAGAGCGACGCGCCCACTAAGCCTTTGCTCCGGCACCAACATCAGGATGCTGTTTGTGATGAGAGTGACAGAAGCGGATTGGAAACGTCGACAGATGGGCCCGGCCGGCGGACATCTGTTCCGCCAGAGCTGCAATTGGCTGCCAGGGACGAGCCGGGCCGCGGCGGAAGTGTCGGGAGCTTGAGCAGTGACAGCTGCGGGAACGAGTGCCCCATCTGCAGCGAGCTGTTCGACTCGCACGGAGACCGCCGGGTCACCTTGCTCCACTGCAACCACGTCCTGTGCCACCACTGCGCGGCCGGCATCATGAGGCGGGCCAAGGACCCGAGCCGGCTGCAGTGCCCCTTCTGCCGACAGACCACCCCGTTCCCGCAGTGGGAGATCCGACGGCTGCAGGAGGAGTCGTACGGGGGCGGCTTCTACGACCCCGGACCACCGTCTGTCGTGAGTTCCGGCCCCGAATTTCCGGCCGTTCCAGAGCCCTCGTGGTGCTGCGTGGCTGTGCTCACGCACAGAGACGCACGCTGCGAGTACCCGTCCTGCCTGGTCGGCGGGTCGCGCTCGCTCTGCTTCACCATCGCCGCCCTGCTGCTGCTCTTCCTGCTGCTGCTGGGCGTCTTCCTGTACATGGTGGTTCCTCTCATACTGCTGTCCGTACTTTTCACAAGCAGCTAGCTCAGAGGTCGGAGGTCATCGTCAGTGGCTTGACTTCTGCAAAGGACTTTATGGATGAGTTATTATGGGAACATATGTTTTACTTCATCAGGTACTCTGCCATCAAAGTCAATTTGTGGTTCCATTGTTTTATTAACCTTATTTGACATTTGCCATCGATATTCCAGACTAACCTTTAGACCCTGTAAAGGTTTTTTTTATTGTAGATATTATGATTGGAAAAGGTCCAATTTGGAGATGGCAAAAAGCAAACATGACTCATAATCCGAGATATTTGGCATCACAAAGTTTATAGCACAACATTTTTGTAATATTTCTCAAACTGAGGGACAGTCTCTTCAGCTAGTCCACCTCTGACTTTGGTGTTCTTTGAAGAGCGCCTCTGGTTTGTCCCGTAGGGTTTGGTGCCACGTTTAACTGGAGGTTTGACTTTGGATCAAAACCCTTTCTGGGTCTCGTATTGACCTACTTCTCATCAGAACAGCCTGGAAGCTCTCAGCTGTGGCTGCTCCATATTCTAAGCAAAAGAAAAACCCTAGCTTGATCTCCTTTCATATTGCGCATGAGGGAGACTCGGCCCGTCAATTTAATAATTTATATACATTTTACTCGTTCAAAGAGAGAATGAAAGAGGGCCACAATGAAAGCTGGAATCAAAGAACCAGTTTATTTCTTTGTCCTTTTTTTGTTTAACGATGCCGTTTAATGTTTGTCGCTACGTATCTGTGCTATTAAATAGATGCGTTACTATGGATACTCATATGAAATGAGCCTTTTAAAAGTTTGGCTTTCCAATCACTTATCAAAGTGTTTAATAAAAACAATGGATTAAAGTAATTATTGCTTTCTGGGTTTACATTCAGGAGATGGGCAGCAACACAAATGAATGATACTTTGCTCTGTTGCTACTTTAAAAGTGCTAATATGTCAAAGTTGTTCTCAGACTACCGTTGTGTCCCAAGTGGCCAAAAAAATATATATAGATAAAATATTCATTTGTGCAGCATTTACACATGAATGAACAGAAACGTGTTAACACTTTCAAAGTTGGACCGACCAAAAGGAATTTTGGTGTTGTGGTGGTGGTTTGCACTGTCGCCTCACAGCAATAAGGTCGCGGGTTCGACTCCGCCCAGTGGCCTTTCTGTGTGGAGTCTGCGTGGGTTCTCTACAGGTACTCCGGCTTCCTCCCAAAGACATGCGCTGGGGATCAGCTTAATTTGTGACGCTACATTGCCCGTAGGTGTGTAGATGTGAGTGTGAATGGTGTGGATGGTGCTGTGATTGGTTTACCCCGTGCCTCGTGCCTCTCGCCTCTGGCTTCTTGCCCGTTAAGTTAACTAGGATTGACTCCAGTAAGATAACCGGTTTGAGGATGGATGGATGAATTTTTGGGTTGTGAACTAATTGGTTCATTATCTGTCTAATGCTACCTAGGATTTAGGAATAATAATATTTATAAAGTGCTTCACTTATAAAGAATAAAGCATATAGGTGTAATAAGAATATAAATGTTATTTGTATAACAGAATCAACGCTGTGTTCGTCTCCGGACCCAGTCGACTATCTCAATTACAAAGAGATTTGGATGCCAAAGGCCTCTAATGTGAACTTTGAAATGAATCTGAATGGATCAGGCCTGCACCTCCCCTCTCCCCTCCCCCCTCCCTCCCCCTCCTCCTACTGGGCATTGCGGCAAGTTAGTTGGGACTCTGAAATCGGGAGGATTATTTGTGCTCTCTGCAGCATGAATACTTCAGCTCGGGACAAGCAAGCAAGAGAGCACTGAGGGGGCTTAAACATCTATAATGTATGCGGGGCTACATGAGAAACACATCAGATAGGCAGCCATCCGTCTGCAGATGAGTCATAGAGGCAATTCATTTCCAAGACTCTGTTTGTGTCAACGCACTGGCACAGCATGACCTATTTGGCTTCTGGCTCGGCTCAGATAACGTGGGCGTCCAACCTCCTTGTGCCTCAGCTCCAAAGTGACGAGCATATATTCAGTTACCTTTGCAGGCCCACATATGTGTGTGTGTGTGTGTGTGTGTGTGTGTGTGTGTGTGTGTGCGTGTGTGTGTGTGTGTATATGTTATTATATATGCAACTCGGGACACATTCAGGTCACAGTAAATGTGTTTGGCAAAACGCTCTCATCTGACAGAAAGAGCAACACGAAGAGCTGAAGACACGCAGTTTGCAGACAGATGCGCTGCGTTCGTGCTGAGCGCTAAAGCATGTCGCAGTTCAACCAGGACATTCTGTCTGCTCCCACTTGTGTGTTTCTGACAGTGAGTCTTATATGAAAGGCTCTTTGGACCACTTAGAATAAAGGGATTTAAAATTGGATTGTAATGAGATGCTTTATCTTTCTTCAGAGGCCATGTCACCATGTTCTATTAAGATGAAGGTTAGAACACATAAAAAAATCATCTTTTCATTTGATGTGCTGCAAAACCAGTGTTGTTACCATGGCAACAAAAATGAATTTCATGAAAATCACTAGTACTTTTCTCTTATATGCCATTAGTTAGACTTTTAAATTTAAATGGTAAAATAACCTACTAAAGTAATTCTGTTAATATGAATAGATTTTGTGTCCATTGATGATCTTGATATTCATTTATTTTTTAATACTATAGTGACCCTTGTGCCTGTGAAAAATAAAGTCACCTTGGTTGGTGTTTGTTGTTTTGTGCGTGAAATAAACCCTGAGAAGTCTTTGATAGTAATTTTTTGTTCTTCATACATAAACAGACAAGACAGATCACATCCTTTGTCTTCATCCATCTTCTCCTCCTCTAAATGAACAAAGTACTTTGACCACTGGTTTCCAACACACCTTTAAACTATCCTCAGAGGTTTTCCTACATTCTTCCACGTCACGGTCAAAAGGCTGTTTGCTTCCCAAACACCAACACCTGCGGCAGATAATCCTCCTGATTCTATGGACCTTGAGGCCTAATTAAACCAGTGCCCAACGCCACCCAGTGGTGGCAGCTTAAACAACAGAACAATAACAAAATGGCTCTTACAAATTAACTAAATAAAAATGAAGGGAAAACACATTCTGAAATCAAATCAAATTTTCAAAATATTTTTTTATTTTACCGTGGCAGAAAAATAAAAAGTCCTTATATACAGCGTAAGGAGTGCACACCCAAAACGTTTGGTCCTTGCCGAGCACAAACTAGGTGGAAACCACACTTTTATTTTCATTATCAAGTCAAATGTACAGTGATGCTTGCGCTGCAAAGCCAATGAAGATGCACCAGCTGGAGTAGTTATTGGAGCAGGGTGTTTAACTTTTCAATGGGCCATTTGTAACGGCAGGAAGAGGCGATAAATGCTCCAAAAACCCACCAATGTTGCACACATTAAGTAAACTGAGAAGCAAGTGATCCGAGCTCTGACTGGATTTCATAAACTCTTCACTTTCCTGGAGATGCTGATTGCAAGTGGGATGAATAGAATCTCATCGAGCTCCATCTTTGACCAGTTTGCTTTGAACTGAGTTGAGCCATTAAGATCAGTCTCCTTCAATGCGACTCTCCAGTCTCCTCCATCCATGTTTCATTTATCTTGATTTAATGGGCCACACAACAAACATACATGTCCCTCTTCTAGCCCTGCAGAGGACCAAGTGGGTGGCCTGTGAGTCTGTATTGCAATGTGTGGGCGGCAGCACCAGCGTGTTCTTGTGGATTACTGAAGTGTAAAGCCTGCGATCATCTTTGTGTGCCAGAGACAGACTGAGCTGCAGCGTCTTTGTAGGACTCCTGCGCTGCGTCGCTCCTCCGGCAAACGTCTTACGTAATGACTGCATAGCAGATTGGTGCCGTTATTGATGTGTGAGTGGTGGAGCGGTGGGCAGGGGGAGAGGCTGAGGATGGCTTCATAACCTCACTTAATGAGGGGCTAGCGCGCCATCGGGGCCATCCAATAGGTGGTGAGATAACAAACAGGCCGTGGCAGGCGGGCAGTGCCTGGGAGGGGAATCATTAGGTGCCCTGTTCAACGGCGTTCATTTAACTTTTATTTTCAGCGGTTTTGGAGGGCGGAGGGGAGCCTTGTCTCGTCCCATTGGGCCTTCTGAAGGCAATGTGCTGTGCGGCTCTGGGATGTGAGGATGAGGACAAGAGTGTCTGAGAGTGGACGTTTCTCCAGAGGGACGGTGTGTGTTCATCTGAAAAGCCAGTCTGAGTTCACACATTTTTCATGTTGCTTCAGCACTTTTAGCATCCATCATGTATTGCTTTAAAATTATATTTTTGTATCCCTTTTATCACTTATGTAGAATCATCAAAATGTAGTTTGTATTGTGCAGAATTGGTTTCTTGCAGGAAGATGTTGAAATAATGTTAGTAGCTAAAGTCTGCTGCACATACATATACTCGTATCCCTCAACAAATCCCATTTGAGAGAAGCTCATTAAAGCAGACAGCCAGCAGCTGATGACGGTTGATTTCCTAAGCCTTTTAATTAATTTATCAGCACGGAGAGAAACCAATGTTGTGCAATTTATAATTCAGAGCACTGTTCGATGGTTTTCACACTGGCCTAATTTCCCAAACACCCTTTCAATCGCTGTTGTTGATATCGGTAGACACAACTGACAACACAAACCCCTTGAGGCAACATTTTGAAATGTTTGACTATTTCTAATCATGATAAAACGATAAACGGCCATTTGTGGTGTTCACACAATAAGTCCCTCCTGGCCAAACATCTTTTTATTGTTTCATATTCTTGTGCGTGTTCGTTTTGTTCGAGTCATTTGTTTCAACGTTTCCTACTGTGATGAATACGCTCACTGTTCACCTATCAGGGAATATTCCCTTCGTTTAAAGATCCGTTTCATGCATGTGTGTTGTAAAATAAATAAATAAATCTTGTTTCCTAGGTAACCGGCAGGTTGATTCTGCTCCTCGCTGATCCCAACAGATATCGAAACCCTCCAAAGCGCGGTCAGAGATTACACAACATTTAAAATAACGTGTCTGCACGCACACACACACACACACACACACACACACACACGAGTCGGACATAGAGTGTGACGGCTGGGTGGATGGACTCCACTGACATGCGGCTTGCCTAATGAGCAGAGAGCTGCAGGCAATAATAAATATCTCTCTCTCTCTCTCTCTCTCTCTCTCTCTCTCTCTCTCTCTCTCTCTCTCTCTCTCTAGTTTGAGGGAAAATCAGACACACAAAACTCGTGTCCATGGTTCAACATTAACCTCAAGCCCACTACACTGTGTGCACAATTATTAGGCAAGTGAGTAATTTTACCATATCACGATTGTTATCCATATTTCCCAACTGTTTAAACTTGAGTGCTAATTGGATTTAAGCATATCTGGTGATTTGTGTAATGAGGGAAGGTGTGGCCTAAGGAGATCAACACCCTACATACGCAGCTTCTTTTCGTCAGGCAAAATGGGCCAAAAAAGAGGTCTAACTGACTCTCAACAGTCAAAAATTGCAAAGGTGTTGGGGCGTGATCACAGAACAATCAAACGTATTGTTGCAAATAGTCAAAAGGAAACGTGTGGAGAAACAAAGACGCAAATTCACTGCCAAGGATTTGAAAAGAATCAAATGTGAGGCACCCATTTTCCTCCAGTGCTGCCATATTCCAGAACTGCAACCTACCGGGAGTGCTCAGAAGTACACGGTGTTCAGTGCTCAGAGACATGGCTGAAACCCGACCACCACTGAACAAGACACATAAGTTGAAATGTCAAGACTGGGCCAAGAACAATCTGGAGACAGATCTTTCAAAGGTTTCATGGCCTGATGAGATGAGGGTGACTCTTGTCGGAGCAGATGGACGGGCCCGTGGCTGGACCAGTAACGGGCACAGAGCTCCACTTTGACTCAGACGGCAGCACGGTGGAGGTGGGGATCTGATATAGGCTGGTATCGGTAAAGATGAGCAGTTGGACCTTTTGGGGTTGAACATGGACTAAAAATCAACTCCCAAACCTATGGCCAGTTTTTAGAAGACACTTTCTTTAAGCAGTGCTAGAGGAAAAGGTCTGTATCTTTCAAGAAGACCATGATTTTAATGCAAGACAATGCTCACATGCACACATCACATGCATCGAAATACTCCACTGCGTGGCTAGCCAGTAAAAGCCTCAAAAAATGATGACATGCCCTCAGCTGACCTGAAGAGAACTTGTGAAGCCTTCTTAAACAGGAGATACACAGAGAAGGAGGTCCACCTCTCTGGACAGCGTGGGAGGCTGTGGTTGCTGCTGCACAAAACATTGATCGTCAACAGATCAAGAAACTGACCGACTCCATGAATGGCACTTTTATTACTGTCATTCAAAAGAACATTTTGAATTGTTTGTTTATTATTCTCCCTTTTAACAGATGGAAATAAACAAGTGATTTTTATTTAGTTTCCCAATAATTGTGCACACATATAGATATTCTCCTAAGAAAGCCAAAACCTCTCTTTTACTCTCTTACATATTCAAGTTTGGGATTTATTGTCATTTTGGATTGACCGAGAGCGCTGTAGTTGTTCAATAAAAAAAATAATCCTCAAAAATACAACTTGCCCAATAATTGTGCACGCAGATTGGAATAACTCCCCTATCTGCCCCAGTGCAATCGGGCTATTTTAGGAGAACATCTCCCAGCCGGCTGGTCATTACAAATCACCCACATTAACAAAGCCCGCGTACACTAATCTGAATTCATTCAGCGGACTGTGTGCGCGCGCCCGGTGATGCCTGACATTTACTGTTGTGAATAACACGGCGGTCGAACGGATTCTGAACACGTAGTAACATTTATTTTTCATGCGATCGGCTTCCACTCGGCAGCAGCATCAGCACGTCGACGCGCAAAACCGAGCGGGCATACGGCGGGAGCGCGCATCACCACCGCGGCGCGCATGCACAGCTGTCAGGACCAAGGACAGCAGCCGCTGAGCCCGGATTGACCAGCCAGCGACGCATCGGGGCTGATCGGTGCCCCCAACGCGCGCGCCGCAGCGGCTGGAGGAAGCGATACACGACCCCATGTGAGAGGAAGGCGCCTGGAAGGCGAGAAAATGGTGTTGCTCCTTCATCAAAACCGTCGGGAGGTTTGAACAAATTCTGCAGAGGAGCGCAAAAAACGGGTGGGTGGGAGGGGGACAATGCGGTTTGAACGCCCCTGTTTGACAGCCCGTCCCTAATGTGAGCATGCACATTCCTCCGCATTGCACATAGATCCACCTTTTTTTCTCGGCCTCCCTCCCTCCCCCAAGCCGCCCACCTGGATCGCGCCTGCAGTCGAGCGTCCAACTGGCGGAGCCGCGCTGCATTCCAGAAGCGGGTCGAGCCGACCCGCCACCGGGAGGAAGAGCGACCGGGCTGCACCGTGCCGCTTGGTGGCCCACACGATGCGTCTGCTACTGCTGGCGGTGCTCCTCTCGTGCTCCTGCGCGCGGGCCGGCTGCGAGCCGAAAATCGTGAACATCGGCGCCGTGCTCAGCCAGAAGAGATACGAGCAAGTCTTCAAAGATGCGGTGACCCAAGCCAACCAGGTCTACGGCAGGGATAAATTCAAGCTGACCGCCATCTCCGTAACGCACAAACCCAACGCCATCCAGATGGCTCTCTCCGTCTGCGAGGACCTCATCTCCAGTCAGGTAGGGGCTTTTTTCTGCCACCTCTGCATGGGCGCCCTATCTTATTAACCTCTGCGCATAACTCATATGGTCCCCGGTCCATAACTATGAAACGGGCTTTGAAGGGAGAAAACCATGTTGCGTTGCACTTCAAAGTTGGTTCTTTGAGGGAGCATGACCTGCATGCCATAAGCAGGTGGGTCTGTCACTCAAGGGGCATCTGAAGTGATACTTTACTACAGGGCCGGTCATTTGTCCAACTTGGCACCCTGCACAGCATTTTCACGCAGTCCACATTGTATCGTTCTGATGCAGCAAACTCCCAGCGGACCCATCTGTTTTGACTGACATCCAGAAATACAATATATCTATCTCGGATGAGAGGGCAAGTGTACGTTCCAGGACACACAGCTGCACATCCACTGAACTGTGAGCGAGGCAGCGAGGAGTGAAAATGTGCAATATGTCGTACACAATTTCACGAGTTGCATGATGCCGTTCTGCAGGACAGGGGGGGGGGGGGGGGGGGGGGGGGTACTTTCTGGTCTTCAGGGGTGGATCAATGGCTCAGCCGTACTGATTCGACGCTGTTGGTAACACAAGTGGCCGTTATGAGAATGAGATTAAAATGGGCATAAGAACCAGAGGCGAAGATTTACAATGCGTGTGCTGCATATCGACCTAACGGAACATTTATTTCAGTAATGGGGGATCAAAGTGTATGTGATGCGAAGCGGTTGAACCATCAGCAGGGCTTTGTGTTATGTAGATAAAGCCAACGTTATGTCGCACAGCATGCTCCCTCTCTTTCCTCTCCCACACACATAATAAAGCTTCATGCGAAACAAAAACACCCCCACAGCTTCAGTGCTACTTTCATGTCCTCAGTAGAAAATGGCTCCAATTGATTCAGGCCTGTAGAACGTTTACCGTCGCACGCAGTCTCCTGTAACATGTTCATCCACAGCACGAGCGAGCAGTCCGTCCAAAAGGCTCCAACTATAGTCCGACCCTCTGAAAAACCAACATCTAGACAGACGTCGTACTTTATTTAGACAGACGGTCCGTGGAAAGGTTCAATAGAATGAGACGGGCTTGCAGGCGATGACGGTTACTGAGAAGGGAAGTCTGTGGCAGATGGAGGAGTAAATGCCCGGAAGCAGTCCTTGGATGACCCCATTTTTGACCCAACCATACGGACTGCTCATATCCAGCAATCCATGCCTGCAGAGCCGGGCGACGCATTTCTCGAGACTCAGCTCACAGAATGTTCCCTTTGCTAAAGTGCGTAGCCAGCTTTAGTTTTCTCAATGCTTAACGGATTAAACTCAACCGAACCGCCCCTATGAATGTTGGTCCGGCATAAAACATAAAGGAGACATTTCAAACAAAAGAACAGATTTCTTTTCCTTTGTTTGCTCTTCTGTTTCTTTGTTGTTTCTGACTTCATGTTGATATCCACGTTCAAAAATGTTATTTCTAACCTGTTACACAACAGTTTGGAGCAGCATTTGCCCACACTAAAAGACAACAATGTTTTATTTAAATGCAAATAAATTTCTTTTCACTCGATGACGAGAAGAAGATTTTTCAATTTGACGCCACAGGTCAAGCAAAGCAGGCTCAGGGACCCCAAAGTCCCCGATGTTGCAATCAATAAGTGTTCATTCATCAATTTGAATAACATTTCAGGTCACACCGTGAATCTAATTAATTGTAATCAGTTATCATCCCTCCTGCCTCTGTACCTAACCTTAGGGTTCTATACAAAATATGAAATGTTAAATGTGTGGGAGCTCCAAACCCTCTCACGTTGTTCCCTTACTGTGAAGCCCACAAGCCAGTTTCACAGCAAAACATGTAATAGCTACGTTGTGGAACGTGGTATTCTCACGCTTTCTTCCCAAAATCGTGACAATACTACGTTTTATTTTGGCCCATTCATTGCCTTGCAACTACGTCACTAGAAAATAATGAACGGAAGGTCTTCTACATTCTCTGATAAAAGATTATGAAAATATAACGCATACTTGCTAGAAATGCCATCGAAATGTATACAAATGCTGATGCTTTCTTAAAATATTGTGTTTTTCACAGATAATAGACCGACAGTCTGCCATTTTCCTTTTTTAGCTGAGGGGAAGTTGATATTCACGTGACCTAGTTGCAAACGAAACGGTCCACAACGTAGCTATTACATGTTTTGCTGTGAGACTGGTTGAAGCCCAACGATATCAGCTGTGCCGACATAAACTTTTCAAATAATAACTGCGTATATCCATTACCTTAATAAATGTAATGCATACATTCAATTAGTTAGCTTCAGGTGAAAAAGACATCATGCTCATGGGTTTTGGGTTTGGCAACAACAGCACTTGGTAGTCACATCAACGGAGAATAATCGTCTAACAGTGACAATCATGACCGGTTTACATCACAGGCACATAAAAGCTGACTCAAACTCTAGATGGGGGCTTATGAGTCGGCATCCTACTCCCAGCGTTGCATTTTGCAGCTCCCCATATGTGTGTGTTTTGATTATTATCTGCACAAATGATGAAACTACATTAAAAAAAGACAGATTCAAGTGTACAACGGACACCAGATGTAAGTCTTTATCAGGGAGCGAGCAGCAGCGTTTTCATTTGCTCCCATTACAAGTGCAAGAATGACTAAGTGCTGTTCTCCTGTGCCACTGCAGGTCTACGCTATTCTGGTGAGTCACCCTCCACAGTCCAATGACCACCTCACTCCAACGCCCGTCTCATACACTGCAGGCTTCTACCGCATCCCCGTGGTGGGGCTCACCACCCGCATGTCCATCTACTCGGACAAGGTGAGTGACGGAGGAGACACGCAGGGAGAAGGAAACAGGAAGAGAGAGGACGGAGAGTGATGGAGTGAGGAGCTCCCCTGGGGCGGCTTCAAACGCTCCCTCGATTAAACGTCCCATCACTGTCCATTAGAGGAACTGTGATTAAACGGGTTTCCAGCTGAAAATTGAAAGGACGTCATTAATAATGCCTCTGACCTGAGTTATGTTTTTATGAAGCGCGAGCCACTGAGAGGGAAACTTTAAAGCAATCACATAAATAAAATGGCCAGGACTTAATTAATAACTCAATTTGAGGTCTATTTGAGTAACACATCTGCTAATCTTGCAAGTTAAATGACAGTAGATTCAGGCTTTGAAAGGAGCAGGCGGGTATTGATTGAGGCACTTTTTAATTTGTTGCAATTACACCACCTGAAAAAAGTTCTGCTCAGGGATCTATCTATCTATCCATGCATCCATCCATCCATCCATCCATCCATCTATCTATCTATCTATCTATCTATCTATCTATCTATCTATCTATCTATCTATCTATCTATCTATCTATCTATCTATCTATCTATCTATCTATCTATCTATCTATCTATCTATCTATCCATCCATCCATCCATCCATCCATCCATCTATCTATCTATCCATCCATCTATCTATCTATCTATCTATCTATCTATCTATCTATCCAAAACTACTCAAAACCAAGATTACCTGAAACCGGCTACATGGCCAAGTCAGGATTATTCTTCTCGACATTGCTCTCCAGAACAAAAATCTTCAGTTAATAGCTAAGTGAACTGCCTTTTGAGTCTGGAGCAAAGGTCAATATCGATGCATTGGATTGAACAGTAGCGTATTAACCATAAAATATTAAAGGGTGAACTATGTTGTGTATCATAAGTGTAAAGATACTCTGTAAATTCTGTTTGAAGTTCTCGGGATTCACAAAGGTTAAGGTTAGTAACGTATTTTGACCCACGTCATTTTTACAGTTATGACTGTTATGGAGCATAATCATAAACAGCTAAAAGTCTGTTTGTTGATCAAATTGTAAATGAAATAAAATCTGCACATCACAATAAAAAAACTTTCTCTGTGTCGTAAAAACCCTTCTTTGAAATGACCATAATTTGCCCTTGCAGAAGGTTTTTGTCAACTTATTTCTAAACGTTCTGAGCAACGATACATGTTTTTACCAACAACTCCACCACGTTAATCTCCTCCTCCCACAGAGCATCCACCTGTCCTTCCTGCGGACGGTCCCTCCCTATTCCCACCAGGCGCACGTGTGGTTCGACTTGATGCGCGAGTTCAACTGGAACCACATCATCTTGATAGTGAGCGACGACCACGAGGGGCGTGCCGCCCAGAAGAGGCTCGAGACCCTCTTGGAGGAGAGGGAAACAAAGGTGAGATGCTCCGGCTCCCGGGCACCCCCACGATCCCCCCCCCCCCCCCCCAAACCACAAAACCTCCAACACCAACAACAAAAGTGTGTTAACATTAAAACCCCCCAGCTGTGTAAGGTTTTTTAAACCTCCAGGGTCTTCTATGGAACCGTTTTTCTTTCTGTTATGTGGCCACATCTCTCTCTCTCACCGTTGTGTGAACATTGGCTAACATTCCTAGTGACATCAACAGCGTCTAATGTGGTGTAATCTGACGAAAGTTTGTACGTTTATTTGCTCATCTTCACGTTGCTTTTCGCCATAGTCCAAATTATCCTGTGTCTATCCACATTGGGAGCCAAATAGTGGACTTTAACTTGGGGCTTTGCAAACCATCACAGACCGAGGTGTTTTCTCGGGGGCCGAGGCGGACGACGGGTGTTGCCCCCCGGTGCCCGATGAATGGCCGGCTTCATTGTCGGAAACAGACCTCTGCCTTGTGTTTATCGCACCCTGCCAGGTCATCTTCACAGGATACGTGGGAGATGTTTTCTTTTGCCTCGTCAGATACCGCTGATGCATCCGTTTCGACTGTAGCTCTGAGCGGTCTATGTGGGTCAGTGAAATGCTGATCTTCTTTAAGCCAAAACAGACTTGAGACTGCGATGATGTTGTGCCCTTTAGGAACGGGGAGCAAGCGAGCGAGCAAGAGAGAGAGAGAGAGAGAGAGAGAGAGAGAGAGCGAGAGGGGGAAATGAACAACTGCCGTCTATTCCATCCATGTAAAGAGGATGAAATTACAGAGGGACATTTTTTTCGTTCCTCTCCATACTTTAGTGATGCTTGTCCCTCTCCGGGGCACTTTGCTGTAATTGTGCTGCAGACGAACCGAAGCCTGATTCAGAGATTTAATTAAATCAGAAGCCGAGGAGACGCTGGATACGACACACATCCGAGGTAATTCACAGAAGGCGGCCGCAGTTTAAGTAAAAGCTGCTTGAATGGAGTTACTGGGATCGACGTTGATTAACAGCCACCAGCAGAAAAATCATTTTAAATATTTGGGTTAATCAAGTTGAATTGTGCAGCAACATCTGTGAATTTACAACAATTACACTGTCAAAAATATTCCAGATGTGACTCACATCCGGCACTGGAGAAGAGAAATTTGTGTATTAAAAGCCTTTGATGAGAACCGAGGAAGTTCATTTTAAGTTTGCATATTAAGGACTTTGGATCTCAAAATGAGCCCATCTGTGCTCTCCATTCAGGAACTCATAATACTGAGGGAAGTTGCTGCAGATCTCTATAGTAGGAGGCTTTAATTACCCATTTATTTAGTTTGGACTCCGGGGCCAGCTTGAGCAATTTTGTGGCCCTGAGCAAGATTCATTTGAGAATTTCTACTAAAAACCTGGTCAATCTCCAAGGAGGAGGTTGCTGATGTCACATATTTCTTCTCAGCTGTCAACAAATCTCACTGAAAGACCAAAGCCTGACATGTCTTCTTCCTCTGTGCCATTGACTATTTAACAGTGTTGCGCTGGCTGACATGTTCCATCATTACAATGAACACACACGGATGTTTTATTGAGCCAACAACAACCATCCTGGTGTAAAAATTCACTTGTGTCAGTCTGCCGCTGAAAATAGTTCCCAACAAATGCACTATTTCCTCCTTAGTGACGTTTGCTGATGCAGTGTCACGCTGTTTGGGGAAGAAACCAGGCCCTTTTGAAAGAAAACGTAGCCACATATTTGTGGCCTGTTTGTTTGGTTTTACCTGATTGAGTATTAAAATGAGATAACAGAGGCCACAATAACCTTAAGATATACTACTTTATTTGATCAATGCATTTTACAGATGTGTTGTTTGTCACATTAAAATAAACAGTTCTGATTGGTTATTTGTCTGCTTCCTACACGAGCAGCAGCGTGCTTCACCCTCCGCTCTGACTTCCCACCCATGTCTCAACATCAGCGGGGGCGATGACACCTGCAGCTCTTTTATGGTCCCCATCGTTTGGAGGAAGCCATCAGCTAAATGCTCGAGCCGTAGATCCGTTGACAGCTTTGACTGTGTCAGGTGATGTGAATGGCTGTTAGCTTGGATGCGGCAGGCGGCGGAATGGTCAGATTATGCCGTAATCAATAAGCGAGTGCTGTTATTCTCGCTAATCGCCCTGTTGTGCTGCATAAATTCACAAACTCAATTTACATGTTGTTTTTAAGCTGGGAAGCAGTTGTGAGGTCACACAGTCACAGGGGGATCATTGTCACCACCAGCATAGAGGCTCTGGACACAGTGGATTTAGACAGTGTGCAAACGTGAACAACACATGAAACATGCAATATTAACGCCTGACTGCGGATACAAAAATAGAGCGCTTGGAAAATCTCTCAGGGGGAGAGACAAAGACATTTTTTTTTTGTCGGCAATGCTGCGGTTTGTTACGTGTGGAGAGGATTTCTAAAGGCTTGTCTCGGAGAATGTTACGCGGTAACTGCCTGCTAGTTAAAGTGTTACAATTGGCTGAAATGTGTTTGAAATGATCTTATCAAGGAAGTGGAACAACTGGAATGATCTGTAACCCCACTGAGAATTTGTAACGGTGTTTTCATAACAGATGTTGCCAGTATGTGCCTGATATCATATAGGTTGGACACAAAGATTTTAGTTATCATTCTTTTATATAGACATTTACTTTTTCACTTTTCACTTGGTTTCTGAACGGCATTCACGCTGTCCACATTATTTCTGTACATTGGTCACCGTGGCAAACGGGCCCGGTGCACTGAGGTGTGAGCTTTGAAGCCAGCGGTGGAAGAAATAAACCCTGTGAAGCTGAGATGGATGTGTCTTTCCTGCAAAATGGCTGCCAGTGTCAGGCAGGACTCCAGAGAGTCTCCTCAAAGCAAACCGGACTGGAATCTAAAATGGTGACGCCTCGGCTGCCCGAATCCAGCTCAGCGTGAGTCAGAGTCAGTTGTGCTGTGACCAAATGCCATTCCACCCACTAACCGCACCCTGTATGCCCTGTTTCATCGTTGCACTCGACATTTAGGAACAGGAAATTATATAAAACGTGCATCAAACTTTTCAACCCATATAATTCATTAATGAATTAGCAGCTGTAAATACAGACTCCATACAAGTGAATTACTGGCTCGTGTTTGTAGGTTCAGCTTTTGCGTTCATTCCTGCAAACCCTCATCCCATCCTGATTTAATTGGTGATCACAGCTGCGGTGCAATTTGTTCGGCTTTGAATGTCTGGTACCAAGTGTCTGATCACACTAGTTGAGAACATAGGGATGAAATGATGGATTAGCAGTTCCCTAGATACAGAGATTGGAAAAACATGTGTGTGTTGGTAAGGGGTTGAATATCTGATGGCTCTCCTTAACGCCCGTGTTGACTTTGCAGTTGTGTGATGTGAGTTTCCAGTGTGGTGAAGACGAAACGGACCAGATGGCTGAGCTGCATTCAAGCATTTTACAATGATTGTTGCAGGGAACCAGGGCGCTTTCTCGCAGCGCTAATCGATGCAGCCAAATGGACGTCACAGATGATTAACGCATTGAACATAGTTGATATATTTCATCATCCTTAATGCCAGTTGAGATCTTTAACATTCATCCACACTATCAGCCTCATTCTGAAACGGCCATCTCTGATGTTTTGCAAGCCTCACGGTTAAAGATCCCAATTTGAAGCAGAAAAGTGGAGATTTGTTGGAATGCTTTACTGCCCCCCATTTTCAACTGTTTATAATATTTTCTGTGTCTGCATATTTTCTCTGTGCACATTACTCATCAGAATAAAAAAAGGAACTATGAAAACCTCGACCAACTGTCCTATGACAACAAGCGAGGACCAAAGGTATATTTGCATGGTCAATGCACGCCGCCCACCAACTTTCCAAACGTAGCAACTAGAAACCAGCCCAAACCAGTCACCAGCCGACCCAGAAATGTTCCTCTCTTGGTAGCACGTGTTTTCTTTAGTTTTTTACTTTGAGACATTTCCCTATGATTTAATTGAAGAATGATTTTGGTATGAAAAATCTATAATTTTTTCGGTCATTACAGAAAAAAGAAAAAGAAAAAAAAGATCTCAGTGAACGGCGCCTCGCTTTTATCATTTTCATTTTCTCCTTCAATAAAGGATTGCATGAACTCAGAACACACATACTCACACACGAAAAGAGTTTGCAAGTCCATTCCTTTGTGGAGAATCGGTAGTGTGGATCAAAACCGTCTCCCAGATGCTACTTCCTCCTGTTCTGTAGCACCTCCCTAGTTCTCAGCAGTTTTTTTGTCGGGGGAAAACGTCCTCTCACCCCCCACCCCTCCCCTCCTCCCCCCTTCACCTGTTTTTAGTTACCGGTTGCATTGACCTTCTTCTTCCCCCTACCTAACACATGCACGTCCTTCTTTGGAGCCTTGATAACCCTCAGTTTGCATGCAAACAAATGCAAAAGTTTTTTCTCCCTCCAAGCTTTTTTTTTTTTTTTTTTTTTTTTTTCCCGTTCAGCCGGTTCCCCTGGATAGTTTTCCTTTTTATCTGTCTCTCGATTTCAAACAAAATCGGCGAAGCTCGAACCAAGCAGGTAAAGAGGCAGCATGGCGTCTAAGGTAGGGAAAAGTAGCTGGCTTGACCTTTCTTATGCCCCGATCACAGGCAGAGAAAGTCCTCCAGTTCAGCCAGGAGACTAACTTAACTGCCCTGCTGCTGGAGGCCAAAGAGCTGGAGGCCCGAGTCATCATCCTGTCTGCCAGGTGAGACTTGTGTCCTAAACTACACACACCAAGTACTAAAGGGAGAAATGTTTGTTACGAGTGAATGTCAACAAAAGTTACACATTTTGTTAACATAAAACAAACAACGATAAAAAGTATTTGAATTTTGTGTTTGTGATTAAAAACCGTATTGCATAACTAATGGTTTATCAAAAGAATTTGAGTAATCAACTTCCAACTCCGGAGCTTTATATTCAGTTACAGGTGGCTTTTAAATTATGTTCCACCAGATTTTAGATTTTTTTTTTTTTATTGTCATTGAAATGCTGCACAAGACTGTTGTAAATATTTCTCTGATTTAGTGCTGCTGCTGCACAACATATGTGGCTTTTTATAGTTCAGATTATCCGATCATTCTGCCTACGACTTGCTAAGAGACACTGCAGACCCCATGTTGGACCCCCAACCAATCCCAGCTGTCCTTCACAACTAGCGTGACGTATATATGTGATCAGCCGGGGTGTGTGAAGAGGCTGACGTTACTGTTGCTGTTGCTGACATTACCAGCGTCACATAGTTGTGTGCAGAAGAGCCCTCAGATCTCCCATTGAGTCAATCAGTGTCATAGAAACCAGTGGAGACAGAGGAGCATGAGATGCATTAAGAATAAAACATTCAACACGAGTATGAACCTAAATAGGAGCATTATAGGTCCCTTTTAAGGCACATTACACATAATCTATGGTTCAATTTAATCTGGTCATCATTAAGTCACTCTCTGTCTCCACTTGTTTCCAGTTACAAAAGTCCCAGTAAAGTCATGTCATTTGGTAATTTGCAGATATCAGTTGGACCACACGCCAGCCACCAAACCCCCATATCACAAATCAAACATTTCTTGACGATGATGTAAAAAACACAAAAAAAACACTGTTTTGTCAAACTTCAGTGAGGAGGACGCTGCCGCTGTGTACAAGGCCGCCCGCTTCCTCAACATGACGGGCTCGGGCTACGTGTGGCTGGTGGGCGAGCGGGAGATGTCCGGTAAAGCCCTGAGCGAGGCGCCAGACGGTACGTTCATCCAGAAGAGATCGGTGGGAATAAGCGAGTTAATGCCCGTCTTTACTCAGAGGACCATCATAACACACTCAGGATTAGGGGGATTAACCGTTGGATGCACTACATGATCAACTGTATAACTGCTTGCTCTGTGTTGAGCATTTAAACGTTTAAGCATTATGTGTTTAAAGGTTTAAATGGGCCGTGTATCTGCAGTACACTTTAAGTTTAAATGTGTGTGTCCTGGATGATCCAAAGATAAATTCGTTGTGCTATGCTGCCATGTTAATGCCCTATTTTCTAATGAATTACAAAGGAAGAGTTTTACACATAACTGATAGAATGGTAAGCTACAACAGCCTTTCTTGTCTCTGTTCCTGGATTCTTTTTTTTTCACACAAGTGTCTCACAATATTTTATCACTTTGTGGTCACAAACGTCAAGCGTCTCCCACCCCCCCGTCTCTCCCGGGCACTCTAACACAACCGACCCCCTGCAGAGCGTTTGTTGTCCTGTCCATGTCCAGTGTCCTCCACCTCCACTGCAGCTTCTGCCAGGAGTCTGCAAGGCTGACGGACCTGGTTGCAATCAGAAAACTTAGCTGAAGTTGGATTGTCTCTTGGTTTAACTTTAGGTCTGATGGTAATATTTTGTGTGGTTTTATTCAAATGATGCTTTTCCTCTGCTGAATCCTAAAGCTTAGCTGGTAGGGCAGAGAACAAACAGATCCAACTTCAAGGGACACTTTACACATGCTGTGAAAAGGTCATCAGACGCAACATCAATAAAATGATCCGCTTATTCTCCTGCTCGTCTTCTAAACATCTTCTAAATGTGGAATTGTTCTTGGATAATATTCTCCGAGATTAACGGCCAACGGAGATGGATCATGCGGCTGTCTGACCTTTATTCAGGATGTCTAAATTGGCAGCCCCTATAAGTTTTTTTACACTTTGTGTATTGCAAAAAGGATCCCGTGAGGCTGCAGTTTGCACAGGTCAGTGATTATCTGTTGTTGTCGGCCTGGTCGCAGGTCTGATCGGCCTCCAGCTCATCAATGGGAAGAATGAGTCAGCCCATATCAATGATGCGGTGGCTGTGGTGGCTCAGTCTATCCAGGAGCTGTTTGAGAAGGAGAACATCACAGAACCCCCGAGAGGATGTGTGGGCAACACCAACATCTGGAAAACAGGGCCGCTCTTTAAACGGTAAGCTTTCCTGTTATAGCTGATCAAGCCTTGATAATCTGTAGATGTTATTGTTAAACAATGGGAAGTTATTATTGCCATCAGCTTCTAGATATAGCTGGATCCCAACCGCTTATTGTTTTGACGGCATATTGTAACATTTAGCACACATTAAACATTAACGTTGGTATTTCCCAACAATGAAGCCAGAGAAATAATCTTTGGAGACCTGCAAAAAAATCAATAACTTAATAAATTCCAGTTTGTAGAGGGTTGAAATGCCATTTCTCGGAGCAACCAATAACAAGTATTTTGTGTTTTTACGTTACCCGAAGACCACCGTAGTTCTCCAATATCTTGGCTGGGATGATTGGACAGCTCTCCTTGCTGTCTCAGAGCAACTCCTCACTGCTACAGCCGCCTCTCTCTCCTCTGTCCTCATCCTTCTGGACCTCTCTGCTGCATTTGACACGGTCAACCACCAGATCCTTATCTCCTCCCTTCAGGAACTTGGTGTCACGGGCTCTGCTCTCTCCCTTCTCTCAAATGCGTCCTACCTCGACGGCCGCACCTACCGGGTAACCTGGCGAGGATCTGTGTCGGAACCTTGTCCTCTTACTACGGGAGTTCCTCAAGGTTCCGTGCTGGGTCCCCTCCTGTTCTCGCTTTACACCAACTCTCTTGGCGCTGTCATTCGCTCGCATGGCTTCTCTTACCACAGCTATGCCGATGACACCCAACTAATTCTCTCCTTCCCTCACTCGGACACCCAGGTGGCGGCTCGGATCTCTGCCTGTCTAACTGACATCTCTCAGTGGATGTCCGCCCACCATCTGAAAATCAACCCCGACAAGAATGAACTACTTCTCTTTCCCGGAAAAGATTCGCTTACCCAGGACCTGACAGTCAACTTTGGAAACTCCGTACTAACGCCCACTTTGACCGCTAAGAACCTCGGCGTCACACTCGACAGCCAACTCTCCCTGACTCCCAACATCACTGCGATAACGCGATCCTGTAGATACATCAGGAGAATACGTCCCCTTCTCACTCAGAAGGCAGCGCAGGTACTGATTTAGGCTCTTGTCATCTCCCGCCTGGACTACTGCAACTCCCTCCTGGCAGGTCTCCCCGCTACCGCCATTCGACTTCTGCAGCTCATTCAGAATGCAGCAGCTCGACTGGTCTTCAACCTTCCGAAATTCTCCCACACTACTCCACTCCTCCGCTCTCTTCACTGGCTACCGGTGGCCGCCCGCATCCAGTTCAAAACATTGGTGCTCACGTACCATGCTGTGAATGGATCGGGTCCAGCTTACATCCAGGACATGGTCAAACCCTACATCCCAACCCGCACTCTCCGCTCTGCATCTGCAAAACTACTCGTCCCTCCCTCACTGAGAGCAAAACACTCGACTAGATCACGACTCTTTGCTGTCCTTGCGCCGAAATGGTGGAACGAGCTCTCTGAAGACACCAGGACCGCAGAGAGCCTTCACATCTTCCGCCGCAAACTATAGACACACCTCTTCAGACTCTACCTCGACTAAAGACTAACAAATTGTAGCACTTAAATTGTACTTGTAACGTCACTCATCTATAGCAAATTGTAAATTGGCTTATTTAAGGAAACTGATCTTTCTTGTTTCTTGTTTCTAGAGTTTGTACCTTATGGTTGAATGCACTTATTGTACGTCGCTTTGGATAAAAGCGTCCGCTAAATGACATGTAATGTAATGTAATTGGAGGGGTTTTCATTTAGTTACGACCTGCAACCGCACAACTACTGTAGATGGCACTAAATCTGGCAGCTTGGTCCTTTAAAATTAATCCAAAACAATCAAAGCAAGACTTGTCAAGAACGGCTGGTTTCAACTAAACAAATTGTCTTTGGTTAGTTTTTGTTGATTCTGAATTGTGCACGTTTTCAATTTCCATTAAAACAGCACTGAAATCATATATAGATTAATAATTTAGAAGAAGCACTATGTGAAAAGGAGGTACTTGTATAGTGTTAAAAGCCACGTATAATTCATCTCTGCAGTTGCCCTTGAGTAAGATTTTTCAATTTTTGCCAATTTTGAATGAAATTAGAGAGAAAAAGATTGCAGGTCTATCAGGTTTTCCAGAATGATCTAGTGAGTGCGTTTTTGCTGACCCACTTAGGATGGTTTCTCAGCAGATAAGAAACGTACTGCTTCCAAACAAATGTGGTATAAAGGAAACAACAGATATCATCGCAGCAAAAAAGCACATCTCTGCCCTGTGGTTATGTGTGCTGAATCAGCCATTTTTCACAGTTTTTCAGTACAATGCGCTGTGACAACAAACAAACAACACCTATGCATGCACACGTGTGAACGCATTCGCACAAAAGAACCGTTTTTGTTGTCTCGCCGCAGGGTGCTGATGTCGTCCAAATACCCAGAGGGCCTCACAGGACGCGTGGAGTTCAATGATGACGGAGACAGGAAGTACGCCCATTACAGTATACTCAACTACCAGAAGAGTCGACTCATTCAAGTCGGCATATACAATGGAACGCAGGTATACTGACGGACAGCGGCAGCGGAGACCTGTTTTACCTGGCAAAGCAAATTCATTCTTCATTCATTTTTAATCCATCCTCACCATCCACGTGTTATTATCTACTGAATATATCTTATTAAAAATAGTATGCCAGACACGCTGCTCAATATTTTTACTCTATGGTAAAATAAAGGTTGAAGGCACAATGAGTTGGATTTTCGTCAAAATGTTATAGACTGAAAACCATTCCTCTCGTTTGTCTCTTATGGTCGAGCAGCAGACTAAAAAAGAGCTTTCCACAGAGTTTTAAGTACTAAAAATAACTGCAAATTAACTTTTATCAGCTAGCCAGCATTAGCATCACGTAGCCTCTGGTTGAATCGTGGTTTGCTTTTAACCATGCTGGAGAAGAAAGGGGGGGGACTTTAGATGGTAAAAAGGAGATACATGTGATTGAAAATGAACAGTGTACCTCATATCCCAAGCAAGAACAGGGATTAGGCTAAAACATCTATTTTTATATTTTTCATTGCTATCCAATTTTGTCAAAAAAGAAATGGACATCATGTACACTGCGTTAGATTATTTCACGGAAGTTTTAAAGTAGTCCAATTCTTATTGAATCTAGAGAACAGCATTTCCATTTCAGTATAGACAGTTGAAAACGGACGTGCGTAGTACAAAATATAAATGGTTAGAGCTTGGAAGTTGATTATTTACGTCACTCCTCGACAACCGAGCAAACCTCCCTTTGCTGATGAAGAATGTGGGGCGAAAGTTGTGTGGAGATGTTGCTCTTAGTATTACAAATAGCATTGTTTGTAGTTAATGCTGGTTATGTAAAATCGTCCAGCCATGCAAACACAGCAAGTCGCGGGGACTGCGAGTATCAGCACATCCGTTGTTACTGCTGACAGGCAGACGTTCCTGGAACCCTCAGGTATGATACAGAAGTGGTTGAGGAAGTAGATGAAGGAGCCGCTGAGCTGCGCTTGAATAAAGCTGACTCATCAGTGATTCCCTCCCACGGTGCTGGAGCCTCATCAAGCCGTCTGTCAGCTCTCACCTATGATACTGGCTATGTGTGCGGCATCACTGCAGGTGGTGATGAACAATCAGCGGAAGATCATCTGGCCCGGAGGAGAGACGGAGAAACCGCAGGGCTTCCAGATGTCCACTCGATTAAAGGTAGGGAGCCTTCACTTCACTGCAATGTGACATTCCTGTCCACACAGATTGTGTACGGACCCGAGCTGAGACGCTGGTGCTGACGCCTGCTCCTCCAGGGAGGTGAAGAGAGTCCATGCTCATAAAGGCAGTGGGGATATATTTGCCACGACTTTTATCTCTTCAAATTTTTCGTAGGCCTGCACAGACTGTCTTATCCATATCCTTGTCAGTTACCTTAACATTCACCTTTGCGAGTCCACTGGGAGTTGTGTGTTCATGTATCGACTGGGTTCTTCCAATTTCTCTCTCTCTCCCTCTCTCTCTCACCCGGTCTCTCTCTCCCTCTCGTTGGACTCAGGATCCAAATGGATCCACCTATTACTGTGTGATAAACAGCCTTCTGTCCCGTCTGTTGTAGATAGTGACGATACACCAGGAGCCATTTGTGTATGTGAAACCCACTCAGCTGGACGGAACATGCAAGGAGGAAATGACTTTAAATGGAGTCTTAATTAAAAAGGTTATCTGCACTGGGCCCAATGAGACCATCCCAGGTAACCTATCAGGGACGTTTCTACTATCACTGTGCTTTTACTGCACCCGCCAAACACCCACTGGAGATGCATACATATATATGCAGTAGGTATCTATATATGTATGCATGTAGCTGAGTGTGCCATTGAGAGTGAGTGGTTGTTGGGATGCTTGGTCCGGATGCCGTGACTGTGTGTGTGGTCGTCTGCAGTCACGCATTTCGTTCAGTCTACGTGCGCCGCCTTTGGATGAAAAAAAAAGAGAAAAACGCCACGTTTTTCCTCAAGAGTGATTGTAACTTGCAAATGTTGCTGGTTTTGTTACAGGACGTCCAATTGTTCCCCAATGTTGTTACGGATTCTGTATTGATCTCCTCATCAAGCTGGCTATGACCATGAACTTCACCTATGAGGTGCATCTGGTGGCTGATGGGAAATTCGGAACTCAGGAGCGGGTTAGTTTTGCATTCAAAGGCCAAGTTTGGCGTAGTTTCGCATGAGGCACCGGTTGCACGCATTACCTCACATTCCCTACCTTACATAATCTTTTACCCCACTAACAGTATCAATATCACTGACGCAATAAGAAGTCATAGTCATCAAAGGCAGAGACCCAAAGATTTCCAGTAGGTGTAGGTGAAGTAAGTAAGTCAAGGCCATTTGTTGAGTAAGGTCATGGACTACTCATCGTACACTGGTAGGCTATTAAGTATGTTATAAATGATGTGCTTTAATACCGGCGTGTGAGGGCTGCGCAAAGTGGTGCTTCGAATTGATGAATGACATGAACCATTCTGAGTTTGTCCATCGGTTAGGGCTTGTCCAATCAGATGCGTCACATGCATCTATCAATAGCTACTGGTTTATAATATATTGATTTTATTAAATTTTATTACACAGATGTTTGAGAAACAGAATTTGTGTGAACAACAAAGCAAAATAGTCCTGTACACAATATTTACACATTAGCTTAAAGGCTATACCTCAAACGACAATGACAAGTGCTAATGTAAAAGTGTTGCTTGTAATGAAAATAAATACACAAAACAGCTCCACCTGGAAAACAAAGCGTAGTAGCAAGTTCCAGCTCCTTATTTACCAAAAAGATTTGCTTCTGTGGAAACTTGAATCTCCAACCCATAAAAGGCCTGTCCTCTCGGCATGAATGCACGATTCTATGAAATTCCAGAAAATAAGGCAGATACAGATTTAGGATGGAGAGCACGCCGAGACCCCCCCACCCCCCCCACCCACCCCTCCCTCCCCCCTGGAAGCACATTCTGTAGTCTGGCCGACTGCAGGTCGATGGCTGATACTCATGTTAACGCCTTCCTTTTGGGGCCTCAGGTGAACAACAGTAACAAGAAAGAGTGGAATGGCATGATGGGAGAGCTCCTGGGGGGCCTGGCTGACATGATTGTAGCACCACTGACTATAAACAACGAACGAGCCCAGTACATCGAGTTCTCCAAACCCTTTAAATATCAAGGCCTCACCATCCTTGTTAAAAAGGTAAGTCTCTACTTGTAGCCCATTAGGGGCTCTGAGAGTCAAACAACCACGTAAAGGTCGCATGCATCGTTCGGTTCAGGACGCTTTACCTTACGGCACTCGTTTTCTCACCATCTACTGTAAATAACGGTTTCATCACTTTCCTGCAAATGATGATTCTGTCTACTAAATATCCACTCTGTTATTTCCAGGTATCCATTAGGTTTCATTCATTAAAACATTTTACTGAGATATTGATAATCTCTTAGCTTGCTGTGCTTGTTCGTTAATATGAGGCAGTGCTTACTTTTCAAGTAAGTCAGCCGTGACTGTGTGTCTATTAACGCAAGTGAATGCCACCTTAAAGTTGGTTGTGATTGACAACACAGCTCAAGCAAATCTCAAACAACGAGCATGGGTTTAACAGTTCAGATAAGCATTGAAGGCGACACATCAAGGACAGAACATGCAAACGTGAGGTCATTGACGCTGTTGACCACCGATCGATCACTAACCGCGTTGTGTGTTTTCAGGAAATCCCTCGCAGTACGCTGGACTCGTTCATGCAGCCGTTCCAAAGCACGCTGTGGCTGCTGGTGGGTCTTTCGGTACATGTGGTGGCGGTGATGCTTTACCTACTAGACCGGTTCAGGTACAAGGGGGAGCTGTGTGTGTGGGTGTGTATGCTTGTGCCCACGTGTGTGTCATGACTCACGACTGAATCAGTGAATGCGCGCGTGCGTGTGTGTACATGCACCCCCGAGCGCTGCAGATCTTCCCTCGGTGTGGACAGGAAGGCAGACAGAGGTGAAGATTGGCTCCAACCATTTCACCGCTCTGTCCCTGTGCCGCCGCCTTTTTCCCTTTTCTTTCCGAGTTTGTCTCCCCTCTTGCTTTTCTCGCTCATGTTCCCTCCCCTTCCCCTTGCCCGGGGTCGCCAGGGTTTTCCTCTCTACAGGTTCTCTGCAGTTTCTCATTTTATCTTTTGCAACCCACACAATTTCTTCCCTCTAGCCCGTTTGGAAGATTTAAAGTAAACAGTGAAGAGGAAGAAGAAGATGCCCTCACCCTATCCTCTGCTATGTGGTTCTCCTGGGGAGTGTTACTGAATTCTGGAATAGGAGAAGGTGAGATACAAAGCAGCAGTAATCTTGATAATTGTTTAATCTCCAAATCCCCCATCATTCACTAGAATAAATTAGCTTCCTCCCTCAACGCCGTGGTGCCGTTGAGTGCTGTAAAGAACAGACTCAAAGAGTTTGTGGCAGCAGCTGTTGTTCGTCCTTGAGGATGACACGTTAATTCTTCTCAAAACACATTTTGCAAAGATCTTTCTGTCTGTGAATTATAATTCATCCAAACTGTAATATATAAGTGGTTTTAACAGTGTTTTGGTACCTGCTTTGCATGACTAATACAATTAGGAATTAGAAATGACTGAACCTAAAAGGTGAAACTTGAACACACCGCACAGGTGCGCCGCGCAGCTTCTCAGCGAGAATCCTGGGTATGGTGTGGGCCGGGTTTGCCATGATCATTGTGGCCTCTTATACTGCCAACCTGGCTGCCTTCCTGGTGTTGGACCGGCCTGAGGAGCGCATCACCGGCATCAACGACCCGAGGGTGAGTACCGGCTCATTGTAGACAAATGGTACCACACGACAACATTTGTATTTCCATGCATTTCCTCCGAATACCTTTAAGATGAAGTAGTCCTTACTCAACTGAATCCGGTCTGTCTCTTCATCCAGCTGAGAAACCCATCCGACAAGTTCATCTACGCCACGGTGAAGCAGAGCTCCGTGGACATCTACTTCCGGCGGCAGGTGGAGCTTAGCACCATGTACCGCCACATGGAGAAGCACAACTATGAGAGTGCCGCCGAGGCTATCCAGGCCGTTCGCGACAAGTGAGTCTCGGCAAGGCCGGGCCGACCAGAGCACGCGTCGGCCGGCTGCTCGACCGATCAGACACACAGACCAGGGCCAGTGCAGTGAGCTCAGTGGGGCCCGGGGTCATGGACCTCCGGACCAGGCGGAAGCTGCAGGGTTAAATGCAGCGTTCCAACTGATCCGGGCCCATCGCCCAGCCGTGGCAGACGATAGGGACAGGAGCCAGGGTGGATGTGTCAACAGCACTGGCACCAGTGTGAGGTTGAGCTAACATTGAGTGGAGGAGCACCCTTTTGCAGGTTGTACCCAGAAGAGCAACTTTGAGATGGGGGGAATCCAATGGGGGGACGTGCCCTCACCCATCTGGCATTGGATTTCATTTGGGCCGTAAGCAGCGGTAGAGATTGCTGGTAAACGCTGAATGACACACACGATCTGGTGTGCGAGAGAGAGAGAGGGGCGGGAGCCGTAAATGTGTATGTAAATCATTGTACTGTTGCTCCGTAACCCCCTCCTTCCCCTCCTCCCTCCTCCCCCCCTTCCCTCCTCCCTCCCCCTCCCCCACAGCAAGCTGCATGCTTTCATCTGGGACTCTGCGGTGCTGGAGTTTGAAGCCTCGCAGAAGTGCGACCTGGTGACCACGGGAGAGCTGTTTTTCCGCTCGGGCTTTGGCATTGGCATGCGCAAGGACAGCCCCTGGAAACAGAATGTGTCCCTGGCCATTCTCAGGTCTGTCCCAGCCGCAGCTGCATTACTCGTATGACTGTCTTCTTTTGTTTTTTGGTTTCTTGTCAATATGATTTCAAGGTCACGCGCTGACCGTTTCTAGCCATCCGATACATCGCCTTATGTTACATCTACTGTTTCTGTATCTCCCCCCTCTTGCGCGTTTGTCTTTGTCCAGTTGGTGTCTGTCTGTCCTCCTGTCCCCTTCTCATTTGTGTTGCTTTCTGGGAGTGAGCGGCTCGGATTTTCCCAACGTAGACGCGGCGCTTTATTAACTTTGTCATCTCTCCCCCCCCCCACCACCAACCCCAACCCCTTGCAGTTCTCATGAGAACGGCTTCATGGAAGACCTAGATAAAACCTGGGTGAGATACCAGGAGTGTGACTCACGGAGCAATGCCCCAGCCACACTCACCTTTGAAAACATGGCAGGTATGGTCCTTAAGGCGTAGAGAAAGCGTTAAAAGTGATTGGACAAAAACTGCAGTGGTAAGGTACTGTAGCCCTTTTTTGTCCAATACCTTTACTTTGTTTTAGTGTCGCCGTGGGTGCTCTGTGGAAGTGTGCCGTACAGTATCTTGTGCTGTGTCTTGGTGCGGTTGTGGTTTTCGGGTTGATATTGTGTTTGGGTCGCAGCTGCCATCGTCAGTAGGAGCTGCTTAGTGAAAAAGAGGGGCGCCCGCCGAGCATGACGGGCAGACCACGCGTTCATGCTCGGTGGGCGCGGCGGCCTTGTGGACCAGCAACTCACGCATCTCCACTTCTGCTCTCTGTCTGTCTCTTACCAACAGGAGTATTCATGCTTGTGGCAGGAGGAATAGCCGCAGGGATCTTCCTAATCTTCATTGAAATCGCCTATAAGCGGCATAAAGACGCCCGCAGGAAGCAGATGCAGCTCGCCTTTGCGGCGGTCAATGTTTGGAGGAAGAACCTGCAGGTAGGATTGATCCCCTCTGCTCGCTCACACCCAGGGTGGAAATGCTGATGCTGACTGAGCCTCCCTCCTCGTGGTGGGGAGTGGAGGGGGATTCCTTTCTCGTGGCCTCTTCTGGGAGTTTTGTCCTTTTTTGCACGTTAGTGGTGGTGAGACTGCCAGATCACTTTCGGGGGAAAACATCTCCGATGCCTTCATGCAGCGTTCAAGGCGTCCTCAGTGGCACCGGCTAGATCCTCACAGTCCCCAGAGGCCAACGGTGCCCGTGTCTCTTGTGTGTGTGTGTGCCTGCAGGACACTACGGAGGCCTCTGGAAGTCAAGCTGTGGCTGGGACGCCCTCATTAGTATGTAACAAAGCAGCAGAGCCATATCACCGCCCCTCCCCCCCATGCCAGCTCTCGCTGTTAGAGTTACAGTAGGACAACTAGCCCCTCCGACATGACGGACAAGCAAATCAAAACTCCACCTCCCACGTCCATGCATGACCTAGCATTCTCTAAGCTGCTGCTGTGGTGCTTATACACTTCATACGGTCAGATGACGTGGACATGGAAAGCCAAAGTACAAAGAGGAGCAAATGTCCGACTGATGCACTTTAATCGCTTCATCGTGAATGCCATACTAACAGTAGCCAGAAGCTAACCAATGCAAATAGAGCATAATAGATTCAAATCAATGCTCTGGCCCAATCACGCCACAGCGACTCTCTCAGTGTGTCAGTAAAACCGTAAACGCTCCTGTGCACAATATGTCTCCACTGGAGTGTCCATAAGGCAGAAACAACATATGGAGTCAAACCTACGTTGTATGTTGGGGGTGGGGGGGGGGGGGAGGGGCTTCGTGCAATCGGATGCACGATCAGGTGTCAATTAGTGGTGAGCCAGCTCACCATAATTGAACTGGTGAGTAGTGGTAAAGCCATGCAGACCTACTTGATTTAATGTGCCTCACTCCTACTTCAAAACCAATACAATTAAAGGTGAATGTAACTTTATGTATGAGTCGCAGACATCTACATGGCAAGTACCAAACTGAGTTTTTCTTTCCTTTTGTCGTTAGAATGAACCAACCCATTTTAAACTGCAGTATGGCAGTAAATTCCTCCACTCCTCTGACAAACAGTTGGGAAAATCCAATCAAACGTGGCTCGGACGACCTCCACCGGCCACACTCCCCTCCCTTCCTTTAGTCTTGATGGTTTCACTCCCTGATTGGATAGCTGGCAGGCTGCAGCCTGTTCAACGACCATGTCACGCTGTGAAGTATGTGCCGCGGCCTCGCTGCACCAAGGTTCAGTGCTGGGTAGAGAGAAGCAGGGTTAGAGGGAGGCACAGTATGAAATCACAAATGCCTGTCAGACAATCAATGTCCTTCCGAGAGTATCTGCCATCGACGTGACCGATGTATGTACGTGTCCTCATATGGATGTGCGTTCTCTCTTCGCTTACAGCAGGCCATGGCATGCACGGCATGGAGTTTGTGGGGGGCGGGGGGGTTTGATTACTGAGAAAGGAGACGGACATACTAAACTGCCCGTGGAGCGGCACGTTGCGGCTCCCTGTCAGCGATGATCACGTTGATTTCTCTGCAGCACTGAACAAAGACGGCTCATGCATGCTCATGTTTGCTCGTCGACCGTCCCGGTGGGCCCCTCCAGCTAAATCAACGGACGCACACGGCGCATTCGCTGCCCCAAATAGAACCACCGTGATGGGGTCTAATGCAAAGGAGTGCAGAGGCAGAATCCAGTCGAGCCAATACAATCCGTTCTGTTCGCCGTGAATATTATTCATACGTTTTGGGTGCACTGATCGGATTACGCAGCGTGGTATCATTTCACAAATTGCAAAGGACAGCTTAGCTGTGTGCAACACGGGCTCATCACGATGGAAGATCTAAGATCACGGTTTATGTGGCCTCCTCCTTCCTTAGTACAGCAAGCACCCAGGCCGGCGGTCAACATCATTTTGACTGGTTGTGCGTGTGTTTGTATGTAATCGTGTGCTTACTCTGCCTCGGGCTCTGAAATGCGCGCCTTAGAGACGAAACCTGACAGAACGTGCACTTCTGACTAACGCCAATCTGTTCATGTACTACCAACTTAACCTCCTCATGCAGTTAATGCAACAACACCAACCATTGCTTCCACTTCACAAACTAAGGCGCATGCCTCGTAAGGATTGCATGCCTAAACTGTACTTAATCTATTTGTTTGGTAAGATCACTTTGGCCATTTTGATCATTAAAATCTAAATTCTTTTTTTCAAATGTGCTGTGCAGTTTTTTCTTTTGTGACAGATGTATAATAATGATAATAACAGAATATCAGTCACGTTACTGTGGCATCGTTTTTTCAGCCATAGAGTTATCTGCGTCGGATGACAAGGACAAACGCACACAGCACCTGCAACTTCAGACTATACCAATAAGAAAAAGAAACACATAAGATTAAAAAAAACGTTCAGCATATAAATTCACAAATTGCAAACATTAATCCCTGCCGCAGAACATTTGCATTCGTGCCATCACCTGGTGGGTTTTCAGTTCTACGAAGCTGAGATTAGTCTGACAGATGGAAACGGCCAGCAATATTTTACGTAAATGTAAAGCACATTCTCATGTCTCCTTGTAGGAAAAGCGGCAATGTCTTTTTTTACACACTACAACATTGCTGCTGATCAGTAATGTGCCAATATAAACCAGCTTAAAATGTTCAATGTTTTTGAACTGTGCTCTTCATACGGCTAATACATTGACATCATGCAGCTCTTTGTTGCTACGTGTTGATCATTTAAATAACCACCGCATCACACATGTCCGGCTTTCAGCTTTCCCATTGGCAACAGACGTTCCTCAGAAGTGCAGCGTTTGAACACGACCGAAAGCGGTGTCGTTTTAGGGGGGAAATCAGAAACCCTCAGTTGCGGGGTGACGAATATGATGTATCCCGACAATGTACTGTGGTGGCAGCCGTGCGTGTGCCACGCCACGTTTGGTCCGCCATGCGGGGACTGTGCACATGCAGCACCTCATCAGGGCTCAAAGCGTGCCGGACTCCACTGCTGCAGCCTCCCACGTGTAAGAAATAGGGGTAAAAGTGAAGATTAGAAGAAGATAAGGCATTGATTTTGTTCAGCTGAACCGAGGCGCTTGCAGCCAGAGGCTCACAGTCTAACTTTCTTCATTTACTAACATGAGATGTCATCTTCCAACAGGAAATGCATTTTACTTGCCATCACCTGCAATAAAATCGAGTGATGCCGCGCACCAATAATTCCCCTGCCAGCTCTCATCTATCCTCCAGCCAGACTGCTCGACACCTGATTTTGAGTCGTTAGGGGTCTGAGAGAGAAATGTGCTCAAAAAGTGCCTAGTCATGTGACCTGATGAAAAAGGATGTCCTGCGCGGGGCCAGTGCTGGCCAGGATTGATTTGTCATGTTATTTGTTTTGTGTTTCCCCCCTCCCTTTTTTGAACTTCAAAAAACTTCTCTCCATCCATGAAACGTTTCGGCATGTTGAAATTCACACCACACTGCCCCGCCCGGCTAAAGGGCCTCCCTCCCTGCAACCACTCGCTCACCCTTCACTTATACTTTACTATCATCCACCTTAAAGTGCTTCCATTTTGTTTGTTTTTTAGGAATGGCACTATTCAGCCTCCATTTGCACAAATCATCGTGAAATCAAGCACACAGAATAACACTTGCACTTTGACTGATTAAGGAATATGTTATGCAGCTACAGGTCACCATTCCTTAGAAAGCACTTTTTTTTTCTAATGCACTTTTTACTCATTCTCCATCTCATTCCCTTGTGTGTGGGGTGAATTTCCATTATACCACTTTCAGGTATAATGTCTTTAATGGGCTTCAATTATTGACTTTTGTCGCTGTTGTTTTCCCTCTGATATGCTTTTTAGTGGCCTCCTATACTGCAGCTTCTCGACTTTTTATACCTGCTTGGCTTTGGATGTGGACGTTTGCTTTGCTAGTCTTTTTTTAAACTATGCGCCCTTTTTTGGTTCCCTTGGCTTTTGCTTAAGGATCATCTTTAAAGTGATAATGATCAAGGATGGAAATTTATTTAATTTTCCTTTTCTCCCTCTATGCAGCCCTCTTCCTCTCTAGAGACTCAGGATGTAAGAATACCTTAATATGAGTTTTTATTATTTCTTTGTTGCACACAAACACCCAGTTATTGATGTTACGATGGAGGGAGGGCAACAAATTGGCTTGCCATCTTGTGAGGTTACGGTTAATATTGACTGTTTTACTTTTCATTTTATTTAAATACTAAACATTTCTAAACGGCTTCCAGAGATCTGACCTCGGCCCCAACCGAGGCCAGACTAGTTTCTTGATAGTTTTGTAAGACATATTTTGTTAGTTGTTTAACAGTTTAAGATCACTCGTGTGTTAAGATGAAGTTGCCCCTGTGTGTTCAGGCCATAGTGACCATGCAGGCAGAATATTCGGTAGTGCAAAGTAGGTATCACACCACTGACATCTTTACTAGTCATCCCTCATTCCAATGCATTTCTAGGGTCCAGGTGAATGTGTCGGCACATTCTGAGAGGACTACCGTGCCATGTTGTGCAGTCCCAGGGTGAAACTTTCCCATAAAAATGTAGACGAAAGCCCTTAATGTCAGACTGAACACACTGCCTCCACTCTCACATCGAACCGGCCGTATCCCTTTCTTTCTCCCTCCTGACGTATTTTTACACTTCCAAACGCTGTAGTCTTTCTTACAAGGACCCTCCCTCTATTTAGACGTTGTAAAATAAGGTGATAAACCGGCGGGTGGTGGCGGCAAGAGAGGGTGAGACTGAAACCACGGTTATCACCCCAGACAAAAGGACATGAATAATGTTTCTACATATATTCATTTTAGGATAGGAAAAGTGGTAGAGCAGACCCCGACCCCCAAAAGAAAGCCTCTTTTAGGTCCATCAGTACCACCCTGGCCTCCAGCATCAAGAGACGTAGGTCCTCCAAAGACACGGTAAGGAGACGGAGAAGCAACATCCTCCCCTGTTTATTCTCTCCTCTCTCCGCTCTCCTCCTCCTCCTCCTCCTCCTGCTCCTCTGTCTCTACTTTCACCCCTCTCCTTTCTCCTCCTCTGTCCTCTCTGCCTACATCTCCATATCCGACGGCGAGGGAGTCCCATGTTCCACTGACCCACCCATTTCCACACGGCTCCGCTGCCTCTGCCACGTGTCTGTCCGTTCACCATCGATCAGCCATCTCCATTTAGCATCTGTAGGTCCTCTTCAGGCCGAAAGGGCATCAGTGCAGGGACTCAGGTCAGGCCAGGAGCTCGCCTCTGGATTTGGCGAGGGGGGGGCGTCCCAAGTGTCCAGGATCTTTTTTTTTAGGGGGGCGGCGGGGTGGGGGTGGGGGGGGGGGGGGGGGGGGGCAAAAAACAGGCGCCTCCCCAAGGGGGTTTTGCTTGGGGGGCTCTCTCTCCCCGCCCCCGGGTTGGACGTGGACGCTAGTGATGGTGTGCTGTTGTTGGTGGCGTCGTGGTGTGTGTATCGTACTGAAGTGTACACAATATATCTGTGTTTGAGTCCTGTCTCTTTGACTGCTCGATCCTCCGTAAATCCATCTTTTCTTTGCAACAATTGCACCCCCTACTTCCTCCATTTGGGTTTCTTTGTCGGTCCCCTTTTGGTTTGAAATGCATGCGCTGTTCTTTTTATCATTTTGTCCAAAACTCATTTCCAAGGTAGTCGGGATGGCCGGTCCTCCTGGGAAGAAAAACTAATCTGTTACCTTACTTTTCAACATGTCTATTTCAGGATTACACTCACGGATTTCTAGTAATCTATTTACTTTTTGCTTTGTCATATTTTCTTTTCTCATAATTCTCATTTATTTTCCAGTCCTTGTGCTCTGAACTGTGCATGCCTCTTTCAGGGTGTATTTTCAGGTGGTGATGACAGTCTTCTCCTATGTCTCTTTTCTCTTTTACGAACTGCAAACTCCATAAAGTCTCAGACTGTCACTGTGTTACAAATACAGGCGCTTATTCTTCTTTGCTAAACCACCATGTTCTTACCCTTGCTGCTCGACGCCGTTGTTGTCCTCCGCATTTCGGTTGAAAAGCCGTTACGAGGTGTACGCCGCCAGGTCGCAGTGCTCCAACAAACCAGTGACCCCCGGTCATTTGTGCCCAGCTGCTCCGCCACACGTAGCTGGTCGCTAACCAAATCTGGCATGAGAGAACCCTCCCCCCCCCCCGCCTCCCCCCACAAAATATATCTTAGGAGACAAGACTTCACAGAAAGGCCTCTGCGCCCACATTGTGTTTTGAACATGTTTCCTAGAGGAGATGTAGGCAGCTAAGCCAACGGGTTGCAAAGTAAAAACTTTATTGTGTGTTTTTGTTTGACTTCTTGTCTTTCTCTCTCTCTCTTGTGATAACGTTTTTTTTTTTTTTATCATGGATGTTTCTTGAACCAATCCACCTGTACTCTCCCCTGGAGGGTTTCTCTAATTGGTTTGGTTCCAAGAGAAGAGGAGTGGGATCACCGTTGCCAATATGTCTGAGTCAGGGTTTGGACGCGGGTTTCGGAGTCCTGTAGCTGAGGATTTTTATCTTTCTAATTACTAGTGCAATGAAAAAAGATGCTCCAATTGAAAGAACTCCCATCCCCAGTCTTCGACCATTATTTTTGATTTTATATAAATGTTCTTCTTTTATATTAATGGATATCAATGGACTTGAGTGTCAGTGTCCCTCACCCACATGCCACACTGCTCCTTTCTCCCTCTGCAAGCATGCCGACAACTGTAACTGTATTAGCTGTAGTAACGGTAGCCGAAACCATCTCTGTAGCGCCACATACAAAACGATCGTGGTGTTGTGAACACGTAGCTCTATAGCCAGTAACCGTAGTTGCCGTGTCAGTGAGGTGTCTCTTTATTCGCTGGTCAAGACGGGGAGGCCCAGTGGGGGCTGTAAGCCATATGATGATGCAACCTGCGGGTGAAGGAGATGAGGAACATCCAGAAGATTTGACATCCTATTTGTCCGTCTGGATGAGGCTTCATCTGCCAGCATGTTGGTTGCATCATAGCAGCTTCTGAGCCTCACATGCTTGAATGTATTGGCTCTGTCAGTTAGACACGAGAGGCATGTCAATCCTAAGATCTTGCTAAATTGAGCAAAGAAAATTTTACTGAAAGGTACATTTGGGACGGGTACACTGAGGCAAGACTCTTCAGTGTTTTGGTTCCGCAATGACGAAAAAAAGGATGTTCTCCACCCATTGGAAACAGGATAGTGCTGTGGGCAGCATCATGATTGGCATATTAGAAATCCCTTCATCTAAAAAGAACCTAATGCAAACAATTGTGTTACTCCACCACTGTGTTCCAAAACACGACGCTATTACACAAGAGAACCGCATGTTTTAAGCTCCTTCTCATGACGCAATTGACTATTTTTACCACCAGTCATTATTTCATGAAGTTTCTATACTTTTTTCCTCGTTAGTAGACTCAGCGTTGCAAAATATGGCTTACTTCTTTTAGAGCGCACACACACACACACACACACACTCACTCAAAAGACTCAGAGGCAAAATCACTGTTGCCATAGAAACTAAGCACCTGCATGGAATCGGGATCTTGTTTCCCCCCTCAGCATTGTAGATGCCTCTAACTCAACGCACTCTGCTTTAAAAGAAGCACAGTGAAGCGGGGACTGGACGCAAGAGTCCGGCTCAACAGCACTTTGAAATCGGCCCGAAAGATTCGTCATCTCCTCCTGAGATGCTAAAATTAGAGACGCAATCGGACTGTGTGACTCTCTGATGACTGTGAGGAGATAAATGAACTGTCCGCTCTACCCGTGGATGGAAATGATCAACCCATCTTTCCTTCAAAAAAAAAAAATACAAAAATAGTTTTCAAAAACGGGGGGTTGATTTAAATCTGCTGTTGTCGAGTCTGAGGATCTTACGTCTTCTCCCAACTAACCCACCTCAGGCACTACCGAACCGCTTTACAAACAATCCAAGCTGGAGACATTCAACAAAAACTGCAAAAGTGAGGTTTGCCTGAGAGTGGTTCGAGAACCCTCCTGCTTCCACATTTCTGCAGAAATGAAGCACAGGTGTTCTTAGAATAAGAAAATGAACGTTCGGATAAGTATACTTTCATTGCAAAAAAAAACTGCTTTGGTCAAGAAATGACTGTTCCTCCCTTTCTCTTCATCTCTGCAGCAGTACCCACCCACTGACATCACGGGCCAACTAAACTTGTCTGACCCGTCTGTCAGTACTGTGGTATAAAAGAGAGGGAAGCGCCGAGGGTCCGCTCCCCGGGGAGAGAGGAACGCGAGGCGAGACGAGGAAAGGAGGAAGTGGACGGGGAGAGGGAAGGAGACCCCATCTCCTCGTTCCCTTCGCCGCCGAAGGCGGAGCACTCATTTCACCGCCTGCTGACGGAGCTTTGAGAAGATACGGCTTGCTGAAGAAGTGTCGGAAAACACTGGACTTGCACCTTTTTTTCAAAGTCGGGGTTACCTGGCCTTAGATGTTTGTAGGGTCCCTGAGCATGCACAAAAGAACCCACCCACCACACATATACAACCTTTTCCTTCTGTATACTATCAGCAAACCTATTTAACCTTGTTTTTGACCTTTTACTCACAGAACTTTACTTAATGTTTGATGTTTACTACTTTGACATTTCCTGACCAGCTCTATAAGTTTAGCAAGCCAGGTTTAGTTTAGTACATTTAAGGATTAACCCGTTTTAGTGCAAGTAGTGCACTAAACATATCACTTATTAGGGGTTAGATACCATGGTAATATCTGGTTTATACTGCAATGCAAGACGTACTGTGAGCTTCAGCGGGTTTCGGGTAGTTTTTAATGGGCACTACCTGCTTTTAGTTACATTTCCAAAGGTTTTTAGAAGGTGTTTCTGTCATTGAGAAACACTGCTGATGGCACTTATGATATGACTCATCCTGTCCATGGAAGATGATGGAGGCATGTGTTTGCTTGTATGTGAATAAGAGCTTTATGTATCTGAATGGCAAAACAGATACCCGAGGCTAACTACCAGATTCGGTAGTTGTTTAAATCGTGTCTTTTTTTCTTTTCATTTTGTACCAATCTGCTGTATGCAAATGTTTTGTTGTTACTTCTCACAGAACTCAGTTTCTTCAAGAATATCTGTTACGCTTTACCACTATTTGTAGAAAGACTTGAATATGTGAAATCACAGAAGCAAGGCTGGTGTTTATACGTCCAAACAGGGACCGATGTCACCTTGGGGGATTCCCTCTCTCCTCCTCTCCTGCCGCAGCAGTCTTTCTCATTTCCGGTCCAAAGGGGGCTGCATCAAAGGGCCAACTTTTTCTCCCAGCCTTCACTTGGCCTTTCGCGCAAAACCTCGTCCCATGCGCAGCGCTGGTGAGCTTTTACACGAAGGAGCCCGAGTGAATTGAAAGCCTGGCCCAGCTGGAGAGCTCGCGTGCCGGTCTTGGTTGGTGTCAAAAAACGGCCTTTTCCCCGTCTTCTGGAGCTGAGAAACCACTGCTGTTCGTTAAAAAAAACGGTGACATTGTGTCCGGCCTCTGGCACTTGATGCCGAGGCGTCTCCCAAACTGTAAAATAAAGATATTCACCCACCAAGAAACTAGAACAGAACCACTGTAACATCAGTCAGGCAAACCGACTTACATGTTTTGATTTTTTTTTTCTTTTACTTTTTCACTTTATTTGAAAAGCATTAAGTCTTTATAAGAGAAGTAATCACACTTTGTAATAATAACACAAACTGTATTTATGTTCTAAACCTGAACCGAGGGTTTGCTTCTGATCCTGTATCACTCCGCCCTCTGCATGCTTACGTGTTACTACAGTATCAGTGCTTTGGTTTGCTTACGGACGCGTGTTGTTGCCGTGTAGATTCAGCTGAGCTGAGTTGAATGAGTTTTAAATTCTGATTCAATGTCAGACGGGGTCGAGAAGATTGCACTGTTTGTGTCACGACTGCAACCGAGAATGTCACACACACACACACACACACACACACACACACACTCACACAAACCCACCTACACTTATGCACAGGCGTGCACCAACACACACACACACACAAACACAAAACCCCTTAAAGGAGGAATCACTTGTTTTTTCTTACCTTTTCCGGTGAAGCATTGAATCATTTCGTTTATACAACTGTAAATAAAATATACTTGCATCGCCAAGTCCAACCACACTTGTGATTTTATTGTTTTAGGCCTGCAACTACTTATGAATCCATATTTTTTATTTCATTTCTAAATGTATTATTTGTACAACCAACAGTAAAAAGATGTTCCATTTACAGTGATAAAAACAGGAAAGAATCATCAGCATCTTGGCTCAATAAATGATTTAATTGTTAACTGATTATCAAAATTGTTGTCCATTTTCGTCCTGACTAATGAATTATTAAACTAATCTTTTCAACACAAATGATGGAGTAGGTAAGTAATTATTTTGTACATCACCTCTGCAACTCATATCAAAGAGGGTTTACAGTAAGAACCAAGAATATAAGCACACAACACACCAAAAAGGTTAATACATCTTTTTCAAACTGACCATTGTGCCAGTGACAGCCAATTCAAAGTCTTCTTTTGCCTGTTGGCTCTGCCTTAAGACTTTAGGGCCTACTCCCACCTGTGCTTGCTCTTCCTTTATGCAGCCTTCTGTAAAACTGTGAAGGGCAGTTTCCAGTAAACAAGTTAAGACGAGCTGAGAGTCGGTCCCCTGCCGGGCAGCAAGAGTGCCACACATTTACGTCCGGAGTTGTTGGACACCAAATAGAGACTAAACAAGAGTGAACGCGTAGACTCATTATGTGCACACTAGCACGACTGCAATAAAGTGATTCTGTATCTGGTGACCGCGTACTACAGCCTGTTTTAATAATATTAGCCATCACAACGTGGTTTTCATGTGTTTCTGTGGGATTCTTTATCTGACGAGAGTCTGACACTTTGAATTACTTATAGAAAGAAAATCTAATTGCATGCAATTGAAGAACTAGCTTTTATTGGCAGAAATTCAGGTGTGCGGGGGGTATTTCATTGTGTTGCATTCCTATTAGGCCTCAGCTGCTCTTTGTGTCTACTGCTTATTAGCAAATGTTGTCTTGCAAAACTAAGATGGTGAGTTTGGTCCCCGTGTCTTGTTTAATCAGCATATTGTGCCTGAGAGCATGTTAGCATCCTAACATTAGCATTTAGCTCGAGGCACCAGTGTACTTATGTAAGCATATTGCACAGCCTCACAGTGCCGCTAATTGAGCTAACTGCTACCCTTGCTAGTCAAGACGTGCTTATTATATTGTCCCATTTGCATAAATTATGTTACCATGGAATATAAAAGCCACCCGACTTGAGTGATAAAATCAAAGGCTCAAGATGTTTAGGCTGACTAAAAAAACTGTCTTATTAAAAATCCACACATCGAAAGGTTAATAGCATGACTCTTCCATGAGTGTGTTATCCTGGGTTCATAAGGAGTCACTGTCACCATCCGTATTATCTTTAATTAAAAGCGTTGTCATTAATTAGATCACAGCTGTCATTGTTAATTAATAACGTGCCTTTTAGAGCCAAAGGTGGGTCGCAGGAAACTGTCCGGTGAGACATATGTTCTGGGACACAGTAGACATTTTGTCACACTCTATCAGAGAGATTGATTTGACTGCCGAGTGCGACCTGATTTATTAAATCGTTGATGAATTCACAAAAAAAAAAATCCCCCAGCTCAGACTCCAGCGAGGCCTCGAGCAACCGCAGGGCGACCCAGATCCGCCTTTGCTATATTATTTGACCTGCAGTCAGTCACTATCCAATAAGCACGAGGAGGAAAGCTCACAGCCAAGCGTCTCCTCTCCCGTCCAGCAGCAGAGCTTCTCCTCGCTGCAGGAAGTCGCCACACCGACACAACACGCTGTCTGAGATCCAGGCCGCATTGCAAGAGAGAAGGGAGGCATTGGGGAACCACAACCAGCAGTACGTGTGGCATCATTTTCTGTTCCCGTGTAGTGCTGCTTGGCCCTCACATTACAGAAAATAATGTGAACTAGTTTGTTTTTTGTGACCGTGAACTTCGCTCATAAATTGCGAGCTTTGAAAATGGAGTCATTGGAATCTGAGCTGCTCACTGGTTTAGTTTCTTGAAGATTAGTGTTTAGAGAGAGAGAGAGATGCTATTTTCATCTCAGGAAGACAGGTCTTTATAAACTTAGATATTATATTATTAATTGCATTATGCATTTATCTGGCATATTGCAAAGGACACAGACATAGAAATTAGGTGCCTTGAGTTGAACATTTATTTATAAGCTCCTTCAAAAGTACTCATTATACACTCTGCTAAATTTAGACACTGTCTGAAGCAAAGAAGGATTTAAGCAAAAATAGAAAAAATAAAATAAAAAGGAAAGTGCATTCCTCTAGTCAAGTTGCAAATAAGGCATTGAAATGAGGACGCGATATGCAAGGCAAGCTGCACCCATTCACATGCAAACACGGCAGTTAAACAGCGGGCAGCGGTGCAGCACCTGAGTCCGACCGACTGCACCTCCGACAAGAAGACACGCCCCTCTTTGTCAAAGATCAAATCCTTATGAATCATCTGTCCTCTTCCTGGGGAGTAAACTAGGAAGTGGTTAAGCAGACACCTTTAGTCCCCGGTGCATGTGAATGACCGGCAGTGCGTCGAGCGCATTTCCCCCCCGCATGGCTCCGGTAGCCGTGGAGCTGCTTTCACTCGTTGGCCGAGGAAGGACGCTAGTTTGCGGGCGCGCTCGGCAGCGCGCGTACGCGCTGGGATCATAAATCCACCGCATACTTTGCCCTCTCAAGTGACATGTAAAACGGGAGTCGGGCGGTGCTGAATGCCGCGAGGGGGGCCCGCGGGGAAGCCTTCTCGCACGTCTCCCGCCCGGCCGCTATTTTAAAGCCGACGCTCGAAATTTCCAGCTGGCGCAGAAAAAGCGGCGCTTTGACGCTCACGCCTCATGGCGCAGCGGTGCGTCCTCGCCGCGCTGCTGGCGTTTGGGCTCGTTGCCATCCTGCTCCTCACGATCCGTACCCAGGACGTTCGGGACCTGCCGGGGTTCATGGTAAGGTGGGTTCCATCGGGTATTTGGGGACTAGGTAAACCCTTCTGGACAGGGTAACCAAAGCTGGGCCGGGCCGGGATTCTGGTGCATTGGTGGCCTACTTCTAAAACTTTCCTCTATTTGATGTTCCTGTTATTTTATCCATTATTATCTTTATAATCATGACTCAACAACTGTTAAACCATAAATGTAGCTCAGTGTAAAGAATAAAATAAAATGCTGCAAGTGTGAACTGGAACTAATTCCCTCAATTGAATTGAGTAAGTTAAGGTCTAATATAAGTTTAATATAACTTGTCAGTCAACCTGCATTTCACCCAACGGGTTTACTTTGTCCCAGTGGACATGTTCAAGCTGTTGAACTTGTTTTCTTTTGGAATGTATGTGTTTTAAAAACTGATGACGCTGCAGATGTCATCCAACTGATAAAAAAAAAAGCTTCGGGATTCCAGAGAAGCTCATAAACATCCTCTTTGTTGGCTTCCGGCCCGCTATCACAAATGATCTAACCCCTGACTAAATTGCACACACTTAAATAGTTATTTATTTTATATATGTTGTCTGTAACACCTCCTCTGGGTCTGCGTGTGTATGAAACAGTATTTGGAAATGTACCACCAGCCTGGTAAGCACTCGTTTGGGGATTTGTACAACAAAAGACTGAGGCTTTATATAATCAGGGAATCTCCAGCTTTGGTCGCTGCTGCTCTTTTGTCCACCTGTTAAACATCCCATGGTTCTTTTTCCCCTCTTGTACAATGTTGCGGCCCTTTCGCTCCGTATCACTGTGTTTGCAAAACAATGGACACAAAGAGTCCATCAGTTTGCATAGCTCATCCAAAGAAAGGAAAGAACGGATCATCAGAGCTGCTTTGTGTTCTGTGTGTTTTTTGACAAGTTTTATACTGAGTCCTTATGTGTACTGGGCAGCAATAATGAGGAACTAGATAGGAAGCACAGCGTCCTCATGGTATTCACCTGTTGCACCAACATGTGCTGTGCCTGAGTGTGGAACGACGTGCAATGTTTGCGGTGCATTTCTGCACGTGCACGTTTTGTGTACGAGTTTGTGGTCTCTTTCCTTTAGATCAGCAGTCACATACTTCCTTGCACTGGTGTTTGCTTTCGTTTAAGCAAGTTGCTTAGTATTCTATGCGGCAGTGAAAGGGGAAGCAGTGTCATGGCAACAGGTTTGTCTTCACGGTGGGGAGGCCGTGGCCTTTTGAGGGCGTATTTTTCCACTCAACAACTGGGGAAAGTCAGGGCCGACTGTCTCAGTTCTGTGTGCAGTCGTACGCTCACTACTTCTCAAACACGTGTTTTAAGCAGTATCCACAACACTCGCAGTCATACTTATAAGTGCTACAATCGTAATCAGCAATGCCATCATGATTAATATTTCATGAAAATGTAGAGCTGCTTAGAGCTACAGAACATCATCTTTAGATGACAATCAATGCAAACACTTACGAAACGCTTGTGGAACCGCAAAAAAAAGACTGCAGAAACATGAATAACATTCTATTTCATTTTTAGAAGCTGTCACAAATATGACCTGTGAACAAGGTGGTGATGCACAGTAATAAAATGTCCCATAGTCCTGTGTGTTTTATAGGAAAGATTAAAAAAAACATTAAATTGGTTTATGTCATTATTGTTTGCCTCAGCAAAATAACATCCGAGGGAAACCTTTTGAACCTGCTGTGACGAGTAAACCCAAAGTACTTCCATGTGCCAGAGTCCAGGTCACACGGCCCAATTACCTCTCCCGCTGTGTGCTCTTGTCTCGCCCGCGGCTCTCCGCAGTACGGGATTGTCTTGGATGCTGGATCTTCACACACAGCGCTGTACATCTACAAGTGGCCTGCAGACAAGCAGAACGGCACGGGCGTGGTCACCCAGCACGGCGAATGTCACGCTAACGGTGAGTGTCGGCGCTCCCTCCAACCGATGCAGACAGGTCAAACATCATAGGAAAGATCTGGCTTATAAAACAGCACAACGCCAGCGTTCAGAAGTTCATGCTCCTCACGTGTTTTTTTTATTAAAGTGCTTTTCCTGAGTCATAGATAAAGGAGCAGAAACGAATGTCTCGTTGTCGCTGTCTGTGGTGCTGATCGTGCAACTGTCAAGATGTCGCTGTTTTTTAGTGACTTTGTTTCACGTTAATAACTGACTGGGGCCGAAGACCGTCGGCGTACCAACCATAAGGTCTGATAGCGGAGGATATGACTTCAACGTACTTTGCACTGTTTCACAATTCCTTCATATCGACTGAAATGAGACGTGTCATTAAGACACGCAATAAATACTCACTGATTGCCAAACCACATATAAACCAACACAATGGTCCAACTCTTCAAAGGGAATTTGTTCCATGACCTGAACTGAACAGGGCAATCTTTTGTTTTATTTTGAGGTGTCCAATGAATGCTTACCTGTCGCCGCGTACCTGCTGTGGTTCAGGTGACTGTAGGAAATCGAGCTGCCGACACGTTAACCTCCTGTTAGCCTCCAGAGTGTGAACTGTTTGCAATTTGAAACGCCGGTGTTTCTCATGATATGTGATAGTAGGTGAGATCTGGACCAGGGCCAGTAGCTTCCAGTGAACGGCTGATGCTTTTCACAGCTGAACGCAGAAAGAGAAGCAGCTCCTTTGTGATTCAGGAATGAGTCAGAGGTGATCGACACGTTTTGGCCAAAAGACACCACCTCATATTCTTGGATGATGCGTACATTTTCACAATCAGTTTCAAAAGGCTGCGAGGATCCTGAGAAATGATTTAAAACCATTTGTAGTGCTCACGGTGTCTTCTGCTCACCTTCAGGAAAAAACATGTTCTAGTGGATTTTTTTTTTTTTTTAGTGGATCATCACGCACTCTTTTCTTGGTCTCAATGTCCTTTTTTGTACCTGTTGATCGCCGGCTCAGGCAGCGGCATCTCCAGCTACGCGGGCCGGCAGGGAGCAGCCGGGCGGAGCTTAGAGGCATGTCTGGACCGGGCGGTGAAGGACATCCCCAAAGAAAGACACCATCTCACGCCCGTGTACCTGGGAGCCACAGCTGGCATGAGGCTTCTGAGGTGAGTCAAACTGTGACCAAACTCTCTGTCTGCGTCCGGGTTTATTTCGTTGTGTTTCTACATGTCTCTGTTTTTCTTTCCCGTGTCTCCATTGTAGTTGATGTAAGACTGTCTGACGCTAATACTCTCGCACAGTGTGACGACAATAAAACAATACAGCGATAAAGTGCTCTTCAAACATAATTATATGCCTTGTGCAATAACAAACCTGTTGGTCCAGATGTCCGCATATAACAGGAATTTACCGACAGTTTAGTGAAGTGAACATCTGTCCTCTTGTATTATGTATTTTGCATCCAGAGCTTTCTGTTAACTAAGCCTAGAGGGTACCAATCCTTTATTTATGTATTCATAAAGGGAAACATATTTACTTTGCTTCAACAAATAATGAACAAACTCCTGTAAGTCGGTGCCTCTTGGTTTCCAGTCTGTCAACGTTCCTCAGCGTAGCTCCAGTAGATTATTAATGTCACAATAAGTAGAACTAGGCTGCATGCTGTAAACACAACTGAAGTAACTACTCATGTGTGAGGTTGGCTGATGTGGAATGGAGCGTAAGGCATTTTTCAACAGACTATCCACATCTTCTCTCTGGACCTATTCAAAATCAACTGATTACGTTGTGACTGCATGAAGCTTTTGAAAGCACAAAGCAGTTGTTGGCTGTTGACTGAGTGCTTTTGGGGATTGTGCAGCCAAAATAAGCAGCTATGGAAATCATTCGCACACTGCAAAGATACATAAAAGATGCAATGGGAGTGAGTGGAAAGTCAAAGTTTGCATCTTTTTCAAAATGAAAGGGTGCGGCAGGTTAATAAAACCAAAGCAAAAATCAAGCTGGTTGGATTTTAAGCCAAACATTAGACCAGCATACCGAACACTTGAATCCGTGGAACATGACAAGACCTTTTGTCTTAATTCACACGGAAATGACCAGACTTGAGTTGAGCCTGTCAAAGGAATAACTGTCATGTGTCGTCACCCCAACACGCATAACGCAACATGTGCGACTTCCTCCCTCGCGCCTCCTCTGATATCTGATCTGTCATGTTGCTGGCAGTAAATCGCTCGCAGCCTGTGAGAAGTGGCTCCTTAAACACGTTGATAAAGAAACATTACAGTGTTAATGAACTTTATTTGCATAAAACCGACTCAACTGAACACTCCGGTTTCATACACAATTAGTTTTCTTGTAGCTTCTTCTCCTTACAGGGTAGAATAATTTGAGTAGCTGTATGTTAGTCTGTGCTTACGCTCTGGTTCTTTATAGTGTCCGAGCTCAGCAGTGCGATCTGACACTTTGTCCAGTGAAACAGTGATTTTTTTAGGCGAGGTTTGTGAAAAGTCCTTTTCAGGTGGAACTCGCAACAATTCAATAAAAGAACACCGTTTTTTTTTTCTTCTTTTAAGCATCTCAAGCCCAGAGCTGTCAGGTCAGATTCTGCAGGAAGTGGGCCAAAAAATCCAGTCCTACCCTTTCAGCTTCCGAGGGGCGGCCATACTGAGCGGTCAGGAGGAGGGGGCGTACGGCTGGGTGACCGTCAACTACCTCTTAGAGAACTTTATAAAGGTAACCAGTTCTTGGATTTTCTTCAAAATCAATCAGTCCATTTGCATTCAAATCTTTCATTTTTGCACTGGCTGGAGCGGTTCGTCTCTTTAAATTCTATTTAGCTGGTGACTGATGACACCTAGTGGCCTCTGCGACACATACTCACACGTCACTATTCACTTCATCTTCTTCCTTTGTCATTCCTCCACAGTATGGTTTCGTGGGCCGTTGGTTCAGCCCGGGGAGGCCCACAGTGGGAGCACTTGATTTTGGGGGGGCCTCCACCCAGATCACATTTGCTACTCAAGAAGACGTAGAGGACGAGGACGACATGATGAAGCTGCGCCTTTATGGCCACGAGTACTCTCTGTACACACACAGCTTCTTGTGCTACGGGCAGGACCAGATGCTCAAGAGGCTGCTGGCTCACATAGTGAAGGTAGTGGAGGAGCTCAGATGCTGTGTTTTAAGACTTCTCTGTAGTATCTATTTCATAAGAATGGGAAGTCGGCTTCTCTTTTCAGGATCCAGACTAATGTTTCACATTTTAATTCATAGAAACAAATGCATGATTACACCTGTTTTATCTCTGCTTCTCTCAGTCTCAGGGTCACTCCTGGTCCGTCACTCACCCCTGCTACCCTGCAGACCACAGTATGACTCTAAAGCTGAACACTATATTCAACTCTCCGTGTACTGCGAAGTACAGACCCAGTTCCTACGACCCTCAGGCTTCTCTGACCATACAAGGCAGCGGGCATTATGAGCAATGTCTGAGCAACGTGTCCGAGATCTTCTCCTTCGACAGCTGTCCGTTCTCCCAGTGCTCCTTTGATAAAGTCTACCAGCCAAACGTCACCGGAAGCTTCATGGTATGAAAAGATAGAAGGGCAATGTACTCACTAGTAGCATTATGTGCTAGATAAGGGGGCTGCGAGCGGCTCACAAGTCCATCTTGATTATGAGTGGTGAAAGAGAACTTTTAAAACAGATAGTTGCCCTGTCTCTGTTTTATTTCAATCATTTCTGTGAAGAAAACTGAATTCAATTTTTGATTTATTATTTAAAAAATAATAGATTAAATAAACAATTGCCAACCATGCGGGAGAAGGAAACACTGAATGATGAACCGATTTGATGGTATTGTTAGAAATGTACATTATGTAGACATAGTTCTGATGCAATGTTCAAAGCGAATTCATAGGACAATATAGTCTCAATGTGCAAATAGAAATGTATGAATGAAATATCTCATTGATAGTTTATAATCCATTCAGAATGAATTGCCCCAGTTTTGTATTTTGTCTTCTGTCCGTGTTCCAGGCATTCTCTGCATTCTACTACATACACTCCTTCCTGCAGCGTACCACCCGTATCACTGCAAGTACTCCTTCACAGCTGGATGAGGCATCCAAAGCTGTCTGCAGGATGACTTTTGAAGAAGTAAGGCTCTTTCCTATTTCCTTCGCATTCATTAAATGTTTTTTTGTGTGTGTGGGCATGTTGTGTGGTTTACGACCAAATACCTGCAAAACTACAAACATGCCCATCAGCCTGGAGTTGGGTGTAATGCGAATGAGCTATAGCAGCATTCTAAACCCTTTATCGACCTCATAGCATTTAGCTCAAAGCACCCCTCTGCATTTCAACGTTATGTCTATATTCCATCGTTTTTTCTTGTCCCAGATGCTGCTTCTCGCTCCGGAGCAAAGGTCTCGCCTGCAGAACTACTGCGCCATCTCCGTGTACGTTAAGGTTCTCTTGTTGAGAGGATACGGCTTCGACGAGACCTCGTTCCCGCGCATTTCCTTCCAGAAGAAGGTGAGAACTTTATACCCATATTGTCAAAAATGTATATCATACATGCTCATTTGCGCAGAAAAACCAGAGCACTCTTGTTGGTCCTGCAGGCAGGGGGCGCCTCGGTGGGTTGGGCTCTGGGCTACATGCTAAGTCTCAGCAGTTTGCTGCCGGCAGAGACGGGAGGGCTGAGGAAGGCCCTGACCCCGGGAGCGTGGGGGACGCTTATCTTTCTCTTTGTGTTCTTGCTCGCGGTCGTCCTGGTCTTCATCCTACTGCAAGCTCTTGGTGGGAAGAAGAAAGGAGGCAGTGAGAGCCCCATCTGAATGCTGCAACAGAGTGTAGCACAGTGCGAGGCAATGACATGTGGTTTCTTGTGTTGTGTCTGTACACAACCGTGGATTTAAGATAAAACGGAGAGGATAAAGAGCTGAATGTCAGATTTATTTCAAGATGTTAGAGAAACTAGTTCCAAAAATGTTATATAATATAAATACTAATGAAAACTGTTTTTAATTTGTGTATGATAAGAGTTGTCATGTTTTCCTTACCTTAGAATAAGAACTGTATTGTTTACACAGGGAAGTGACAAACTGGTAACGTAAAAACTCAAACACTGTCTCTAGAGTCAGTGTTTGAGTTTTTACGTTACCTGAAGGCCTCCATGGTTCTCCAACACGCTTGGGAAGGGAGTCTGTACAGTTGGTTGCAACCTGCAGCCTCATGCTACTAAAATTGGGAGGAAGAGTGGGGCCACATTAAAACGACTCGTCTTTTTTTTTGTACTGAAGTACATAGCTAACAGAATAAAAACATGGCCCTTTACCAAACACTCTGTCTCATCGGCTGTTGGTTTGAGAACATAGCAAGGAGGTCAGAATTTTTAATTCTTGAAAAAGTCAACCAACCTTTCAATTTATGGAATGTAAAATGTTTTCAGTGTTTTGTAATAATTCTCTAAGGCACTGCTGCAGTAAAATTAATCCGACCAATTTATAACTCACATATGTATTAAGTGTTCTTGATAAATATGAAATAACAAAATAGTACTGTTTTAGTCTGGCTGTTTTGTATCTGGTGTGTGTGCTGTTGTCGTACTCCATTGTTTTATATTTAGAAACGATAAAAGAAATTTAAGCACTAAGTTTAGATTTCAGTAGCAGCAATTGAGTGTCTCTGCCTTTTTCAAGAGCTGTGTTGAATGTCTATGTATATAGTTGCACCTTTCAAATTATTCTTGTGGTATTATACTTTTTTTTTTTTAAATAAACGATTGGTCAATCCTGCTAAAAGTTGCAGCAGTTCACATTCGATATATTTGAAAATACTTTTTTTTTTTTAAACTAATTTGAAACCGTTCACAACATTCACTAGAATTAGTGATCTTAAATGATTAATTGATTTGAAGTCTGTGGATTTTGAATGGTTTGTGTTGTTTCATCTCTCAGTGGTCACGTGTGTTTTACCCCATGTAACAAAATAAATGTTTTATTACTGATTCACTCTTATGCGCCTTTCTTTCCTTGGTCTGCAAGAACTGAAATATAAATATAGTTCTGATAACTTCCTGGATTGCCCTCAAAACACATTTTATTCATGACAGTTTTGCAGTAATGATTTGTAATGTCACTTGATGATAAATTGTTCCACTGTATCTATGAACTCACATATTGAATAATGGGTGTTGGTAAAAAATGTAATATAATGATGTGGATGAATTAACATAATCAGGTGAATACGTGCAGTACAGGAAAGGTGCCAATCCCTCCACACTACAAAAAAAACACTCATCAAATTAAGAATAAGAAAACAAACCAAGCAGATAATGTCGTATGAATAAAAAACATACTTTTGCCGCGGGTGACTGACGTCACTAACATGCGCCTCCCGTCGCATCATAACTGCGTAGTTCGTGACCATGATCAGATTCCCTAAACACCAGGCTTTTCTTTTCCTAAATCCTCATTTTCCTAACCATCCTTCCATGACATTATGAGGTTTTCAACAGAGGTGAAGGAATAGTGGCAGGGGGGTCAGGGGGTATTTTTTTGACAATTTAAATCCAGCGGGCAGTTTTGTAACCACAGCACGCCAGAAGTCGTTCACTTCCAAAGACGAGGCGAAGCTTTTATGTTGAAGGCCGTAACCGGAAGTGTTGCTCTTTTTCAACTTGCAATTGAGGAAGTAGACGCGACTGTGATGTTTTAGTTTGCAATGAGTACCTTCTTGCCCGTTCGCGTCTAAAATCCCAGAACACACCGAGTCAAACGGGTCTGGGGGGCTGTCCGGCTTTCAACGCAGACACGGAGTTCGTAGGGAAAATACACGCGGTGTGTCTGCTTGCGTGTCTGCTAGCTTACTCGGGGAGTAGCCTAGAGATGTGCACGCAGACGAGGGCTGCGGCTCTGATGGCCAACATACCGCGGGTGGACATCGACCCGTCCGGTGTCTTCAAGTACGTCCTGATCCGAGTGCACAGCAAAGAGGAGGGAGACGACTCGGAGATCGACATAGTCCGCGGATACGGCTGGGCGGAGTACCACGGTGAGCAGGTGGAGCTGACCACCATCCATCGCGCAGCACGCGCCCCGTTAGCTGGCGGCTACACTCAGTGCGCAGCTGATTGGTGTGTGTGCCCCCCCTCCAAAAAAGACCCTGAGGAATGATGACGTGGATTGCTATTAATCCCCGTATACTCAGGCCAACATGATGACTACTGTCAGATGACAGTTGGTGATATGAAATCCCTCTGACAGTCCAGTCAACCGACTATTCACTACTTAGGACAGAACCAGATGGTCGCTTCTGCAGAACTGTGCCTGCTGCGACAATGTGCAAAATTGTTCATCCAGGAACACTGTATGCAACTGCATGTCGCCTCATGTAATCTACATGCATGTTTTGTAGAAACCAGAACTCCCTGGCCATTGTTTACTACTGACCATCTTGACTTTTTAAGACAAAATCCTAATAGAAGTCTGTTTTCATTCATAAAATTCAATGCATCTCAAAATCTAAGCATCAAATGACCCTCTTCTCATAAACCAAGTAATCATTGCAGAGCTTAGTTTATTTTATTTTGTTCTAAATTGTATCTAAATGTATTTGGTGCAATGTTTCATCAACAATCGCCCATATATTGACTTTTTCCTTGCAGCTGATATTTATGACAAGGTGTCAGAGGAACTGGAAAAAGGCGGCCACCTGGACTGCGAGTGTATCGGAGGCGGGAGGATCAACCACGACCCCCAGGCCAAGAAGATCCATGTCTACGGATACTCAATAGTGAGAGAATTCTGCTGAATCTAACTGATGCCATTACCTAAAAAATAATCATGGCATTAAGCCACAAGGCTTAGTTGAAACGTTTCCGTCACCAGGAGTGATCCCTTTTGTTAAATTGAGTGTTACATTTTGGTTGTTGGAGCATGAAACAAGGGATTAAACTCTTTTCATTGCAGGGATTTGGAAGAGCAAACCACGCTGTAGCTACTGAAAAACTGAAGGCTCAGTATCCAGACTATGAGGTGACCTGGGACAATGAAGGATACTGAACTGACCTAAGATCCGCCGCTGTTGGGCGCCCATTCTCCTGGACGGACATGACACTGATCTGTAACCCCTCATTAGGAACCACAGTCCGATAAAGAGCTTTTTGATACTACATTGGTAATCCAAGACTAAGACTCACTTATAAGTCTGATTTAAAGAAACACGCATATTTTTTATAGTTCAAATTTATGTGTTACAATTTGAGTGAAAAAACAAACTCTTGTTCATCACATTTTTTACTCCACTTGGATCTGAAGCAAGTACACAATTGTGTTCTCCTAGTGTGAATAAATAACCGGTCCTGACATCAAGTCACTCCCTGACTGGTTGGAGAGTCACATAACCTCATAAATATGACCTAATCGCTAAGATATGTTGGATACTTCGATGCTTTGTAGTGATGCATGTTTCATAAATGTTTCCTGAAAACTGCTTTTAAATTGTGTGCATACTGTTCCTTCTGTCGCAGAGCATAAAGACTACTTTTGGCCAATATTGGCCCTCGACAGGAATGCAAACCAGAACGTCTTGGCCTTTATCAAACCCGGGTAGATAAGACAACGTGAACTTGATAAACTTCTAAGATTAAATTGTGCTGACGGATTTCTGAAATCCTGCCTTATTGGTTGCCAATGAAAGGATTCTAAATATGCTGTTGGAACCAATCTTTCTAGTATGAAGTATTTTAAACACGCCAGCACCTGTGACAGCAACTATTGCGAATACGCTAGTTGGTATTTCCAAATTGCGTTTACGCTGCCAAACCCCCCAGCAGCGGTTGTACAATTTAAAATGTCTTTGAGGTTTTTTACATTTAGTTTACGACGCGTGATAAACACAAGAGGTAAATGTGAGGCTAGAAAGTGTATTTGGTCTCTTGGAGCAAGGCTGGTAGTTCTTCAAAAGTTGATTTCTGGCTGTTTTGATTTCTGCCTCATCACTGACAAAGAAGCTGAAAGTAACGTTGAAATGATCGTAGCTTTTTTCATTCAGTAACACCCCACTTAGGATATGGTACAAAGAGCTGATGTTATGGCATTACTTCCATTTATCTAGATCTATTTATCTAAAGTTAATAAACTCAATCTGGGAGAATTTGGTAAAGGAGGATGAAATAGATGGATGCACAGTGTCTGGTTACTGGGTAGGGTGGGGGGGGTTCTTTAGGTGATAATGAGACAACATACACCAAGGTTGCTGTTTTTGTCCACACTCTTCATGTGTATCTGTTGCCGGGACGCTTCGTCTGTCCTCTCTCCTTTGCAGCCGGATCACCACTACTGCATTTAAAAATGAGACAACCAACAATTCACTCAATGAATCCAGCTGAGGCCAATTACACCTCCACCTGCCACAGCCCCCCACCCCCACCCCCTGTCGCCGAGCCAAACCACGCCACCACAATGGATAACATAGTTTTGAGTGCTTATTTATATTCTTTTTGGTTTGCAGCTGATACGCCGTCCCGGTCTTCTGCCAAAAGTATCTACTTAAGTCATTGTGCAATGTGTGCACTCTGTGCACTGTGGAAATCATTTGGAGGAAATTGTTTTATGATGTTGCAGTTGCATGCTGGGAGACTTTACAGTCCGGGTGTTATCTGTATAGAAGCTGCAGAAGGAGGTCACAGTCGGCCCACAGAGACTGAGAGCTGCGGACCCATCGGGTGGGACAGAGGTAGAAGATGTTTCCCTGGAGGAGCTCGGCTCTCGCTCTGCTGCTGACTCTGCACTTTGGTAAGAGCACGTTCAGCCGGACGCCATTCAAATAGTGTGAGAAGTAGGAAGTAACTTTAAATGTAATCTAATGATGCTGCTGGTGTTTGGGATACACTTGGCCTGTGGCATCACAGAGCTCAATAAAGCACTGGTCAGGTTTGAAAGGTTGACAAAAAAAAGTAAAGATCCACTTAACGTCTCTTAGTGTTTGCAAGGTCCGTTAGTGTGGATCGCTTTCTCTCGCTGTTTGAGGACTCTTGGAGCGCTGGGGTCATGACCTGTGGTGCTAATATATGAGTCATTGGTATGACTACAAGAGAACCAAGTAAATATGCGTTTTATGTCCATGAAGATGTTTGCTTTAAATGTTACCAGAAGATGTAACAGGACGCTTTATTTTGTATAATTGTACACTATTTGTCATTTATTTGTTGACATAATGTGTTCTTGCAACATTAATTTACATTGTTTGTTTTTTTGTTTTTTACTAGATTTCCCATGTTAAAGGGCAAAACCTAAAAGTATATTTTCTGCTCACTAACAACACACAAGCTGCATTGTGTATGTCTGATAACTGGACCTCCTTCCTCTCCATGCGTCAGTGCTGCGTGGATCCACCAGAGACCTTTGGATGGACAGAAGTTGTTTCACCACACTGCTTCTCCTCGGCCTTTGAGCCGGTTAACGTTCACGTCGGACCATAAATCTTAACAGCAATGAGTCCTGATAAGCGTTTAAGATTACGTCGCCTATGAGATTTTACACAGTATTTAAGTGCAATTATTTGTAATTATTAAGCTTGCTACTCCACTAGTCAATTTACCTGACTTCTGGAGCTACGTTTCACATTAGAGCTTCAATTCAAAAATGCAAAATAAATCTAGTCTGACGGCCCGTTTTCAATCTCCAGATCGCCAGTTGAAAATGATCTCTGTTCAATGACCCACTTACCGGCTGGTTTATGAACTTTCTGCCTTGCTGTTCTGTCTTCATCAGCAGACAGTTGGTGTTTTGCTTCAGCTGAAAGACATCAAAATGAGGAAAAATATGCACATAAAAATAGTCTGAATAATGCAAAGTTTCCATGACAGCCGAGCAAACGTCTCATACTGATGAAGACACTTCAACACATTCATCTTTTTCATCTTTCTCATCCCACACAGAAAGGCACCAATCTTTAGAATAACAACTTTTGCATCTGTTACGTGTGGAACGCTGCCTATAATTTTTAATTTCACCACACAGCCACCGGCTCCCGGGCTGCGATATGCCAGACGCCTGAAAATGCATGTGACTTTGTGTGCGACTGTGACGACTGCATCGATGAGCAAGACTGTGGTACGCCCGAATACTGTTATTAAAATGTGAAATCAGGTCTGTGTTGTCACCTCCTCTTCTCTCAACCACCCAAAATACTTAACCACATCAAGCCTAAATTCTCGCTCAACAGTTCTTGTGTCATGAGACCGACACCTCACACAGTGTGTAGTGTGCATGCATGTAGTGTTTTAATGCAGTCCACCGGTGTTGTGTCACACCTCTCAAGGCTACAGCGGCAGAGGGTTCACGTGTGACTTTGAGGCGGCGGGAATGTGTGGATGGACTGACCAGTCCTCCAATGCAGCAGTGTACAGCTGGCAGAGACGTCAGCGAGAAGGGAGCGCGCTGCCCGACAGCGGGCCCACCTCCGACTACTCCACCGGGACGGCTGCAGGTGGGCTGTCGTACTGGGCAATTTTTGTTTTCAGTCTTTCTGTCCTCCTGCTGTCAAGTGTATTTAAAAGCTCCAGGCGCTCCTTTAGTGTTCATCGTGGGAATGCATTTGATTTGGTGTATTATTTAAACTAGTTTGCTAAAAGTCCGTATTTAGAGAAGTCAGACATGAGGACATAAAGTCAGTTTTTAATTAGGATTGTTGTAATAATGATCAATTAATAGTACACATATTTGATTATATCTATACCTTCCTTCTCATTTAACTATGTGAACACTGAAAACAGATCCTGGAGATCTAATTCATTTAAATGTCACCAGTCGTCGACTGAGAGGTTTTAATGTTGTGCAGAGGCATCTGATGAAAGCACTGTGCCACTATGACATCATTGACATGTGCTAAAACTTTAACGTTCCCTATTGCACAGGATGGTTCGTGGGGGTGAGCGCTCTGACCGCAGGGTCTCTCAGCACTGCAGTTTTGATTTCCCCGGAGATGAAACAGTCCTCGCCAACGTGTCGCCTTCGTCTCAGATACTTCCTGTGGGACTCAGGTAACTGCTGTCAATCACTACGGCTCACACGCAATCCTATGGACAGGTATTCTTTTCTACTACTCTTTTAGTATTTGAAAAATGATTGACATCTGGAGGAAAGGAATATGTTACAGAAATGAGAAAAAATTAAATCAAATGTAGAACTGTACAATACGATGTAAATAACGTACATAAAACTATTTAAAAACAACAAATTCTTGTTAAAATCCCGATAAATACTGTTAGATATTGTATATCGGAAGACAGTTTTTCCAATTAATCTTGGTTGTAAGCCTACAATAAATATAAAGAATAGTTGCTTTAAAAATTGACGTTTTGCACATTATTGCACTTTTCTTTTTTTAATCGTCTCATTTGATTTGATGCTACAACAGTGGCGATTTTGAACTTAGAAGAGACATAGTAATTGTTTGTTTGCGCTGAGGCGAGATGTGATTTCGTCTCTCCTACTCATTCGCTCTCCCACCCGTCCTGTAGGTCACACGGGTCTGGGCTCCACGCCCTTGTGGGCGTCCATCCTTCGCCACGACTCTCGAGAGACCGTCGTGTGGCGTCCCGAGGCCACCAGCGTCCGGGGCTGGAGGGAGGACACAGTCTTTCTGGGCCGCATTCCCACAGGCTTCCGAATCCGTCTGCACTCGCGGCGCTCCGCGGGGCAAACGGGAGATGTGGCGGTGGACCAGCTGGAGTTTCTGGACTGCGCTCTGCCCTGTGAGTCCCTCCAAATACACCCCGCATGAACCGTCCCATCAGCAGTCGAGGGTAATAATTTGTTATCTCTCTCTCTCTCTCGCTCTACGACATCAGTGCCTCTCGAAGGTAAAGAGTGTCCCCCAGGGATGACGGGGTGTGAGCGGGGGGGCTGCGTGGAGCAGCGACAGATCTGTGACGGCAGCGACGACTGCGGAGACGGGACTGACGAGAAGACCTGCGGTGAGAAATAGTGGCGCACGGAGCCCTCTGACAACACGGGACGGCGATGATGACACCACAAGAGTCTCTGATAACATTACAGGAAATATTTGATTAATACAACTTTTTGTTTCCATTGTATTTGGATGGTGGAATTTTTTAATAAGATAGAACAAATTCTATAGGTACAGGTCCTAATGACAAAGACAATAAGGGAATGTGTACTCGTACTCGTCTTTTACAAACCTTTTGCTGCTTTAAGTATTATGTGATATTCCTGTAGTACCTACTTTGCAGTCCACAGACATATACGCTGTTTGTATGGAACAAACTTTTATAAAATTCCTGGTCGTCAGTGAGAAGAAGCCACTTTTCCAACGTACATTCGACTCCATGCAAGAGGTACTTGCGGTTGATGTAATCCACCTTGTTTATTCTGTCTCCAGATGGGTGCGAGGTGTGCGACTTCGAGCAGGATGTTTGTCGTTGGGATCTGCGAACCTTTTCTAAACTTGAATGGGTTAGAACCAATCAGGTGAACATCTCTGTCACGGATCCCCTGATGGGACCAGGCAGGGATCACTCCAACAACAGTGCTACAGGTATTCTATTCTAACCAGGTAAACATGTTCAGAGTCACCAGTGTCACCAGTATTCCATTGCTTTATTTTTAAACGCATCATTTATTTGCAGGTCACTTCCTCTATGTCACTGTCCCTGATGGTGGTCTGACGAGTGACTGGGCTGTGTTCCAAAGTCCCCGCCTTGAGCCCACCAACATTACTCAACCTTGCAAGGTGAATCCCAACCGGATTCCCCCTTCAGTCGGAGAGCTCTTTCCTTTACTCTCGCTCCGTAATTTCACAGTAATTTTCTCACGGTCTGAGGTTTGACCACTTTTCTGTATCTGCCTGCTGCAGATGGTGATGTACACCCACCAATTTGGGCCGAGGTCCGGCGGTCTTTCGGTGCTGGTTGCAGGTAGAGAGATCTCCCCGGTGTGGCAGAGGGGCGGAGCTCTGGGCGACGTCTGGGTGAAGGCCCAGGTGGACATTGTCGCAGACTCCATTTTCCAAGTGAGTACTTCACCTGAGTTTGTAGCCATTTTATTGCTGCCACAATCATTTTTAAAGCACAAATGGCTATTAGAACTTGTTGGAGAAAAGTGATCTTTTGCAAATAAATACAGGATAATTAGTTAATTAGCAAAACACAACAAAGTGCAATACAGAAAGTAGTATTTGCAATGTGACCAACACATATTTGCATAACTGTAGTTGAATTAATTCCCCCATTTTCTGGAAAATCTTTTTAGAACGTATTTGGCTGGGCCTCTGGCTGGATATTGGGAAAAAGCAAGGATCACTAACACTGTATCAAACACATTCCAGGCTACTCCACACTGCAATTATGTTCAGTGTGGTAAAGTCAATTTACCTTAAGACACAACATGTTTAATTGAGTCCTTGAATGATGTGATGTTTAAAAAAAATCACTTGATATAAAAATTTTAAAAAGCAATTGTTTTCACTCAATGGTTCTTAGCACCTCAGAGCTTTAGTCTTGAACAAGATTTTGATTGCATTCTCTTTTCCACTAAATTAGATCCTAATAGTGGCAGCAGTCAGGAACTTTGCATATGGAGGTATCGCTGTCGATAGCATTGCGTTGTCTCCAGGATGCCGCTTGTCTTCTGGTAAGCCTCTTAACAGTCTATCCTTTGTTTGATTTTTTTTTTTTAAAGAAAAATGTTCCACATCTGCAAAGATTGAGAGTAGGTCCTTGTGCTGTGATACATCTACTATCTCACATTCTCTTCTTGAAGATGCAGGAAATGGTACCTGGCCAAGTTTCCCCAAACCTCCTAAAACGCTGTGTGCTGAACCAGACAAGATGTGTGATTTCCATGGAGACTGTGCCGGAGGAGAGGATGAAGACAAATGTGGTGGGTCTATTTGTCCTCTTCCCTCTGCCTCACTTTTATCAACAGCACTACAACGTTTCTAAATAAAACATGATTGTTATTTGCCGATTACCAGACATAAAACCCTCTTGTGCAATCATTTTGTATTTTTTGAGTCATCTGAAATGTGGGCGTTTTGATATATGTTGCCTTCTTTGTAGAGAGACCCTGAATCCTATTTCTCGTGATTAATGATTTATTTGAATTACAAATAAATAGGAGTGAGAAGCAAATAAATCTTCTTCATGACTCACTGGTCAAACGTTTTTCTGTCTTTGCAAAGGCAAACTGTAATAACGGGTCGTAAGGGGAAAGTTAGATGGTGCTGTAACTTTGATTTATTCTTTTTGGTACGAAAAATCGTAGAGCTGGCTTTTCTATCAACCTGTCTCATTCTGAGATTTATCTGTGCAGGGGATTTCTCCTCCACTGAGGGCAGCTCCGGTTGGACTGACGCCAGCATTGGGAGTCAAGGGTGGGTGCTCCACAAAAATGAAACAGCCAAAGGTACGACTCAAGGCACCCCCCTCTTTACTATTGGATGTGGATATCTGATCACTTAATCATTTAATGTTTGCTTCTTCTCATAATCCTTAGAGGACTACCTGTACGTATCCGAGGCCCCGGGACAGCAGCTGACCGAGGCCCAGACACGGACCCCCCTCCTCGGCCCCTCCGGCCCCGCCTGCACCCTCAGCTTTGATTTTGCTTTAACAGGGAATCTGGATCACGTTGGTAACCAAATTCACTTATTATCCCACGTGTTTTATTTTCTCCTCTAACCTCTGGACACACGACTCAGTTTATGCGTCTACGCTGCAGGTCATCTGTCCGTCAGGCTGATTGACAGCTTGCTGGGCATGCGGCCAAAGCTGTGGGAATTCAGTGGGAGAACTGGAACCGTGGAGGAGGCGTGGCAACACGTCGACCTGCCTATCGGTGTGAGAAGAGATCGCTTCCAGGTCGGATTTAGTGTCTCAGAGCTCATTTTTACAACTAGATGTTTTCATTAACAAAGAGATCTGACTCGTAAAATAATGGCAGTCAAGTTTTAAAGTAAAATCAAGGCTCTTCTGTTTTTTCTTGTTTTATCTTTAACAGCTGGCCTTTGAAGCTCGTGCCATGAAACTTCCAGATGGCAATATTAAAGTGCAAAACGTTCACTTTGTCAGCTGTAATGACAATTATTTCCCATCCTCTCCAACGGGTAACTCAAAACCATCTAGTGTACGCACGTGATGTTGCATAATTCAGACTTTAAGATGCTAGAAATGTCTTCACGCTTTCTGTTCAGGGCTGTCGTGTAACTTTGAAGATGGACTGTGTGGATGGTATCAGGACCACAGTGACGACTTTGACTGGGCGCTGATGAATGGGACGGACCACACCATCGGGATCGGTGAGCTCATTTCAAATCCAAACTACAGATACGGTGTTTAGGTAGTAAATCCGACACAAACACACTTTGCCTCCATAGTTCCTCGACCTTAGTGGTAGAAAACATCCCATAATATATGCGTCTTAAGTGAATAGAATTTACTAAGGTGTGTCATCAGAACATGCTTGTGACCCGCCTTTGTGTTGACGTCCAGGCAGTAGTCTCGTGGTGGACATGTGGAGTCCTTCTCTACGCGGTGCGTTCGGGCGCTTGGTTTCTTATTCACAGCTACCAGTGGCTTCAGATCACTGCCTGTCCTTCTTCTACAAACTCTACGGGCCAAACGCAGGTGAGGACAAGACCGACTGGGAAGCCGTTCAGAGTTGCACCTGTTTATCTGAGCCGTCAACCACATTTACGATCAGCATTGTAGCACCGCTACGTAGACAGTGGTGACCTTTCACCTTTTATTAGTTGACTCCAAAAGAAACAAGATCTAGCCTTAACTAAGATAGTTTCGGTGTTTTCTCAGGTGTGGTTTTGAAATGACACATTACCGCCTCGTCTGATCCCGTCCAGGTACTCTGAATGTGAAGCTGTTGCTTACCGACGGCTATGAGGCCGTTCTCTGGACCCGCAGTGCAGCTCAAGGCAACGTGTGGCACGAGGCGCACTGCCCGGTGCCACATCAGCTCACAAACTTCCAGGTGTGGAATGACTGCAGTCAGCCTGAAACACAGTGTTGCGTGAAACATAAATAATAATAATGATTTCTGACCTCCCACCAGTTGCTGTTTGAAGCAGTCCGCTCTGGTTTTGACGGGCGCGTGGCCGTCGACGACGTGGCGTTCGTGGAAGGGCCGTGCGCCGCGCCGAGGGTTTGTTCCTTTGAAGGCCAGCGGTGTGGATACAGCAGCTCCGGCAAAGTCCAGTGGCTCCACCGCAGCGGAAGCACCGTCACGCTAACCGGACCCGAGACTGACCACACCCTGGAGACGGAGCTGGGTGGGAGAGAATCAGACGATCCCGTTGAATGGTGGTAGTATCTGAATGTGCCCACAGAGAACTGAGTAACAGTGAACTGTGATGTCGCTCTGCCTGTTTGGTGGTTCAGGCTTCTACATGTTGGTGAACACCGGGAAGAACTTCCTCCCGTCGGGCGGCACATCAGTCCTCAACTCCCCAGTTCGCCAAGGAAACGGCAGGACTGAGTGCGTTCACTTCTGGTATCACATGGGCGGAGCGAATCCTGGTGAGACACGATGAAACGCACGCACACACAAACATGACAAGAAACCTCTACGACATAACTGTGTACTTCGCAGGCTCTTTGACGTTGTTTATGAAGCCGGTGAAGGGCGAAAGGGTGAAAATCTTCTCCGACAGCCTGGACCAGGGAGATGTCTGGCGCCATGGCAACGGCAACATCTCGAGTGCTCTTATGGACTGGCAGGTACATTGTGTAGATGAACGCCGCTGGAAAAAAATATAGACTCTTAAATACTAACAATATTATATATTACTTTGTCCCATTTACAGTTTCTGTTCAATTTTAAGGATCCACACTTTTAAGGAAAATCATCTGCATTTAAATCAGCAGCTTGTTAATTGTTGAGATTGTACGAAAGGGCCTCCACCTTTTTGTATAATCTTTGTTTATTGTGTACACCAACATGCTTTGTTCTGCCCTGCAGCTGGAGTTTGAGGTGGTCGGCGCGGGAGGCGTAGACACTCACGTGGCAGTTGATGACATCTTCCTTTCAGCTCACCCATGTGAAGACAGAGGTTCGTATCAGCGTCAGCAAAACCACGCTTGAGCAGGCGCCCTACTCGTCCATGCAACAACTGTTGATGCAATATGGGCTTTTTTTTTTAAATGAAACACTCCACCAAATTCTTCTTTTAACATCTCAGGTTCTAAGTGCAGTCTGGAGAGAGGGATGTGCAGCTGGAGCAACACTCAAAACGCCAACGCAGACAAACTGGACTGGGAGTTGACGAGTCCGGAGGCGGAGAGCCACTACCCCATCCCGCCTGAGGACCACAGTCTGGGCACAGAGAAAGGTAATCCAGACTTTTGGCAGTGCATGGTTGTGGTATTACCTTCCTACATTTGGGAATTTCAACAAGATCTTTGCAATGAGAGTCTACCGTCCAATTTCCTCTCCGCCAGGTCACTTCCTGTTCTTTCCAAGCAGCAACCGGACAGCAGCCAATGAAAACGCTCAGTTGCTCAGCCCTCACCTGCCCCCGACTAAGAGCACCTGCCTGAAGTTCTGGGCCTACAAGCCATATTCCTGTAAGGGTGGATGTGTTTGGGAAAGCCTGTCCGGTGTAACCAGGATGCCTTTTGGTATTTTTTAACACTTGCACCCACTTTCGCACATATGCAGCGGACAGCCAGCTGAGGGTGTGGAGGCTGTCTCAAGGTCGTCTCCATCAGCTGCTGGTCGTGAGTGAACTGGGAGGGCCGTGGAAACGCTTCGACGTCAACATAACATCTGATGAGGAATACCAGGTCAGACTCTCACTCACCAGTAAACACAAGTACGCCAATCGTTACAGATATAGCAGTATAAAGCTCTAACTCTATGTAACGTACCCACAGCACAACTCCACACACTATTTTTGCACCCGAACAGGACTGACGGACAGCTCTCTCTGCCGTTGTTTTGTTTTTGTCTTCAGATTGTCCTCGAGGGGATCAAAGGCACATCAGGCGTTGTGGCTCTAGATGACATTGAGTACACTGACGGAGTCAACTGCGGCACAAAAGTCACAGATGGAAGTAAGAAGGCCTGGGCTTGTTTCTCGACCTGTTAAGCACTTCATGCGTGCAAGGTTTTCTGCTTTGACAGTTTGTTTTGTTTTTTTATTAAGAAGAATAATGTTTTTGGACACATTTTCTTGATGTGAGTCAAAAGAAAATTGGCCCCACCGTTTCTCCTTTCACCTGCAAATAAAACTGCAGATGGATATTATTTAGAAGTTAGATTTACTGGGGGAGGCCTGTAGGTCTGCTAGCGGCCTACAGGTATTATTTTCATGTTTTGTGATGGAGCTCGGTTACAAACCATGACGGCCTCTGCTTGTCGCACTGCCACAAATGTTCCACGTGTCTTCCGAGTCGCCCTGCTGCAGTTTAAAGAGATTCACTCCCCGTCGTACCCGGCCCCGTCACCTGTTAAATGTTGCCCTCCTTCCCCGTAGCCTCGCAGAAGGCAGCCGTGGACGGAGGGGTCGCGGCAGCCGTCATCGTGGTCCTGCTGCTGATCGGCACTTTGATCGGCCTGCTGGTCTTCTACCTGCGTACCAGACAGATGGTCAATGCTCCGCCTCCGCCATGCCCCCCAGCTGGTGATGGCTTCAGTAATGAAGTGTATGAAGGAGACCTCACAGTGAGTTAATCTGACGCCCAGACCTTTGGCAAACATCCAGTCAAATCTATTTCATTGGTATTAAGGGGTAAAATGTGCGTGTCTTGAAAAGTGTACGACTAAGATGAAAGCTAAGCCTGGGGAGGAGAAAGGGCAGATAAAAAGGAGCGAGTGAGTTTCAACAGTTGTTGAGGTGTCATTTTAGATGATATTAGTTCTACAAGGACGGGTATATGATCTGTAACGTTGGTCATCTTGTTGTGCGTAAAATAAAAAAAGATCCTAAACCCAAAGTAGTGTACTTAACAGTCTGTTTACCAAGTAACACAATTACACAAACAACGCACCGATGCTAGCGATATGCCAGCCACCTACCTACCCACTATGCTACAAAGAAGAGATGTTCTTTTTAACCAGAATGTGGTAAGCTAACAGCAGGATCCTTATGCGTGTCTGGTTAGGATTGATCTTGTGTGTGTTTATTGCAGCAGGATCGTGTGATTATTCCTGTGGTGCAGAACCATCCCATGGCCGCTGGGTTCAATAATGTCCTTGTGAGTGTAGACCGCTCAGAACGTCTTTAGGACAAATAGTATTTCATTTGGTGTAAACCGTATCCATGTCCACTCACGTGTACTTGAACGTAGTCCTATATAGAATTGCAGCGTTGCACAGAAGTGGTTCTATTTACTGACTAGTCCTTCTTTGGCTAGTTTATGGACGGACTGTGGTGACCTATGCGCGCTTCCTCTTGTGTCCCTGCAGGTCTCTGCTGATGTCAGAGAGAGGGTGGTGTGAGGTGGGAGGAGTGCGCTGGTCCTGCCACCTAAAGGTGGCCTTGTGAAAATGGGGCGATGTCACAGCAGAAGAACTGCTTGCGTCGCCTTTACACCACACACACACACACACACACACACACACACAAACTGAAGAAGGCCAAACCGATGAAGCTGCCTCAGATCTGATGGAGCCCTCGAGGGTCGCAGCTCTCTGCCTGTCGACGGACTGATGGAAGTCCGAAGGAGAAGGTCGATGGTGTCGATGATGGATATTTTCAGTTTCACTATCATTGAATCAGCACTGGGCTTAACCCACCAATGGTTGCATGGAGAATTAGTGTCTGGTTTGGATATGTAAGAAAGTATGATCTGGGAGCATGGAGCTAGAAGGTTGTGAGTTAACCAGGCAAGGAGGTCTGATGGAAGTCACTGTCAAGGTGCATTTTGGGAGAGGCGCTTGACTCTCATTATGGACTAGTTGAATATCTGTGTCTCACAAGCCTCCCACTTCGTAGAAAGTTAGAGTGCCACTTTTAAAGCAAAAGAACAAACAATGACATTGAACTTTTTGGAAAAAAAAAAGTTGACGTGCAATGTTTGAAAATGTTTGTTAGGTGGATGTATTCGTTTAAATAATTATAATTGACCTTTGATTAATTGATTAAAGTTGAGCATTTAAACCTGGTCAGTGTGGTGTCTGAAATGACTGCAGCCGAATCTTTAAAGTATCATTTGAATGTGTCTGCCCACAAGTATAGTTCACAATTATATGATCAAAGTCTATCAACAACAAAAGTCTGACCATTTCCATTACTGAAAGTAACAATAATTCATACCAAAAATGTGCTTATGTTGCCTGCAATTTTCAATTGATAATACGTTGAAAATTTAGTATATTTAGCGCATTTATTGTATTCTTGTATCTTGTATTTCTTGTAAAGAACCAATAACGCAAAGCATCAAAGGGTGAACGGTAATCCACACGGTCACCGCGCGATGGCTCCTCTACGGTCACATGCCTCGTCCATCTTTACGGGGACTGGATGACGACACCGTGTCCTTAGCAACGGTCGCGTCTCTACGGCAACATCCTCCGATGTCCCCTACCGCTGCGTTCACCGTGACTCTCCGCCGCTTCCACTCGGGTGAAGTGGTGTTTTTTGGGGGGTGGGTGGGGGGGGATCCGATCGAGCGCGAGCGCCCACGCCAGCTGCTGATTGTGTCTCGCGACTTCAGCGCCTAAAGTTGGTGTGCATGCGCGGCAACTTGGCCACGAGGACGCGCCTCCGTCATTGATCGTCCCTTACCGGCACAACCCGCAGCCGCAGGTACCGCTTGTTTCCATCTGGGCCGTTTTTATTCATTTCCTAATTTCTCGTGAATGGATCCCGCCCTGCTCATCTTCCTGCTGTACGTGATGATCGCGCACGACCTGCTGTGCGGCTGGATGCAGTACCGCAGAGAGCGCGCCGAGCCGCGGGGACGAGCAGCTCGACCCCTGCTGCGCTCGAGGTGTGTGTGTGTGTGTGTGTGTGTGTGTGTGTGTGTGTGTGTGTGTGTGTGTGTGTGTTCGCGCGCGATTTCCGTTTGATCGAAAGTAGATCGTCTGGCTGTAGTTTCTAAACCATAACGTGATAAGTAGACACTGCAGCTCTGTAAGGATTAGCTGCTGATCGATTGGTGTCGGCAAATACCTATGACAACAAACTACTCTAGGTCTCACATCTTTGGTTTATCAGCTTTCGAAAGAATAAGAACACATTGATACATGCACATTTTAAAGTCATGCAAGGAACCAAATTCATAAAACACATAACACAATGCCCAAAAAATAAGATGAATATTTGAGCGGTTCCTTCTTGATCCGAAAAACAACGCTGTGATAAAGAGTTGCATAGTTGCAAGGATCACTTTTGTTCAGCGCTTTTGACAGCATCTCTCTTTAGGTGTCATATATGACGACCTTTTTATCATGATGACACTTCCGCAATAACAAACTGTAAGTGAACCTTGAGTTTAGAACATGTACTGCTTAACTTCTCAATATAGACTTAAACCGATGCCACAGAGGGACCTTGTACACACGCTCCTGGAAGGCTTCTTGTTTCTGCTTTTGTCATGAAATGGTCTCAGGGGAATCATATATTAAAAAAAAGTGTTTCATGACTGTTAATGATGAGACGTTCGCTCGGAGTGAATCACCTGTACTCCACCTCCAGCCCCCAGGTGTGCCACGGCGCGTGGAGTACAAGCAGGCCCCACAGAGGAGGGAAGGACCTGAGGAAGAGTGGACGCATTGTCAGAAAAGCCTGATAAAAGAGAGGAGCCAAACAAAGACACTTAACCTGAGTAACCTGAAGCACAATTGGCTCTCAGAGTTGCAGCAAGTTATGCAAATTTGTCTCTGCTGTCTTTCAAACACGCCGAATGTGAGTTTTGGAAGCCAAATCCACCAGAAGATGAAATCTTTGTTCATGTTGCATTAAGTCTCAACTTCTCTTTGAGCTCTATGTTTGTTCCCCCAAATAAAAACCTGTCTGAGGCTTTTTGGTGATGGGGAAGTCTTTAATTGCATGACTCAACACAACCGCTGTTAATTACTGTCAGCGAAGGGAGGGAGCAGAGGGTGTTGTCTGGTCGACGTGGCGCAGGGGTAGAGAGGGTGCGCCGGGAACCGCAAGGGTGGCGGTTCGAGCCCTGGCTGCTTCATGTCCAAGTGTCCCTGAGCAAGACACCTCAGCCCTAATTGCTCCCTGGGCAAAAAAAAAAGCCATGGGTTAAAAATCCCCATGGGCTCACCACCTGTGGGGGAAACCGATGGGGTCGGGTGCGCTGCTACAAGGGTGGCAGTGACAGTGGGGGGTCTAGACGGAACAGACCTGGGCGGCAGATGCTGGCTCTGGGGACGTGGAACGTAACCTCTCTGGGGGGGAAGGAGCCGGAGCTTGTGCGGGAGGTGGAGCGTTATCAGTTGGATCTGGTGGGGCTTACCTCTACGCACAGCCTCGGCTCTGGAACCAAACTCCTGGATAGGGGGTGGACTCTATTCTACTCCGGAGTGGCCCATGGTGTGAGGCGCCAGGCGGGTGTGGGGATACTCATAAGTCCCCGGCTGAGTGCTGCTACATTGGAGTTTACCCCAGTGGACAAAAGGGTCGCCTCCCTACGCCTTCGGGTGGTAGGGGGGAAAACTCTGACTGTTGTCTGTGCATATGCACCAAACAGCAGCTCAGAGTATTCGGCCTTTTTGGAGACCCTGAATGGAGTCCTGCATGGGGCTCCTGTAGGGGACTCCATAGTCCTACTGGGAGACTTCAATGCGCACGTGGGCGACGATGGAGATAACTGGAGAGGCGTGATTGGGAGGAATGGCCTCCCTGATCTGAACCCGAGCGGGTGTTTGTTACTGGACTTCTGTGCTAGTCACGGATTGTCCATAACAAACACCATGTTCGAACATAAGGATGTTCATAAGTGTACGTGGTACCAGAGCACCCTAGGCCAAAGATCAATGATCGATTTTGTAATCGTATCGTCTGATCTGAGGCCGCATGTTCTGGACACTCGGGTAAAGAGAGGGGCAGAGCTGTCAACTGATCACCATCTGGTTGTGAGCTGGGTCAGAGGATGGGGGAAGACTCGGGACAGACCCGGTAAACCCAAGCGTGTAGTGAGGGTGAACTGGGAACGTCTGGAGGAGGCCCCGGTCCAAAAGATTTTCAACTCACACCTCCGGCGGAGCTTCTCTCACATTCCTGTGGAGGTAGGGGACATTGAACCAGAGTGGTCTATGTTCAAAACCTCCATTGCTGAAGCCGCGGCGGTGAGTTGTGGCCTCAAGGTCTTAGGTGCATCAAGGGGCGGTAACCCTCGAACTCCGTGGTGGACACCGGTGGTCAGGGAAGCCGTCCGACTGAAGAAGGAGGCCTTCCGGGTTATGATATCCGGTGGGACTCCAGAGGCAGTTGCAGTGTACCGACAGGCTCGAAGGGCAGCAGCCTCTGCCGTGATGGAGGCAAAGCAGCGAGTATGGGAGGAGTTCGGGGTAACTATGGAGAAGGACTTTCGGTCGGCACCAAAGTGTTTTTGGAAGACCATCCGGCACCTCAGGAGGGGGAAACGGGGAACCATCCAAGCTGTGTACAGTAAGGATGGGACCCTGTTGACCGCGACTGAGGAGGTTATCGGGCGGTGGAAGGAACACTTTGAGGAACTCCTGAATCCAACTACTACGCCCTCTGTGGTGGAGGCGGAGCTGGAGGCGGAGGAGGGATCATCGTCAATTAGCCTGGTGGAAGTCACTGAGGTAGTCAAACAACTCCGCAGTGGCAAAGCCCCGGGGATTGATGAGATCCGTCCAGAGATGCTAAAGGCAATGGGTGTTGGGGGGTTGTCTTGGATGACACGCCTCTTCAACATTGCGTGGAAGTCTGGGACAGTGCCAAAAGAGTGGCAGATCGGGGTGGTGGTACCCCTCTTTAAAAAGGGGGACCAGAGAGTGTGTGCCAATTACAGGGGTATCACACTACTCAGCCTCCCGGGTAAAGTCTACTCTAAGGTGCTGGAAAGGAGGGTTCGGCCGATGGTCGAACCAAGGATTGAAGAGGAACAATGCGGTTTTCGTCCTGGTCGTGGAACAACGGACCAGCTCTTCACTCTTTCCAGGATCATAGAGGGGGCTTGGGAGTATGCTCAACCAGTCTACATGTGTTTTGTGGACTTGGAGAAGGCGTATGACCGGGTCCCCCGAGAGATACTGTGGGAGGTGCTGCGGGAGTACGGGGTGAGGGGGTCCTTGCTTGGGGCCATCCAATCCTTGTACGCCCAAAGCGAGAGCTGTGTTCGGGTGCTCGGCAGTAAGTCGAAGGCGTTTCCGGTTGGGGTTGGCCTTCGCCAGGGCTGCGCCTTGTCACCAATCTTGTTTGTGGTCTTCATGGACAGGATATCGAGGCGTAGTCGGGGGGAGGAGGGTCTACAGTTCGGGGGGCTGCGGATCTCATCGCTGCTTTTTGCAGATGATGTGGTCCTGATGGCATCTTCCGTCTGTGACCTCCAACTCTCACTGGAGCGTTTCGCAGTCGAGTGTGAAGCGGTCGGGATGAGGATTAGCACCTCTAAATCTGAGGCCATGGTTCTCAGCAGGAAACCGATGGATTGCCTACTCCAGGTAGGGAATGTGTCCTTACCCCAAGTGAAGGAGTTCAAGTACCTCGGGGTCTTGTTCACGAGTGAGGGGAAGATGGAGTGTGAGTTTGGCCGGAGAATCGGAGCAGCGGGGGCGGTATTGCACTCGCTTTACCGCACCGTTGTGACGAAAAGAGAGCTGAGCCGGAAGGCAAAGCTCTCGATCTACCGGTCAATCTTCGTTCCTACCCTCACCTATGGTCATGAAGGATGGGTCATGACCGAAAGAACTAGGTCACGGGTACAAGCGGCCGAAATGGGTTTCCTCAGGAGAGTGGCTGGCGTCTCCCTTAGGGATAGGGTGAGAAGCTCAGCCATTCGCGAGGAGCTCGGAGTAGAGCCGCTGCTCCTTTGCGTCGAAAGGAGCCAGTTGAGGTGGTTTGGGCATCTGGTGAGGATGCCCCCTGGGCGCCTCCCTAGGGAGGTGTTTCAGGCACGGCCAGCTGGGAAGAGGCCCCGGGGAAGACCCAGGACTAGGTGGAGAGATTATATCTCTGCACTGGCCTGGGAACGCCTTGGGATCCCCCAGTCAGAGCTGGTAGATGTGGCCCGGGAAAGGGAAGTTTGGGGTCCCCTGCTGGAGCTGTTGCCCCCGCGACCCGACCCTGGATAAGCGGCTGAAGATGGATGGATGGGTTAAAAATACAATGTAAGTCGCTTTGGATAAAAGCATCAGCTAAATGACCTGTAATGTATTAAAATGTTCCTTATCCTCATATGTTCGAGATCATGACATAAAGCTTGTCAATGTGAGTCGTGCCGTTGATCAGATTTTGTGTTCAGCATAATTGACACAAGGGTAAATGACCAGTTCTTCCTGTGCTTTCTACCGTGTATCTCACGGAAGCTCGACCTTTCACGCAGCTTGTGTCGGGGCACACATCAAGCACCGTCACATTGTGTCTAGAAAAGAACTTCAACTGGGAAAACCTGCAGGACTTGCTACCCAACAACTCCTCCTAACCTTAAAAGTTCAAGGCCGCTGCCATGTTGCATTTCGGCGTAAACCATCACGCCATAGTTTTTTTTCGGATACTATACAGACGCTGCCCGCCACCTCTCAACCCCATGTGACCGGTCCTGTTTCTGTAAGGGTTGTTGAATTTCCGCTCTGTGATCTCGAGACAGCTAACCTGACGGAAACTGAACATATGAGCAGCTTCTAGCCTCTAATTGTGTTCACTCAGCTGCAAGGCTCAGCTCAGCAAACAGCAGACAGACACTATCAGCAGATGTCCTCTCTGGAGCAGGTGAGTGTTTATTATTTCCCATGGGAGTTTGTGTTCGCCTCAGCTATACCGTGCAATTATTTGTTTGTTTCTTTAAATATATAGTGAGTAAAATAGGTTGATTTTGACGTGGGAGGTTGACAATACACGACATGGATGCGCTTTATTGCTTGAGTGATTTGGTCTAATTGCAAACATCATATTGCATGTAGTGAAAATACACAAGTGAACACACACGTTAGTGTCATGTTTTGTAAAGGACACGTGAGCCTGCGTCATCAGTGTGGAATTTGTATTGCAGTTAAATACCGTAAGCAGGTTTAGGCTCGGCACACAGTTGTCTGGAGATTAATGCTTGACTACAACCTGAGTCCACAGTCACACCGTAAGTCTAAAGATTTGTCTACGTGTATTGTATTTATTTGATTAGTCTGATGAATGCAGTTAATTCATCAATCTGATGCCGAGACAACAAGCTTATTGTTTGTAATTCAGCTCAAACCTCCAGATTCTGGGGAAGAGTTTTATGAATTGTTTCAAGCATACGGTTAATTTAATGTAATGTTGTATGTAATGTTCAGAAAGTCTACAGTTAAATAAAGGTAATGTCATTAAAGGACGCATTATAACTATTTGAATTCTTGGAACCTAAAAAGATAATTAACCTATTTTGTTTTAATGTGGTTTGATGAACTACTTTGTTTACACATTTTGTAAAGTTAAATGAAATCACTCATGATTGATATAATATATGATTTTTTTTTACATAGAGAATATAGTTGTGGTGTAACAGATTAAGTGACATTTGATATTAGTGCACAGTTGTTTGGCCTGACAAACAACTCACTGCAGTTCCCACCTTTCAGTTTCTGTTGTCATTAACATGTTTTTGTGTTTTGCTTTAGTTGAGTGGAATTCGTTCCAGTCCTACAGGTTGCAAGCAAAAATAAACCAGATAAGTTGCTCCAGGTTGACAACATAATAGTGGGGGGAATGAAGGAAGGAACGAAAGAACGAAAGCTCACATTAGCTTGTGAAATGACAGTAAATGTAGGCCTGGCCACCTTGAAGGAGTGGCTGTTACAGCGGCTGAATAGAAAACCGTGGCCACCCGAGCAAACCCGTCACACGATGTCTCTGTGATTCAAGGCGAGCATGGCATCGGTTTCGATCAGCTCCCACCTCAACAAGGCGGTGCGGCAGGATTACATGAGCCTGCCGCAGGGAGGGAAGTGCCAGGTCACCTACATCTGGATCGACGGCACAGGGGAGGGTCTCCGCAACAAGACCCGAACCCTGGACAACGAGCCAAGCAGCATAGACGGTAAATGCCCTCTTTTTGGGGGTTCATCGCTTTTGGTAGGATTCATTATCATAAGTCATTATGAGTCATTATTCAGCCTTTAGTTCTAAACTTTTCATGTTAAGATCGGGGTAAAATATGTATGGAATTAGTGTATTCAAGGGTAACATGGTTGATGAAGGTTTAATTTCAGGTTTATTTAAGCTGCTCATCTCTGCACATGAGAGAAAGTATGTGGCACTAAATTCAGAGATTTACTGGCCTGTATATAGATTACAGAATGATTTATGCATTTGATTTGATTAAGGGATGATATAAATATTGAGACAAGTGCAGAAAACCTTCTGGTAAAACCTAATTAATATGCCGGCCTATATATTGACTCTTTAGACAATCAGTCAATGTCAGAATTAAGTAACTGTCCAAACAATCCAATTTCCAAATATCATGAAAGTAAGGATATTTACTTGTAAATGTAGAATACGTTTATTTTCTACATTCAGATAAGGAAAAGATGTTCTTTGGAGAACAAAGAACATCGTTCTTTGGAGCCTCCAACGTTCTTTGGAACCTTAACCGGTTTCACAGCTGAGTTAAGCAGAGTTTGGATGCAGATGTTCTGTGTTCATTTGTCTTGGCAGATATTCCGGAGTGGAACTTTGATGGCTCGAGCACGTACCAGGCCGAAGGCTCCAACAGCGACATGTACCTCATCCCCGTCCGCATGTTCAGGGATCCGTTCTCCCTGGACCCCAACAAGCTGGTCCTCTGTGAGGTCCTCAAATACAACCGCTTACCTGCAGGTGCACACGTTACATTTCTCTGTTGTTCTCTGAATCCTGTTCGGTAAGTTCCGTTGCATTACTGCTCCATCCTGTTCTTTCTGATTAGAAACAAACCACCGAGCGAGCTGCAGAGAGGTGATGGAGGTGGTTAAAGAGCACTGCATATGGTTTGGCATGGAGCAGGAGTTCACGCTGTTCGGAATAGACGGACACCCTTACAGTTGGCCCCCTAATGGATTCCCCAAAGCCCAAGGTGAATCAGCCATTATTTACTGGTCCTCTGCTCACCTCTGTCATCAGGAAAAGACAGACTTCATAAAAGATTTGTAGATCTTTATGTGATCGTTTTGCGGAATACAATATTTGATAACTCTTGTGTTTTTGGTTGCTTACGATGAGCCCTTCCTCTCTTAAGAGGAACCACTTTCTTCTCCAGCGTGAATTGCTCATCATCGAAACATCTTTCAGAAGTCATTTCTACGTTAAATTGAAGCTTAAGGTGTTGAAATGTGTATCCCTCTCATTTACCAACCTATTGTAACAAAGAGGTAATTAACTATAAAACACACATTGTGATAACAAACCCCATCACAGGGATAGTTGTCACACAAAATTGTCACAATGTTATTCCAACGGGCAAATCTTACAAAAGGAATCAAGAAGGGAGAACTACATTTGAAAGTTTAATTACATTGATATATAAATTAATATAAAGTATTATTTATAAAGTATTATAAATAATACTTTTTAACACAAAAGGACCAAGGAACACGGACAGGAAAGACATCTGAGTTACAGTGATGGCAAATGAAGGGTCTGCGCTCTCCTCCTCAGCAGAGCTTGTGTGCCCCCTGGTTGCACATATATAACACACAAGACAGTTTGAAGGACGTCCCATGTGACAACCAACCCCAAAGACAATGTGACAACCAAGCCCAAGTTTCTTGCCAACAATAGACAAGCATTAGCAATTATTTAGCCAATGAATTATTTACACACTTGCTCTTTAATAGAGCCGTTGCCGGGTCCGCGGTTCCACATACGGGCTAAATATTTACAATATAAAAATAACACATGTTGATGTGGGTGCTGTTCAACTCAAAGGTTCTCTATAAAAATACACTGCCACACATCAGGTCTTTCTATTGAATTTAAGGACCCTTCTACTGCGGGGTGGGGGCGGACTGCGCTTATGGACGGGACATAGTGGAGTGCCACTACAAGGCCTGCCTCTATGCAGGGGTCAACATCTGTGGCACCAACGCTGAAGTTATGCCATCACAGGTAAGTGGAGCCCTTATTGTGATGAACATGTATGCCGACAACACCACCCACTGTTCTCTGTTTATAGTTATTTGACACAACGTCTTTATTCTTTGCCTCTACGTCTTCAGTGGGAGTTCCAGGTGGGACCCTGCGAGGGTATTGAGATGGGGGACCACTTGTGGGTCTCCCGCTTCCTGCTGCACCGCGTTTGTGAAGACTTTGGTGTTGTTGCGTCACTGGACCCCAAACCAATGAAGGGCAACTGGAACGGTGCTGGTTGCCACACCAACGTCAGCACCAAGCAGATGAGAGAAGCAGGAGGACTGCAGTGAGTGAAGCGTCCTTTGAAACTTAGTGAAATGGTACCACTCTTCATGAATTGGAATGGAATTTTTTCAGGCTGAAGCGTTTTTTGGAGTATATGTGTCATTCATATTATAAAAACATGACGTAAATTTGGGTACATGGTCGCTAATTCCATAATTAACATAACATAGATGTTTTTATTTGTTCTTAATAATATTGTAAAATCCACTGTACGTGTACTTTACTGTCTCTGTGTTAAGATATTACACACTTTTTCCAGATTTCCATTCACACACACACTATTGATATGTTTAGGGCTTTATTCTCTAGATAATTCCTGTATGTCACATTTTTTACATACTCTACATTTTCAGCCACTTCTTGTTGCATGACATCCTGTCGATGAGGCTCCATCAACATTCAACCTTTTCCCCCCCGACCACAGATACATCGAGCAGGCCATCGAGAAGCTGAGCAAAAAACACAGCGAGCACATCCGAGTGTACGACCCACGCGGAGGGGAGGACAACAAGAGGCGCCTCACGGGTCTCCACGAGACCTCCTCCATCGAAGACTTCTCTGCCGGAGTGGCCAACCGGGGCGCCAGCATCCGCATCCCGCGCCAGGTGGGCCAGGAGCGGAAAGGCTACTTCGAGGACCGCCGGCCTGCAGCGAACTGCGACCCGTACGCCGTGACCCGGGCCATCACAGCCACCTGCCTGCTTGATTCAGAAGGCGCAGAAGAGAGCAAGTAGAAGAAAGGTGCTCCTGGAATGTAGAATTACATCTGCCCGCCTGTCGGGTCGTCTCTGCTTCAAACTGTGTACTGCATGTGTTAGAGTGGGTGAAATAAAAGCAAGAGGGTGGTGAATACTTTTAAGTGTGTCCATCTTCTTTGTCTTGTTTGTTTGCTTGTTTGCAAAATATCAAGGCAAGATGACTCTAAATATATGCTACTGTTTGAAGCTTTGGCCTTGCTAGTCAGCAATTAACAGAAAATAAAAAAGTCATAAAAACACATGAAAAAAAAGGAAAGGAAAAGGAAGAGCACATTTGATCCACTAAGAATATAAAGTGCACTTGTACAGCAGTTTGGTTTTAAGACAGTTGGAGGCCCTTGATACAATCAGGAAGTTGGTTCCAGACATGCAGCAGCAGCTAAAAGCTGCTTCATCCTGTTCAGTGAGAGAATCTATTTATATGAGAGGATCATTGATGCTTCTTTCCTTGTTCAGCCACAGTTTTGCTTCAACTATGTTTTGCAATTATTAAATATAATATCATCCTGTTACATCGGATTCAACACCGTCTTTTCTTTTCTTTAGATATAATTGAATGACTTGTGACAGTTTTGAGTGTTGCACACAATGAATGGTGAATCGTGTTTATTTTTTTGTCATATTGACATAATGAATCATTCTAAAAATGCATTTTAAAGTCTAGGATGGCCACATTATAGAACAGTATACATTACAACATACATTGATTTTAAAATATTTGTTTTGTCAGGATGTGTCAGTATTATAACATAGTTACTATTTATAGCTTGTTATTACAACTGTAAGGTAATTGCGCGTAATTGATTTGGATGTAAAATCATTTGGACTTAACCCACTAAATGATTGAGTTAGAAATGTTAAAGACTATGGCAATGTCCACAAGGTGGAGGCACCGCTTTAGTTTTGTCTTTTTCTAACAATAACTGTGAAATTACAAAAATACTAACTCACCAACAATCTGTGTGAAGGTCACTGCTAACCAGGAATAATGAGTGCGTTTTGGTTTGACATCAGCATTATAAAATGACAGGAAAGACATGAATGGGGCGTCACTGGCATGGATTAACCTCCTCTTGATGCTCAATGCATCTAACAAATTGTATAAACATCTTATCCTGTTACCTCCTGACATACGATTTTCTTGCCTTTAGCCTTTATTCAAGCTGCTTTTGCAAATGAGTAAACGAAAACATAAAAAACAGGGATTTTGCAGACCAAATCATTTGCCACCATTATCCATTTCCATGGATACAGGCAGTAACTTGGCAACCGTGGTGTTTGTCTGTCGTCATGGAAACACATGTCTTATTGGTTTACCAGGAATATTGGCAGGTGACATGATATATTAGTTCCATGATGGAAAATGTATGTCAAGACAGCACAGGTCCTTTTCTGCAAGATTTTAATGTAGCAACAGTTACAGTAGATCTGCTCCGGCGCCTAAGCTGCTCATTCAGACAGGAAGTACAGTCAGGAACAGGAAACCCTTTCAGTAACAGGAAGTATGTGCAGAGACGGGAACGATGTGAGCCACGGAAAGTTTTGTGAGAGACGTTTTCATGCCAATTCATATTGTGGGTGTTGTGTTACTAGAAAATGCCAGCATGCATTACTCCGATTTTGATTTTCACCCACATCATGTCCCACAATGTATGGTTGTAACTTCCATATCTTTCTTAAGACAAAGGGTTCATTAGCATTCTGATGACTTCCGGTTTAGAAATAGTTCCTTAGTTAAGGTAATCAGGCCAAGATTAACTCAGTCAAAGATAATATGTTAATATTGTGCATGATCAGAAATATGCCTATCGGACAAACAGTGGCCTCATAGCATAGAAATATCAGCACGTCATACAGGGATGTGTGCAGCACGGTTAAGCTTTGACTACAATACTCACGTGGCCTCATGAGGGTTGGAAATATATCCACATGTGGGGAAAGTACCTGATGGAAAGTATGAAGTAACAGTTTGGACTGTACTGTACAGTCAGAAACGACAAGCTATTACAACTTTAGAACCGACCGGATTAAAGGCTGAACTAAGCCAAGGATAAGTATCATCTTTGGATATTTTATGATTTTATATGTAAATTATGTTATGATTACACAATAAGAACACTGTTTACGAAGTTTTAGAAAATGTACTCATGAAGACAATCTTTGCTGGTGATTGGAGGTCTTTATCGCTCTTTGGTGCTCTTTATAAATATACAGTATATAATAAATATACAGTATATAATAAATAGAATCTTCTTCCTTTCATTCTTAGTTTTGTTGTGTTGATTTTGAAGATTTCATTCAAATGAATATAATACAATATAGTATATATTAGAGCAGAGGTCTTCAACGTTTTTCAAGCCAAGGTCCCCCAAACTGATGGCGAGGTGGAGCAGGGACCCCCTATTCTACTTAGTTTGGTCCGCCATCTTTTATTTTTGAGCTTCACGCTCTTTAGACGTGAGCATAAACGCGATCTGATTGGCTGGTGCCTGCGCTGTCGTATTCGCATGAAAGGAGCAGTGAGTGAACCGGTGCACCGCTTGAGAGCTGCTGAGGGAAGCTGAGTGTGTGTGCTGCGGACTGACAGATAAAGTCTTCTCCATCAATTTATCCGCTCGCTTCAATATGTTGGATTCATGTTAATGTGTATTTAAAGACCATAAATACAATTCTGATTCTGAAGACATTTACATTTGTGGGGGAAAAAAATGTTTAAAAAAATTGTCTTATCAACCAAAAATTTCGCGACCCCCCTGCAGTACCTTCGCGGACCCCCTGTTAAAGACCTCTGTATTAGAGGAATATAATAAGTCATGTTCACTTCCCGTCCATAAAGTCCGTGATCATCCCTCCCATTACTTTCATCGGGCGGTCAGCGTGACGTCACTGGTCTCTGGAGGAGGGGGGGGGGGGGGGGCAGGTGAGAGCGTCGCCTCCTCTCTGCTCTTAAAGACCCGGCGCGGCCGGGGGGTTAGGGAAGCCCATCCGTGGGGAAACTCCCACGATTTGGTCTCCGTTTTGCCAAAGACAAGGGGGTTTACACCCCGGGGAGGTCTGCCAGCGGGACCGTTAAAAATAAAACAGGCCACAGACTGCACTACAAAGGTAAGCCTACTCTTAGGAGTGTATTTCACCCCCGGGGGGGATTTTAAATGGGGAACTCGCGCCGCCAATCAGTCTTCTCTCGTTCGGGTGGAGCGCCCCCCGCAGGCTCGATGTAGATAAACTTTTCTTCCCAGAAGCCCGAGGGACTCAAGCACCAGCCGCGGGTTCTCATGGACGGTGTGATGGTGTTTTTGCGGGCGGTTTCCCGGTTGATGGTTGTGGTGTTTTTTTTGGGGGGGGGGGGGGGGCATTGCGGATACAAGCTTAACATGAGGAGGTGCTGCGCCGTGGAAGGCGGGTGGTCTTTGTGGTGCCGTGACAGACGTCCAGGTTCTTAAGAAACGATACTTCCACGTTTCCCTTTTCCACCCAACCCTTTAAATTGTTTGGATGGGATGTTGTTTAGAACCACACTTGTTTTGCTCCATCAAAACGTCCTTTTCATATTTTTTCGGTGTGAAATCCAAACTTCCGATGTCATCGTCTGAGACAAAGTTGTGGGAGTCGCTAAGAATGAAGAGTTAAAAGAAGGTTACGGTGGAGAACAGCTTCTTGGAGTTGACATGGAGGAAAGCTAGACAAAGAATCTATTGTATGTAAGCAATCATTGTGTGGATTATTGTCTTATAATAACAGGGGCTGCATCCGCATTAAATAAGGGCTCTTCCTCAAAGCTATGCTACTGACAAGGACACTAAATAGAGAGTGAAATGCAAGCGACATCACGTAGAGGAACAACCTTTCATTTCATTATGGTTGGATGTGAAGAAAATAGCAGGTTTTTCAGGTTCATTTAACAACGTGCACATGGCCGACCTGAGGCAGGTGGCCTACAGCAGAGGTCAGAACTCCCGCTGAGCTCCGTTACCCTGTGAGGTCACACGTGAGACCGCACCTGACACCCGGCGGGCTAAACGCCGCCCTGGTAGCGTAGAGACGGCATGGAGGGCTCCTCGGAGTCAAGTGCACAGCTCCAGACTCACACAAGCACAACACACACATTCACTGGTGGTTTGCTTCTGTTTTCACACCATCCCACCTGCGGCACAGTGTGTACAACCAAAGTGGGCTCTGAAGGCTCTGCACTCGGACGGATGCTTGGATACAAATACATCACCTCAAATGTAGTGTCTTTAAATTTGTATGTAGATGAAGCTATAAATGGACTTTTAAGATAAATTATACTTTATCAGCAGTGAACAACTATTTGCTATTTAAATATGTAATGCAAATAAAAGCTGTGCTGCATGATTAGACCTTTTATGATTTGTTGTTTTACATCTTAAACCATTCCTTGTGTTCTCTAACGTGATGTTAAAAGACATGAATGCCCGTTTTTACAGGTTATTTACAGGGTTGTGTTGTTTCGGACCCAGATGGGAGTCCTTCACTCACAGCTTTCAGCCTGTCCGTTAATGTATAATAAATGCTGAGGATGCATTATGTGTTGAGTGACATCACCCCTCTCCATGATCGCATCAATCAGACGGCCTGAATCATGGTGAAGCAGGGAAATGTGTGCTTTGTGCGAGAGTGAGGGGGGTTTCCTGTTTGTGTATCTTGAGGAAAGCATACAAAGGAGTTAATGCTTTAAATCTGGTTGCCGACCAAATTCATTTTCTACATTTATTAATAATTTGACGACCAAGATCAGGTCAGATGATAATTCATAGACTGAACACAAGAGGACCAAACTAATGGATATCTATCAATACAAACATCAATCAACCTCACGAAGGATGATTTTCCATCCCAGCAGAGCAGTAAATAAACTGTCACAGTCCAGTCAGACTTTGTTCTGATTATTTAAATTAAAATATATTTTCAATTAAGAATAAATCACATAGACCCATACGAAACCAGTTTAAACCATCATGTAATTTACCTGATGAAATGACATATCGCGATAGAATGGGCCTGATGTTGTTCCCGTCCCACCTTCCCATTTCTCTTCCATTAAGAGGTCGACAGTCTTTGGCAGTCAGTTTTAATAGCGGCCATTTCTTGCCAGAAATGTGCACGGACCTGAAGACCCGCTCAGATATTTCACCAAAGAGAGCAGCCCTGTTTTTAGAGGAGGAAAGCTAGCGAGGTGTTACAGGGGGCTGTAAAGTTTAGTGTTTTTGTCCTCTATGTATGTGTTTGTGTCTTGGCCGATGAGACACATCGTATACGTCACATAGATTGTTGAAGGAGATGTTTTAGGTGTTTTATTTACATTGCATTGTGAGTCATTGTCAGTCGCATTGTGTAAATTGTTACCAAGTCTGTTATCATGCAATAAAGACAGAAGGGTACTAAACAGATATAAATTCCCAGAGTCGCTGAATATCGTAGAGGCCAAACTCGCCGCCTCACTATATTATTGATGATGGAAACCATTAGACAGCATTGCTATTGATCAGCTTCCTCTCAAAGACGGTTGTTAAGCAGCTACTTTATAACCTTTATTAGACATTTTGTTCATAAAACATTATATTCTGTAACACGTGATTTCCAACCATGGCAATGGTCAATGTCAGTGCAGAAAAGAGTTTGTCCTTTATTTAGCAAAGGAAAAGGCCAAGATGCTGTCTGGCATTCTTGCTGGAAACTATTATTGTCTGTTGGGCCATATCAGCATTATTGGCCACCACTCCGGACTGAACTGTCTCAACCATTGGAGGGATTGCTGACATTCCATCCATGGTTCCCAAGTGGGTAAAAATTCCTCATTTATCTTGTAATGCCCTCCATCATCAGCGCTTTCTCAATCAACTCCATGGTCTGCTGTTGATTTGGGGGTATCAGGGGATCCCTGAGCCTAGCAGGTGACCTGATGCACACCATTTAGACTCAGTGTCTCAGCCTGTATGAACGTCTTATGTCATGTGGAACCTGCCTGTGGACTCATGTACAGTCCTCGTGACTCATCAATGGAAAGCACCTTATCGCAGAGGTCAATTGAGCAGAAAACGAATCCCCTCGAGCAAAAGTCCACTTGGTCAAACTTCCTTCCAGTCCTTTTTCTTTTTATCTCTGTAATGTGTTGAGGTAAACTTTGAGGTGCAGGCGAGTGTAGGTAGGAGCTTACAGGCGTGTGGTTGTTTTTGTGTCTCAGATGGAGCCTCGCAAAGCAGAAACCCAAACATTCACTGTAAGTTACCCAATCATTGACTGTGGGGATACAAACCATCGGCTCTGTGTACACAATACTAGACGTCCCCTTTAGTTCACACCAAACCGGCCACAGTCATGTGTACGCGCGCACACACAAACAAACACGCACACACACTCAGGATTGTGTTTTGTGAGTCACGTGGTGAGAGTCATGTTTTTTCCAGGTAATGCTTCAGTGCGTAGTCAGATGATTAATTACTCGTCATGTTACTCCTTGTTTTAGTCAAAATGCCACTTGAATTAATACCTTTTGGTATTCTTCCATGGCTGAGGGTCAAATGTTTGTTCGATCCTGGGCAGGTCACGTCCTGTTCGCACAGCAACGAGCAGTTCAAACAATCTATTAAAGACCGCTTCTCAAAGGGCAACCACGTGAGTGATCAATACTCAGTGGGTTTTGGTCACCTCGGCCATGCCTTTCTTTAAATTCTGTCGTTTCTTTGACTTTAGAACAATTGTATTCAAGTGCAATTCTTTACAAGGAGTACTTTTGCAACTATCCACAGCGTCCTGGGGACACTTTAGGAAAATCCAAAATCCAACCGGGTTTACAGACTGCATTTGCTGTTAGTAAAAAATAACACCTAATTCGGTGTGTAAACTTGCAAACGCCTGTCTCAATAAAGGTCTACAATTCTGTTACGGAAATGTATTCCAGGTTATCAACCAGTTTGGGTTAACCGCACCGTGCACTATAGCATGTAGCTGTGGAGTGCACGCTCCTCTGAAATACTCAGCAGGAAAAGGATGACATCGAAGCAGAAGGACAACAACGAATGAAAACATGTACTGCAGTATTATCCGTCCATCCGTCAATGCTTTAGCACCCTGGAGGCAAACACTCGGAGCAAACTGAAAGTGACATGAAAGTCAATGAATTTGATCTGGCAGCAGGACATCCCTGCAGGACAGGCGCCTGGGTGTGTGATGACATCATCGCTCCGAGGGCAGCTGATGTGAAGAAGCGTCTGTAAGGTAGATGAGCTGCAGTGAGACATCCTGAGGACGGCCTTTTTACACATCAGCCTTTAAGTAGTTTTAAGTCAACAGGATGAATAATGTTTCAAAAAGTTAAACGTGTCAACAGCTGATATTTTCCTACTCCTACCTCTGGTACTAATACTACTTGTGTGACAACCAGTACTAGTACTATGTGCTACTGGACTACTAATGGTACTACTACTTCTACCACTACTACAGCACTACTGGTACAACCCCCATTACCAGTGCTACTACTTTTACTCTGCAACTTTTACTACTGCAGGTATTACCGGTGGTACGATAACACTACTTATAATAGTAAAAGGTACCACATTTTATTTAAAAGACATGTAACTTGGTCATTTAATTCAAAAGGTGACACAAAGGAGAGAAAGTATTTTGTCCGTATAACTCTAATTCATATTGGCTTAAACTTTGGTTTGAAAGGCTGTTGAAACGTTTTGATATTTGATGGCGTACTTCTTCACAGTAGTGGATTTCTGTCGTCTGTTTTTTAATGTTCTTAGAGAGCTGCTAACCATAAACGTTCATGTACTGTCTGAATGAATCATTTTGAACTGGAGGGTTTTTGTTCCCTCTTGGCTGTCTTTTGTTTGGAACGTGCCATATGATTACTCAGTGTGACGGAGAGTTAATGGTGACTCCAGTATCTCGGCTTCCCTTCTGTGTGGGCGGCTGGCATCGATCTCCATGTTCAGTACTTCATCGGTCTGAGCACTAAGCCCATAAAATTGGTGCTGTAAGCTGGACATCTTGGCACCTGCTGACAAACTATCCTCTGACCCCTCGTACCAGCCGGGCCTCACCAACAAGGCTGCTTATTTGAGTCTATCATAAGA